TAATATTATTATTCTTATTCCTATTATAGTATTTATAGCAAATTTGTTCTCTTGGTTCTAGGTTTATACTATAGGCTATATTAACTTAAATAGTATTTTCTAATTATACTTGAGACTAACTTTTTCTAGAATATAATTATCTAGACCCTTTGCCTATTTTAGCTTAATTACTATAGCTATTATAGTATTTTTTATAATCTTTATTATAACTTCTAGTATATTTTCCCTAAAGACTCGAATTATACTTACTAGGCTATTAATACTATTATACTTATTATAATTAGCTAGATTATATAAGCAGGCTATAAATATTCTCTCGAATTATAATAGTAGCTATATTAAGTTATTTTTATAAGTTCTCTTAAGTTATAGTAATAATAGATAGTTTTTCTAGACTTCTTACTAGCTAGTTAATATTATTTCCCTTAGGTTTACTACTTTTAGTAGGTTTTATATAATTAGCTATAGGCTAGGTTCTCCTCTTACTTATATCTATAGTAGCTTTAGGAAGTATAATAGAAGAAACTAGTAAGAAATAATTGTTTTCTAATTTAGGAATTATATTATAGATTATTATATCTAAATATTCTTATCTAAGTTTGAATATATTTAGGTTATTAGTAATATTAAAATAATATTTTTTCTCTTTATATTAATAGAATATTATTACCTTCTTATATATCTTACTATATTTATAGATAGAAATATTTATAGGCTCGAAATTCATATTTTTAAGAATATAATCTCTTACTAGAATAAATAATTCTCTTATAAATTCTCGGTACTAAGTAATTTTATTTATTTCTTTTCTCTTTAGTAATTTCTTTAATACTTTATTAAATATATTAATATAAGACTTAGACGAGATTTCTTTATTCTAAGCTTATATAATAATCTAATTAAGAAAGTTATAGTTAATTTTAAGTATTTCCTAATTATATTCTCGGAATTTCTTTAGTAAGGCCTTAAAGAACTTGGTTTTCTAGTAATCTCCCGGATTATTAATATAGTACTCCGGTATAGCCTTAATCTAATTCTTATAAATAGGAGAAATATAATAGATAATTCTTTTTTTTTGGTATTATTAGGAATATAATAGTTCTTATATATATTTATATACTATTCCAAAAATATAGAAATATTACTTCCCTGAAACTATAGTACTTTAGGAGCTCCCGTAAATAGCAGGTTTAAACCTAGTACTAGTATATACTTATTCTTAGCTATATTAATCTTAATAATTTTTTTTATAATTAATTATAAAGTTTCTATATCTGAGATTTCTGCTAATAAGGTTTCTAAAAGACTAACTTTTTATTTAAGTATGTCTTTTAATTTAGGAACCGGAATTAGAGAGAAATCGGTTAATAATAATAGATATAATTAAGGTTCGAGTTTTAGTATTAGTAATAATAAGATAATAGCTTTTCTAGTTTTATTTCTATTACTTATACTTTCTTTCCTATTCCTTTAGCTTAATACCTATAGTATTTTCCCTTGATTTTACCGAATTAGGTATATTTATTAATACTATTAAAAGTAATAATAAAAAGAATAAATACGATTTTATTAATTTTTCTAACTTTTCTGAATTCTCTTTTCTTTTTTTACTTAGTATTTATTTCTTTCTTTAGAAACTTCTTTAGTTTATTTATATAATTTCTTATTTCCGATTTCTTTTTAATTCTTATTTCTAATTCTAGTTTATTATTTTACTTAAATTTGAGAATATTTCTTCTTTTAGGTATCTTTTTTAGACTTAGGAATAAGCTTTATTACTAAAATTAAAGCTATTTTAATTCCGGCTTTTACTATAACTAAAAATAATATATAAATTAATAATATAACTTTATTTCCGAGTACTAAAATCTAATTCTAACTAAGGTCTGATTTATACTATCTTAATATAATATTTGTTATTCTATTTCCTTTATTTCTTTTCCTTTTATAATTAGCCTCTATTTCTATTACTCCTATATATTATACTAGTAATTATATCTTGTGGCTAACTTGTATCTAAATTACTGGATATATTGGAAATTAATATAAGATACTAAGATTAATACTCATATATCCTTAATATTTTGGCCTTAGGCTTAAGGTATTATAATAGCCCTTTTTTCCCCTAACTTATTAAGCTAATAATCCGCCTTATAGATATTTCTTAGAATTTCATAAGAGTATTACCTTAACTATAAAGTTTCTATCTTCCCTGTATTACTTACTATAAAATATATGAAAGAGAAATTATAATAAGACAAAAACCCATATAAAGTATACTAGAGTACAAAACGTGACTTAATAGCAAAATAATAAATTAAAAGCATAAATAGTAAAGTATAAATAGTATATAATATGTAAAAGCTTAATTAATTAAATACTTATAAAGAATTATTTTCTAAGTCTATAGAAAAACCAGCTTTCTTATATGATTTCTGCAAGTCACGTACAAAAGGCCATAGCCTTTACCATGTGACCTAAATCTCAAAACCGCTAAAATAACATGATTTTCGACGAGTATAGCCTGTTATATTATAATACTCAAGCTATAGCATAATCTAGTAGGCTTAAGACTCTTATAATTATATTATCTTTTAAATAAAAGAGGCTATAATTCAATATTATTAGCGGGCTAATTAATATTTCTAGAGATATATAATTAAGGGAAAAGTAAAGGCTTAAAGATAAAGATAATAAAGTAAATAAACTACTTCTGGATACCTTTATTAGAAATGCTTATAGATATAATAAAGCTCTAGATATATAAATAACTTATTAGGAAGTCCTTAATAATATGGATATAAAGCTAGTATAAATAAAAGACTCCTATACCTCCCGTATAATTACTAACTTATACTTACTCCGGTAATATATCTAATAGCTTATAAAGCCAGGATAATATTAGCTAGGAAGAATTAATATATTTCTCTTAGTAGCCGCTAGTAATTATTATTTTAATAATAGAAAGATACTTGCTTAGTGAATTAGTGAATTATTTAATTACTATTAATAGTAGTATAGTATTCCGCAAGAGGCTAGGGGTAGTAAAAGAAATAGAGCGTCTTATCTGGATAATAAGGACGTATTCTTAGCCTATTAAATTTGGTTAATTAATTAAGAGCTTGGAATAATATTACTAAACGATTTCCTAAATACTATTAATTAGGAGATTTTACCTCGATTATTATTAATAATTAATAAGCCTATTACTTATGGCTCTCTAGGCTCGGCTTTTATTACTATAAGATTAAGAAAGGGCTTTATATAGATAGATATAAATAACCTAATATAATTTAGTATTATTAAGAGGTATTTTTACTACTAATAAACGAGCTTTTATTATATATAGTTTAATATAAGAAGGATAAAGCTAGTATATAGTATATGATTTAACCTATATTCCTAATTAGGGGTCATGTATATATAATATACTTTTATAACGAGAGCTATTTCTATGGTTTTAATTATAAAAAGAGCCTCTAGCTAGTAGATAATTAGTAAAAAATGCCCGGAAAGAGTAAAGAGAGGCTAATTCACGATTCTGAGTTTGTGGGCCCTGAGAGACGTATTAGGGTACTAAATAATAAAGGCATTCTTATCCCAGATAACCCCGATTTGAATACCCGTTAAATTATATATTCAGGCTCAAATAGAGACCCCTGGTAGGATATAAAACAGCTATTAGTTTAGATTACTAGGATACTTGATATATTTGAACAGAAGTACCCAAACTATATAGCTATTCTAATATTTGATTAGTTTTCTGTATATGCTTCATATGGCGAAGGTATACTAAACGCCTTTAGTATAAATAAGGCACTAGGGGGGGTTAAAAAAGGTAATATTAAGCCCTATAGGAGAGATATATATTTACTACCGGAGTATATAATTCCGGGGCTATAGGGCATTATTTAAGTCCTTTGGCAACTTAATCTGAATAGAGAAAGAGAGCCTAAGGGTATAGAATAGATTCTTATTAAGCGAGATTATAATATTCCTGGCTTAAGATTTAAGTGCCCAAAGGGTACTAGGTGTACTATATTCCTTGAATATCCTCCCGCTATTAAATAAACGTACTGTTTAGCTCGTATTCTATTGAATTACTAAGACTTCTTTAAAGAGAAGTCTCAAGTTAAAGAGCTTATTATAGAGCAAGGGTATAAGGCTATGTTTTTACCGAAGTTCCACTACGAAATTAACCTAATTGAGATATATTAGGGATATAGCAAAACTCGATATTATTAAGTAAAGAAGACTAGCTTCCCAGATACTAAAGCTAAGGTAGTAGAGGCACTTGAAGCTTGTTTAATTAAGACTATATAGAGATTCTGTAATTATACATTCCGCTAGATAAATACGTATTGGAAGGGATTAAGTATTAAATAAGCTGCTTGGTGTATAAAGAAGTAAAGATGCTATAGAACGATATCTAAAACGGTAATGGAGGAATGGGATAATATATAAAAGCAGGAGAGCGAAGGTAGCTAGAGTTTATGGAATTAGTTTGGCCAAAATTAGCTTGAATCCTATATAACTAGGGCCCTACTATATATATATAATATATAGTACTAGAGAAAGCTATATTTGATATTTAGGAAGGTTCTTCTAAGCTTATAGGGCTTAAATATTAATATTATATTAATAATAAGGCTAGTGAGATACTGTAATATCCCCTTAAAGTACGGGCTCACGTGACCTTAGCGAGTAGAAATATTCGCGTTTTGTATGACGAAAAATCAATAAAATAAAAAGGGTCCGTGTACTTTAGGCCTTAATTATTAATAAACTACAAATTATATTAAAAATCCGATTAATAGGTATTTTTCGCCTGGTTCTATTCTATAATCGCATAACTTAGTATAAATTAATTAGGGTTGTGGTTAAAAAGTTATTATGGGCGTAAAAGAGCGACCAATTTGTTGCTTTTGGATCGGACCGACTGTACATCAATGCAAGCTCGTCACCATCACTGCAAAACCCACGTTCTGTAAAATAAAAGTGGAGAACAGATCTAATTCAAATTATAAGTCTATCTAGAATCTTGTCTTTGATAGAAATGATGCGACAAATGTGTTGCACGTGACATCTATTCTTGATTCTGGTCTCGTCATCCTCTCCGGAATCTATTCCCCGCACCGTTTACACTCTAACCAGCGTACGGCGATCGGCAATCGAAAGAAGTAGTCACACTTCCACCAGAAAACGCACCAATCAGCGCCTTAATAGCCGAGTAACTACCCAATCCACACACGACCAGGGAACCGAGGAAGTAAAAGATATTGAAGCTTGTCAGGAGGAAACTCTTCCGATACCCTCTGAACCATCTCTTCAGACCACCGTCATGTCGCACATACTTCTTCGTGCTCTCGTCAAAGCCTTCGTCTGGCAGCATGGCGCCTTTCTTGACCTCGAAACCGATCTTCAGGAGGGCTGGGAAGGTGTAAGTGAAGTTGCCGATGCAGAAGGCGCCAACGAGGGAGGAGATGTCGCCGAGCTCGGGGACGGCGCCGGCCACGACGAAGGCGAGGGACCAGTAGATGGGGACCATGGCGACCCAGATTAGCTTGCCGTGCTTGGTGGTCAGGGCTGGGAAGTCTGTGATATGTTAGATGAGGAAGGGGTTAGAGGAAAGGCTGGGGGAACGTACGGAATAGCTCCATGAAGACGTTGTTGTAGATGACTTTGATGCCGATGTTTCCGTAGAGGGCAGCTGCAATCAGCCCCCCAACAATGGACAGAATGTTACCCGCTGTCTGATAATTGTATGGGTTGATGGATTGGATAGCGGTGTTGTATGTGTACTGGCCCTGGTAGGAGTATTGGAAGAGACCGAAGAACATGTAGACGAGATAGATGAAGATATCAGCGCAGAGCATTCCCTTCCAGAAATCCCAAGGGTTGCGCATCTCAGCCAGGAGATTGAAGAACAGCATGGCTCCACCGTAAGCGTAGATGATGGTGTTAATACCCTGGTAAGTACCGAGGAAACCGGTTCCACCGGATGCGAATCCGTCAGGCGGAGTGCCAGCAAACGTTTGGATGGGAATATGGCTTTCCATTGTACCGTTGGGGAAGTTCCTGTCTCCATATGCAGAGCCAGCACCGCCGAACGAGCCGAACATGGTCGCATAGTTAGGGCTGGAGGTGGCAGAGACACCGATAGCCATGAAGGAAGTGATGACGGTTGTCCAGACGGAGAGGTTGGCAAGCCATCCAAAACGTTGCAGGGTGCGGATTTGGCCAAGTACCATGCCAAGGATGGCGATGATGAGGAGGCAGACGATGAAGCATACTCCATTGCCATTCGCGCCATCCTTGCCGATGGAAACCTGGGATACAGATCCACCAAGACTGAGGATAAGCACAGCCACCAGCATGAACATTTGGAGACTTTGCAGAACATTGATCATATGTCTCACTTCCTTGCCGAAGACACGGAAGAAGGCCTGTCCGAAATCACGGAGTGGGTAGCGGTCGGAATCCATGTGCATATAGACGCCCCAGACGTACCAGCCGGAAATGGAAGCCATGAGACCGAAAACCGTGTAGAGAGCTGCACCAGGACCGTAGCCAGTGTTGGAGAAAGCCCATCTAGAAATTGTTAGCTCATTTCTTTGTTTAGAAGGTTCAAGCTTCTTTGCCAGGGACAATGCTCACGGGGCACCAGAAGGACCGAGAATATCAGTTGTGATCAAGAAGAAGATGGAACCCCAGCTAGCGGTTCTAGTAGCACGGGAAGCTTGTCTCCACTCAAGATCGGTGACAGTAGACCAGTTGTTGTGAGTTGTGGTAATGGTATCGCCATCGACGACAGCATTAACTTCATGGACATGGCCCTTTGAGAATCGATTCTTGATGATGCCGCCGAGAGACCAGGGGTCCTTGCGCTTAATGAGGTTCCCCTCGTATTCACGCTCCTCGGCACGTGTCACGTGCTACGCACAGGCCACACAGATATATATATAGCTTCTTCCCCGCTCTTAGGGCACCATCATTCCTTACTATTATACCAATATACACCCATATTATCCCCACAGCCCCTACAGGCCTTGACAGCACGGGTGATCTTCGCATAGTGGAGATACTCCTCGAACAGGACGGAAGAGTCGTTATGGACTTGAGCGGCCTCGATGCTGAAGCCGGTTGCAAGACCAGCTTCATGGCCATTATCGAGGGCGTACTGTCCTGGATTCTTCTTCTCCTCCATACGAGGGTCACCACCGTCGAGGGCGAAGTTGGCAAGGTTTTGCGAAGCCATGGCGATCGGTACGTCCGGAAACTGTGCAGACGGAGGGGATAAGCAAGAAGGAAAAGAGAAAGGAAGGGGGAAGCAGAGATTATATTCTCGAAATGCAGATCCTATACCTTCGTAGCCGTGCACCCCAGCTGGACCTGAGGCTTATTTGTCAAGCCCCCCTTGCGCGACGTAGTTTGATAGCCTGATGTGCATTCATTGGGACAACCACTGTAGATTCGGCTCTGCCGGTTAAGACAGCGCTTTCCTATTAGGGGATTCAGTCCCTCTCCTGGGGGAAGCTTCAGCCCCGCGACGATTTTGATTACCTGAATAATACGGAAGGGGAGAAGCTTCAACAGCACCAGCCAATCGACGCTCGCGGCCGCCACGTCTTAAGCGAGCTGCTAAAAGGGGTAAATTATAACCGACCAGTCGGTTCTACGATGGTACAGGGGCAGGGCCGTTCCCATGCATGTCGTGGGAAGCACTCCAGATGATTCGCTGCGAGGAGGCGAAACTTCAACGCAACGGGCGCGCCGAGGTTCCGAAGACCAGCATTATCCTTGAATTACTGTCAGATGCAAGATAAGGGCAAATACCTATTCCAAAGAGGAAAGTCGTAAATAATCTAGTCTGTGGGTCAGATTCCACCTGCCAAGCCAGGCATTAGCCTTGTGGGTCAGCTTACGCCAGTCAAGCACCTGCCAAGCAAGGCATTAGCCTTATCTCAGAACTACACTATGAATGTACCCCTCCTCGCCCTCCGCAAAAAGATATGCGGAGCGAGTCCGTGTGGCGCGGATGCGACGCGGAGACGTGCCTACAAAGGGTGTTGGCTGTTAACTTGTTACGAAGTTACGCATGAGTGCTCTTTTGTGAGGAGCGAGGGGAAGAGGATGCGGTTGACTTACGTTACGAAGAGACCGAGGTATTTGTTCATGCTGGGTTATTTTGAGAGGGCGTTGGTTGTCCATTTACCTTTTTAGATTACTGGTACTTTACGAAGCCGGTTATTCATCATGGCGCAGAGAAATCTAGGCCTATCGCAGGCTCGGCTCACAGGCCCCGAGGATCCACACGCATCGCCGCCGAAGTACTCCCATAAGTCCGGGAGGAACTTGATTGCAGAACTCATCAATAATCTCGAATCCTAATCCTCGTCCCTTACCATCGGGAAAACTAGGTCGCGGTCTTTGAAATTGGTCTAGTTTTCCTTTTAAACGTGGTTTCTTCGGGCGAGGAAAACAATCGCATTCAAAATTCAATCCAAAAGATTCTTCGTTGATCTCGATAACGGCCACCGAACCCAAATATCTCCACTCATAGCCGTGGGCTGCGACTATCGACTCTCAAGGGGCTGACTGATTCCCCCCCCCCAATCACTAACACTCGCGACGACCTTAACTTTGTGAGGCGCCCAAAAGGCTGAATCAAAGATATTTTATAGACTCCAGTAATTTAGGATCGAATATATTACTATTATTCGGGCAGAGGCAAGCGCCCGCCGTTTTCACGGATGTCCCAAAGACGTGAAAAAGAGACCGGTGCATTTTACTGGGATTAATATCCCCATAGTTCAGAGCGACTTCTCTGGACGTTTCTACTCAAACTCGGCTTAAAATGGCGTGTCCTGTAAGTAAACGCCATGCTACCATCGTCGACGTTGGCAAGCCTCTTTGCCAAGTGTTCGGTAGTAATATGAGCCAAGGCGGGAGCTGTAGCCAAGTCTTTCATGTGGTCCCGACACATGGGAGATGATCTGCCGCCGATGTACCCCACGCCCGGGCTTGGCACCTAGCTAGTGTCTAGCAATCCGCTGATACTCTCGAACCCCCATACATTCTGGACATCACTTGTCTGTTCCAAGTGTTTTGAGGAGGAGTCCCTTGACTATCTAGATGTTTATTCTCCGTTTGGATCTTATTCGGCGTTGTGACAGCCAAAAACTACTTGCTCTACCATCTCGGGCTTCAAATTGAGTTGGAAGCGGACGGAGGAGCACATCCCTACAGCAAGCGCCTGCCCATTTTCTGAAGGAATCGTGAATCGTTATCAGCACCTCGGACAGGGGATTACCAGTGAATGAAACAGTCAATATCGTAGGAGGCCCTTGATCACAATTGATAGGCTCACGAAAGGGAACGCAGTGTCGAAAAGTCCACTGGTAGGCACCGAGCCCTTGATTGACATTAACCCAGAAGAACTATCTTGAGAAGGGCCTTCTATGTTTCAAACTCACAGCGTTATCAATTCCCACGCCCACACGAAATGCAACTGTTTCATCCTCATTCCAAACCACCATCAAGACATTGTAAACACACCAAATATCAGAGCAACCGTATTCCTCATACGCAAAAAGTTATGCAATTTGTCTGGTTTGGCAAAATTCCCGGTAAATCCCTCCTCACTGGGTGCGAAGTCCCGCTCACTCGGTCCACCAAATACATACTGTAGCGATTCCGGAGGCTTCCCGGCGTGCAGCTCTGACAACGTCATTTGCGATAACTTGATGAAATCACACTGACAGGGAGGTTTCATACAGATAGTGGAGAGATCGAGGTCTCCATACGCTGCTCCACAGCGAAGTTTTGTCTTTTGGTCGTAGAGAGCTAAAGGGTTGCCAAAGGTGACGCCAAACGCCGCTCTAACTCCACCGTCCTCCTATTCAACCACGTAATTGCCCTTTTATCTGTCCTTGTCGTGGCGCTCTAGCAATCTGCCTCCGACAATAAAGGCCGCGGCGTCGGCTTCGAGATACAAGTAGCCGAAGGGATGGATTCTCGACGTACTGGAAGCGCAAGGTCCCACTTCTCCTTCCCTAATAATTAGCGACTACTCCCTATAATTATAGTGCCTTAAAGCCTGAATTTATTTTATTATTAAATGGAAAAGTAATTAATAAAATAATTGCGCCTTATATTATTTACTACTAAATAAATTAATACAAGCTATATTTTAGGAGAATCGCAAAATATAAAGCTTTAGAAAGAGTTTATGCCCTCGAGAGGCCCATAAAGTAGCAAAAGCCGAGCATTCAACTCTCAGTATTTTCAGAACGACCTCCTAGAGGTTGTTCTGAAAAAACTAAGATTAGTATAGGGGCAGATGTTTATATCTAAATGCTAGCGTTCAATGCTAGTATTCAAAAAAAAAAAAAAAAGCAAAACACTTATTTTTGTAATATCTGAATGCTAGCGTTACGATATCGGCAGTATCCGAATATTCAAGGGTTGCGAAACGGGCCCTTACCCTCGGCTCAGTCGACTCGCCTGAGCAATCGAGTACCCTGAGCAACTTGCTTAATTACTTAAGTACCCTAAGTACCTTAAGTACTCTAAGTAGTTTACTTAAATAGGTCTAATTATTTTGAGTAAGATTAATTATGCTTTTTGGCAAAATATTCTGCAGTCGGAATAGGGCGCTAAGGTCGTCAAAAGAGGAGGCCAATTTTTGCTATACTTATTAAAATGATACAACGATTGTATTCATAGTCGCGTTCACAAAGCTGCCGCTGCTCATGAACATTTCGCCACGCAGCCTTGTTTGACAGAAATAGGAAATCTAAAGTTTGCTAACCCATACAGCCCGACTAGCCGCTATCTCGCTCGTCACCCCAATTCCTGGCCGTATGGCCTGGCTTTCCACATTGGGGCTGCCAAGCAAATAAATGGCTTTTGTCGTTCAGCTGTATTGGCCGACCCTCCAGCCTCATCCACTAGACTTGGTTATCTTTCGCGAATATGCCTTGGCCAGTACAGCCTGTTGACACCACAAGGCTTTTCATCTCTATAATTAAATTCTTGTCTCGCATCTCGCGCCCTCTGCTGTTTATTCTGCTCCGCTATCTCAGACTAGTCGCGATTTTTTTTTTCAACTACCGCGATGGCAATACATCCAGTATCAAAATGGGCCAGTCTCTCAATTCTCTTAACTGTGTATGCCAGTCTTGTGATTGGAGTCGCCCAACCAGACGAGTTGGCCCTTGCTGATGTCGCACCGGTAGACTCGCAAGATGAAAACCGCGCAGGACCTCCCGAATGTCAAATCACTCCTGCGCCAGTTTTGGCCCAACAGGTTGCAGATGTTGGACGAAAGCGTGATGGATCCGTGATTTGTTCCGGCTACAGCGTCGTGGGCAGCACGTACCCGTGTACGTCTTTGGATCGCACATTCCGATAATAAAATCAAGCAAGTTCCGCATACCTTGAAGCCCCTACTAACGAAGCACCCGCAGACTCGAACCTGTGGTGTGGACCCGGACTCACCTGTGTCTCTGGCGGTATTGGAGGGCCAACATCTTATTTCACGTGTGGTGTTCCTGGAGGGTCATATATTTGGAGAACAGCCTGTCACGACTACCCCAACACACCTGCAGGTTGCTCGTGTACCGGATTAAGTACTGCGGCATGTATTTGCGGGGCTGATATAACTTGGTATATACACCTACTTCCCTTTCGTCATTTGTTGCTTCTCGCTCTGCTCCACCGTGCTCCTTGAAAATCATCAGGGTCGGAATTAACGAAGGCAACAGTGAATCAACAGCGCCTTACTGCGTTCCTTGGATTATCACCGACACACAAACCTACGTGCAATTCCAATGCGCCGCGATTCCCGATCTCAGTGTCAATATCGTTAGAGTTTCAACTACATCACCCTCAACCTCGATCTCAATTTCAACCCCAGCCACAACCTCGAATACAACGCCAGTGATTGCTCCAGCCTCGCAATCAAGCACGCCTACACCGAGCCCAGGCACTGCAAGCACAACATTCATTCCTACGCAGACATCAAGCACATCAAACCCAAACCCCACTCCAACAGGCATAAATCTCGCAGCAGTCATCGCAGGTACTCTAGGAGGCGTGGGCAGTTTTGCTGCAGGGGCGATAGCAATATATGAATTTCTGAAGAGACGTCGGAGGGCCAAGACACAACGGGAGACTGGGGGAGTAGAATCTACTAACTGAAGATATGGTATATTCGGGATTGTCCAGGGGCTGCTTTAGTGCAGGATGTTAGGATTCGAGGTTGACTACCACGAAAGTCGGACTCTAATCCCATCCTCGCCGGTTCCGTTTTAGTCTCTGGACGTGAGCAGCTGCTGCTTTAACCTGAGCTAAGGGTGAGCGTCCTGAGCAGAGCCTGAGCAGAGCCTGAGCATCTTGAGCTGCTCGTGAGTCAGCCTGCGAATCATAATATAGAACCCATTTTGGCCTCATATATGCCCCGGCTATAGATTCCTTGCCGAATTTGCCCCGGGAATCCGTTTCTGCACCCTTACAGGGCTTCGGCTGGACCAGTTTTGGATCCCTCTTATTAAATAGCACGTGACTAGGTAATTCAGTCCTATAAATGATATTGACCAAGATGGTCCATAAAGACCAGACCTGGGCAAAGATAGGGTGGCATTTCCCAGGTCACTTATGCTCCTTCCCTTACAACGTACTTTAAGGGAGAACAGGGCGACAGGGCCGCGACTACATCCACTCCTGCAGGTATACGTCGTCGAAGGCCGGCCAGTTCTGCTCTTATCAGGCCTACATTCACATCACCGGACCTCTTCAACGCAAGGACAAGAATCGGAAGATGGCGGGTAATGCTAACTTGGGAGATATTACTTTGGAAGAAGCGTATGATTGTGAAGTTGTGGTTAGGTTTTTCGATTTTGGGTGAAATGACAATACAGCTTGCCTATCCCAACCCCAACCCCTATCTGGCCCCCTAAACTTGCGGGCACCAACCGAGAGCACCAAATAAAGGATCTCGGAAACTTGAGGTTTGGATCTTTGTTTTCTAATGGGCTTCGTTTTGCGCTGGTCATATTCACCAGTCACTCTAATTTATGAAATAATATGATTTAAAATCGATGAATAATCAACCAGATCAATTTCAGATTCAATTTTATCTTTAACCAAAGACCAAGGCTCGAACCTCAATACTTTCTCTGTACTTCTGAGAAGTAGACGTCGGATCCACAACTGCAGAATGCGCCAACCTTCCTCCTTTCTCACTATCGAAACACTGCAACAACAAAGCATCACTATTCCCCATCTTACTCCAATAGCACCAATTCTGCCCCTCGCTATACCCAACGCCATAAGTCTCACCCGTCCAGGTAGGATAGTGATGCTTCACAGACTCAAGTTTCGCATCTGGAACAGATCCGGAAAGTGCAAATGCCAGCGGATAGTTTTCGACAGTGCCATTGATGGGACGCCAGAAGTTGATGAGACGCACGCGGCATTTGGATAGACTTGTAGCCTCATCAGGAAGATGCCGCGTGATTCTTGCGAGAGCGGATGCGGGAGTTTGATCGATGTGTGCGCGCAAGACGGGACCTCGATCTCCGAATTTGCGACGAATCGTGTGGTCAAAGATGAAGACACGTTGGGCACCAGGAACGTGCTGAAGGAGGAGTTGTCCGACTTGGGGATAGAAGTCATTGATGACGCTTGCATCGTCTGTAAAGGTACAGCCGTGGTCCGGTATGTTGGAAACGGTCAGAACAGCGTCGCGGTCGAGGTTGACTTGATCTTCTGAGCCGCGGATGTCTGTCACCAACAGTTGGTGGGAGGACGTCGTTACATTACTGTAAATACCGTTGGTAGGTTTCTCGACATAATTGAAGCCAGGCTTGCCATCGAATGTTGAAGCATAGAAGCTTAACTTGGTTTCAAAGCCTTTAACTTTCGTAGGTCGCTGAGATCGTGTGTTTCCACGGCCACCTGCTAGACCAAGGGGTTGTTGACCTGCATGGAAATTGATGATATCGGAGACAACATTGTCCACCTGGCTCAAATGTTTGGACCAGCCAGCATGAAAGTTCTGCTTGGCATTTAGACCAACAGGGATGTTTGGTGTCTTGAAAGCATCCACCGCATGAAAGTTTCCAGCGGGAAGCATTGCTCCAGCATGGAAGTTGGGATCCATGGTCCTGTCACCGGCATGGAAGTTGTTTCCCTCAGTCTTATAGCCTACATGGAAGTTCCCCACGTGAAGCATCGCTCCGCGATGGAAATTGAGGTCTATGTCCCTGTCACCAGCGTGGAAGTTTCCTGCTTCTGACTTGGATTCCTGGTCAGCGGCTTCTCTGGTGGATTCAGCACTACCTTCGGGGGCGTCAGATTGCTTGGTCGTTACAACTATTGGAGGGTTCACTCCTGCAGGGAACTTACCAGCATGGAAATTGCCCTCGTGGAAGTTCTCAGTCGCATGGGAGTTGAGTTCTCCAATGTGGAAATTTCCAGCATGAAAATTTGATAATTTTCCAGACTCCCCTTCCTTGCGAAGGCTGCCAACATGAAAGCTTTCCCCTGCATGAAAATTGGTCTTTACATCCGTTTGTCCAGCATGGAAGTTGCTCGTGAGAGCAATCGGGGCAGAGCCTTCGTGTTGAACAATTGACATATTTTGGAGATGGTTTCGTGGGTTTGTCTAGGAATAAGTCTTCAAGTGATGAAGAGAGATAATTGGAATCAAGTGGATTACAGACTGATCTTGACTTCAGAATGATAAGTTTGAACAACTCAGCCGACCAAAGCGTGCTCTTATTTATAAACTTGAAAAACGACAATGTCTTGTTCTCGAAACTAAACCTGATCTACCTATGCACCGGAAGGTATCCGGATAGAACCGCAGTGATAATCTAGTGATCAACAAGATAACCTTAATAAGGTGAAGCGTACCGACGATCCCGCAATGCTTGACTCCGAGGAGTAGCGAGTTGTCCAATCGCAGTGTCCGGAGACGCGGTGCCAACACGTCAACGAGCCTGAAACTTTGTCTCATTTAGCCCTAAACGGGAAAAAGTGATCAACCGCGTATGCATCATGATCACCCTTGCGTCAATGAGAGTTGTGCACGTGTGACGATGCAGAAAGAAATCGACAAGTCTTTTGTACGGTACTCGCCATGCATTAATGCATGGCGATGGATATGAGCAATAGAAAGATCGTAAGAGGGAAAGATTGGCAGTAGAGGCGGGTATGGCCTTGGGGCCAGAAAGGCTACCGCACCTCGAGCCGGGAAGAGTTAGAGATTTGAGATTTCTTCTGCAAAGCCCTTAAAAAATCTGAAATACTCCTGGGATACTAATTCCAAATACTACCTAATTCAATAACCCTCTCCCTATTAGCCGGTTTATTATACTAATTAATAAGGTAATTATAGAAGAAGAGAGTATGGTTTTGGAGGTAATTGTGAATCGCTATACTTAGAGAGATTCAGGGAATACTCAGTCTAATACGGAGAAGGAGAAGCAAGAGGATGAGATAAGGAAAGTGAAGCTAGATAAAGCAATAGCTGCACTTGATTTGCTATCTCTTTATAAGAAGTAATAAGAGAATAGATAAAGTGAGGTTATATATAAGCTTAATAACTTAAAAGTGACGTTTATTTAAAGGAAGGCTAGAAAGTAAAGCAGGCTTATTTAGAGCTTATCACGTGTGTGCGGTCACGTGACTACGATCCAGCCATTTAACCGTAATTAGGCGTATTTACTATATGGTAAATACTGTGGTCTTTTGGTCTAGTAAACTATAGTACGAGCCTAATTCTCATATATTATACCGCCTTGAGTTCTGCTAAGCAAAAGTCGGCTACAGCGCATTGCTACAGGTCATTTCAGTGCAACCCCTGCAAAGGCGGTGTAACAAACATTAGCGCCTGCACCTGCGAAGTCTCTGGACGCGAGCAGCGGCCGCTTTAACCGAGTCGAGGGTGAGCATCAGCCACGCCCGAAGAGGCCCGGACGGAGCCGGCCCGCCTCTCCACTTCCACACTTGCATAAAACACCCCTCCTCCCCTCCTCCCCTCCTCCCTCCTAAGCCCATCTCAATGGTTTGACACTGAGACATCAGCAGCTCAACTGTCCAAGCCGAAAGTTGTGGCTGTGCTCATACTACGTACAGGGGGCAATAAATGTTAATGAGCATTGACCAGTATTTAACTGTATGGCGAGAAATTCTGGAATCTGGACAGGTGATTGGTCAGATCACCCTGTAATTCTAGCTGGTTCGCCGGTGGAACCCCTTGTAAGCAGGTGTCAATTAACATTTAAAACCCCTTGTAGGCTTACCCTCATTACTCGCAGGGCGTCAGCAATCCTGGCGGCTCAGACTCCAATTGGTGAAAAGCCGCCACCGCCGTGCTGTGGCTTCATTGTGCGACACAAATGACCGGATTGAAGCACCCCGGCTAGCCACTATCACCTCGTCTTATGCAACTCAAAGAACAGCACCTCTATTTTAGGGCGAAGAGCCCCAGTCCGTCACAATGGAGTTGTCTTCAGAATCGCAGTCTCTTTTTGGCGGCATTCGAGCTCTCATGGCCAAGATTTTGAATCGCGATGTATCCTTTTCCCAGGTCAATGTGGCCGATGGCTTGCATCAAGCTGCCGCGCTCGCAGCCATGACCCTTCTCTTCACAACACACCGGTCAATATCGAACATTGGATTCACCTTGCGTCGAGAGGGGATTTCAACAGATACTTACATTGTCTTGATTGTTGGACTTGTCGCGTTGGCTTGGACAACTTTAGTTGTCATCAGCGGTGTATTTCTCCAGGACCGTCCATGCCGTCAAGGCTTTCGGCAATGCGCTGCTAGAATGGCCTATGTCCCCTGGATCTTGGTCATCCTGTTTCTTTTCTGGCTCATCGCTTTTACGAGCGAAATTCTATACCTACGCACCAAGGATTCGCAATCCCCAAAGATCACAGAACCCGAAGTAGACCCAGAGTCACTGGCCAAACAGAAGATATCAGCATGGGCACCTACACTGAATATTTTCCACTTTCTTCGTCTTGACAAATGGCGCATTTGGAATATGGAGTGTTCTCACGGAGCAACAAACTGGGCCGGATCTGTAAGCCGATCATATCGATGGGCTTTATATGGCACAATGCTAGCTATCAGCCTTCTAGTGAGCACTGCAGCAATCACGGAGAATCTCTTCACTACTGGCCTCCTAACTCTGGTTGGCGTGATTCTATTCATTGTCGGAGCCTCGGGTCAGAACAAGTACGAAACAGCTCCTCACATATATACGCGAAACACACTCAGAGTCATGCTGCACACAAGACACAAGGAAGGGACATCATATATCCTTCCCTGCAGGAACCGAGGGTTTGATGCTGTGTGGGGCCCGAAAATTGAGTATGAAAACAGGTCCTTGGATGAGGCGGTTGAGAAATTTCAAGACGCTGGAGGGTACGCCAAGGGAAAGTTGATTTGGATGGACAAGGTAATGGCGTCGTTCAACGCCGCGACAGATCTTACGATACACGACGTGAATGACCTCGCTTCGTGGCTTTATGAGCCCGGGATGAATCCACAGATGTGTCGAGTCGCCTGCAAACGTGCTCCAGGAATTCATCTGATCGGCCACAGCCTCGTGCAGGCTCTTTGGCAAGCAGAATACCTCGTCTTTCAAAAGCAAAGTTTGATAAGAGAAGAGCTGAGGGAAAAGATTGGGAGCTTGAGGGCAGGCCGCGGGAGTGGACTCGATTTAGGAACGCGAGGGTCACAGATTGGAAGTAAACCGGGCTTGGATGGCTACCAAGAAGCGGTGAGATACGTTTATAAGCTTCTAGGAGAAAAGGCGGATGGAAATGCTCTGAATCCTACGTCCGAATGCCCGACATCTAGCGTTGTTCTCGACCCCTGTCCTGCCAACATTGAGGAGTACGTCGCGCAGCTATGGAGATTGTGCTTCGAGACGCAGGAATCAACCTTTGCGGCATTGTTTGCCTTCACCACTTATTGGCAGGCGGACATAGGGAATGACCCTGAGAATGGTTGGCATGGATTTCCTCTACGGGTTAAGGATCGCGAGGGGGATATCATCACATGGCATATCATTTGGAGACAAGCGTGGTACGGCGCCGTTATCTCTCAGTTAACGAGCATGAGTCCAATCATCTTTAGCGCGTTCATTGCAGGTGTTTTGCAATGAATTAGGGGTAGGTTTGGACAAGTGATCCCTCGCGTGGAAGGCGACCTCCAGAACGACATGCTGAGATGTGCGAAGGGGGGCAGAGCTGCAGCCCAAGCATTTTTTGGAAGGCAATTTCTACGAGAGCCTCAGGTCAGCATTGATATGGATGTTCGTGGCAGAATGATGAGGGCGATGGAAAGCGTGAACAGAAGCACAGGGAAAACTGCAAGTCCAGACTCGATGAAGCAGCACTTAGAGACCAAAGGCCGAGGCAATGGAGGCAAGCGAAGGACACGAAAAGCAGGAGTCTAGAGATGAGATATGAAACCATTTAGTGATTAAATTGCATGCGACACATCAGGCAGAGGCGAAGAATCGTGGAGTAGTGTTGAGGGTGAATGGTGGTAGGACGAAAAAGAAGAAATAAAGATTGAACGACGTCCTTTTCCAATCTCAATTGGAATTGAAGTCTTTTTTGTGGTAAAAGGCAGTTTGAGGTATCGATACCTTAATTCCAATTGAGAGTGCCTTAGTGAGGCACAATTGACGTGCGCTTAATAAATACCGCGTTGCTCATCACGAATTGCTGTTGAACCACATTCAAAATTGGGCTTAGCCGTACGGTCCTTCGTTAGTTTCGAGTCTGCTAAAAGACCTACGTCACAATTTTTATAGGATCTATTTTGGGATCCCTAGGGGCCTGCTTCCGCTCCCCGAGATAACCGCCAAAACTTGACAAAAAATGATATGATGTGGGCACTGCTTAGGGACTGCTCAGGTTGCATAGGCAGCTCAGGTGAGTTGGGTGAGCGGAGGGTGATTAGCGCCTGAGTTGAAGCGGCCAGGCTTACTAACCCAGTTCGGCGGAAATGGAAAAAAAGTCGTTTGAGGCTACCAGAGATATTACGCATAGGTATTGATTCGAGGAGCTAAATGTCGAAGGGTGATAGTAGAAAATTGAATGAAAGCATCTGGAGATGAATGGCAAAGGGGGTTTCTTTTTGTGAATATATAAATTTGTATTTCAAGGTGGTCTGGCGGTACTCTTTAATACTATTTAGCTCCCATCCAGAAAGATAAAAAAATTATTAAAGCCTTAATGCCTTAACCCGTCTATGGAAACGGCATTGTCCACGTAAAAAAAGAACTCTTGCGGGGAAAACACATGCTCCAGTCTCCGTTTACTCTTACAGAGCCTCGCTTTTCAGCCTTGCTCTTTACTGTTAGCCTCACTTCATAGCCTCGCGGCCTCGACCTACACGTCGACTTGCCCCAATTCCTTTAAACTAGATCCTAACTTCTACTATTTCACGATTCTACAGCCTCGCACTCTCGATTAATCACATTAGGCAGTATAGTATCTCAGCTAGCTGTTGCTATTACCTCAGCTTTTAGTAGAACTTTTTAGGGAACCTTGCTCGTCCGCGTAATATGCAGGCTTTCTGACTATGGGTTCTGACTATGGGTCTATTGGCATTCTCCAGACGAAATTCTATAGCCGCTATTTTGCTCTTTAATAAGAGGGATCCAAAATTGCTTTAGTAAGAACCCTGTAAGGGAGCAGAAACCGAATCCTGGACAATCCGGTAAGGAAACTGTAGCCGGAGCACACAGGAAGCCAAAATTGGTTCCACATTATGGTGCGCAGGCCGACTCAGGGGATGCTCAGGCATGCTCAAGAACGCTCACCCTCGGCTCCGGTTAAAGCAGCAGTTGCTCACGTCCGCAGACTAAAACGGAACCAGCGAATGAGAAAATTAATCCTTGTCGTTTTCAGTATCGATAGATGTGCGGTACTTGACGCTGAGAGGCATAGTGATGTAGCTTCTGACTTTGAGGGAGGGAGGAAGATGAACGGAGGATCGCATTTCTCGAGATACATTGCCAAGATTCAGTGCTTACAATATTGTTATTACTTGCGGTGTTTCAAATCACATCTCGGGTGTTTTGAGGCGCATCCATCACATCCAGAGGACTCAATAGCCACAGATTTTTATCTCCAATCAAAGACAGACCTCTCTCTCCTTTGTTGCACGACAAAAGAACAGTGAAACATATGGCACTAAATGCTGGCTGCTTGCAAGTTCAATTTGCCCATAGCGATGCATTGGGTTGCTCTTCTTCTCCGTGGTGGGCTGTTGCGATGTTGGCGTCAGGTGAAACCTCCCCTCCTTTTTTTAAACCCACCAAAGACATCTTAATGTCCGGTTAGATATATGTGGCTAGGCGTTTCAACGAGCAAAGCAAGTGCGAGAGTTTAGAATCATATTGGTTCTCTACCTCATGCGATGAAACAAAGAATCAAAGCAGGAGCAACATTCATTTGATCCAGCCCACACCGCTTCAACTTGAAGTTGGCCTAAGCGATACCAAAGTTCCATATTTGGAGTAAACGACCATTGTGTAAAGTTCAGTCCAGGGCCTCGGATCTTGGGCTTCGATGTGAGGAAACTCCTGAACCATTCTCACAGTGAGATAAGATGCTTCGGTCAGCGCGAATTGTTCTGGTCAATGTTAGCTCACAAGTCTACTCTGAGATATCATGCCAATACTCACGGCCAAGACAGATTCTCGGGCCGCCGTTGAAAGGTAAGAACTCCTGTATCAGGTCAGTATGAGCTCCTTCCAATCAGGCCGATACTGACCCAGCCAAGCTTCAATCCCTCCCACCTCTCAGGTCTATACTCTTCCGTCTTCTCCCCAAAGAACTCTTCTCGCCTATGCATAGCATACACACTATAATAAACATGCGTCCCCTTCTTGACAAACATCGGTGATTGGCCGTCTTCTCCACCGCCAAGTGGCAAGATCGTGTCACGTATCGCTTCTCTTGTATTCGCAGGGACGACCGGGCGAAGACGGAGGGCTTCTTGAGTCAGCATCGTGGCAATAATTCAGGGAGGTGGGAGACAAACATTCATTCAGACAGTACTTCAAATACTTCATATTCTTCAACTCCTCGTACGTTGGCTCTCTTCCTCCAAAAGCAGCGACCTCTTCTCTCAACTTAACATAAATCTCAGGATGCCGGGCGAATTCCCAAAACATGTTGCTGAGCAGACTGGCAGTTGTGTCTCTTCCTGCTAAGAGGACATTCAGAATCTGGTCTCGGAGCTCTTCTCGATCCTCGGTTTCCTTTGCTAACTCGTTGAGGAATATGTATTGGGAATTCTCTTCAGACTCAGAAGACTTGGTGGACTTGCGGAGAGCGAGAGCTTCGTCGACAAAGCGGTCGATGTATGCAAATGTCCGTTGCTGCGCCTTTTTGGCTTCCGGGTTGTAGTGGAGCTTTGAGAGGGCACCAAGGCGGATGTCGTGGACGATGTTGATGCAGGAGCTATTTCACAGTCAGTCTCGACTCGTGTGTTAATTCTCATGAGCTCCTCCAAGCATAGAAGATATTCGTGAAAAAAAGGAAAGAAAGTGCAAGTATATCATACTGTGTATACGAGTCCACGAATTCTGCATCCGAGGTATCTGATGCGGAAGGGATTATGTTGTTGCTCAGCTGCATCTGATGCAGCGTATGCACCGAATGACCAAACAGGAACTCAGTTGCAGTATCCATCGTGAATGCAAAGAAAAGTCTCTGTAAATCTACTGTTGAGCCATCTGTTGGGATGGCTTTCATCATTTGCTCGAAATGCGACTCCATGAACGGAAGGTGGTTTTCCATATTATGTCTGGCAAAGCTCGGTCGCAGCAGAGCTCTCGAGTGACTCCAGCGACGGCCATCCGTGGTGAATATGCCTCTACCAAACAACGGCACCATTGCGTCAACTCTGAAACTCGAGAGCTTGAAGTCTTGGAATCCAGTGGCCAGGACTTGCTTGATGTTTGAAGGCTCAATGGTGTGGATGGTTGGATAGTGCATGTGTTTGGCTGCAAAGGTCGTTCCGTATTGATTGAAGCGTTCTTGGGTGCCTTCGAGATACCGATCTTTCTTTGCGTTCCGCAGTGTTTTCCAGACGAAGTCGACTGCGAGGAACGGGTCTTTCAAGGGGACTCTACATCGTGGCTCTTTGCAACCGTGCGCTTTGATAAACGAACGCCTGGAGAGGTAGAGTTGGACACCTGCGAAGATGCCATACGAGAGCGGAAGAAGGAGAGGAATAACAGTGAGCTCCAGATAGGTCAACATGGTCAAGTGTATTTAACTTCAATTTTCTACCCAAATGGACCAATCAGTATCATTCTGGTAACTCAGGGAACCAGGAGTAGCCTTACGACCTGTCGAATTTAGAAAGTCTCTCTCTGATGCCAAGGACAGTCGCGGCGAAGATTGGGAGCTGTGTGTATGCGGGTTGGCTGCCTCCGGTGTATGAGGGAAATACTTCGTTTACGTTCTTCTATGGTTTGCGGGAAAACTTCGAAAGATTCCGTACAAAACACACGAAGAAAACACGTGGAAAACCTAATTTTGTGAAGGCGAAATCTGGGAGTTGTGACGAATCTTGTTACTTAAGAATTGAGGTTTTTATCTTGCCGAGGGAGCCTTTGTCGGAGGAAAGCCGGAGCTTTGTGACTCTTTTATTAAGTGAATCCTCGGTTCAAATCCACAACATAGGTACATTTTACTCTGCGATTGTTTACTTTTAACCCTCTATACGTGTCGAGTTTGTAGTGGCACAGTAGCAAAATACCTAGCCAGCTTAGAATATCCTCAGACTACCCGTTTTCCAAATTTAACAACGCTATGTCCAGGCCGTGTCCCGGTGTTTGCCCTGATGCATGTGTTTCCCTTGTCTTTGGCATCAGTGAACGTCACGATGCCGCAACTGCTCGATATTGGCCTCGGATCAATCCAGAGCTGGAGAGTGAATACTTGGGTAACCAGTCAAAGACTTCTTGGCCAAGCATACATCCATTTTTGGAACCGACTCCCTTGTATCTAATTCGGTACCACATTTGAGTTTCGGATCACACCCACCCAGTAACTTCACGCCCCCGGAGTATGGTGCATCGTCACCCAATATTGGAGCATGTTATTCGCGGGCCGCACTCGGGATGGCCCATTTAGTTCATAATCCCGCTAGCCTGCGTCAGCTTCCCATTATAAATGCTGCCACTCAAGATCTTCTGCAAATATCGTTGGTGTACCAAATTCCTTCGTATGCGGGCGTCATTCAAAGCAGTGAGTTTTCCGACAGGAGACAATGGACAATCCGACAGAATCGGCTCTATCCTATTATTGTAACCGGAGAATGGATATGAATCCTGAATCCGAAAGAGCTTAATCAAGGTCCCAAGAAAAGCTGTCAGATATGTATGCGAATGCGAACCCCATCTGGGCATGAACCGCTGCCGTGGGACCGATTGTTGATGAGACTTGATCGATATCTGCATTTTTCGTACCTGCCGGTCGGTTAGGCTGTCAGCTTTGGGGGGGCTATTTTTGGGTTGCACAGGCGTTTTGGATTCCCATCTAGTTGGCTACTGAATGACATATTTAGCTAGCTTTAAAGTTCCCAAGACCAAGATAACTCAAGCTGCAGGAAAGCCTCTCTAGTGTAATAGTATCTTGTGTAGGGCTATTTTGCTGCGGACATTCTCCAGGGCGGGCTCCGATAAACTATTATTAATAATTATTGATTAGTAATCATTGTTAAGTGATTAATAGATCTCGGTAATTATCGATAATTGACCGATAAAAGTGGGTCTAATCCCTTAGCGATGGTTACAGGGCTAGTGCACTGTATTTCTGGCAATAATTCTCATGCTGCCTTTCCGGCAGAATCGCTAAACCTGGCGATTTGGTAATTCTGCTATAAAGGCGGTATAAGGCCTATAAATATAGCGCCCGGGTCCTGTAGCTATTACTGGAATTTGACCTTCTGCTATTATTAATTATCAATAATTATCAATTATCGACTAATTAGCACGATTATCTATTGACCGGTTATCGAGCCTATCGGAGCCCTGACATTTTCCATGTGACTTGGCTGCAGATATATTTTGGATCTTAAGGGAAGACATACCTCACCTACTCAAGCCGCTGTTAGTGAATATTTCATCGCCAGATGTCTCGGAGAGGCCGGGTGTTGTCTATACGGAGTACAGCCTCAATCCACGAGGCTAGAGCCCGATATCGCCTGGTGACGAAAGAATTCTATTCGTGAGGCGAGGTACACCAAACCTTTGTTTGCATCGGCAACCACCATATCAATACACCAATCGAGACCTTCAGGAGCCAAAAATGCCCCTTGGGCTTGAAACTCAAACTCGAGAGTCGAGCTCTGCGATCCGTCAGTTGAAACTACGAATTCTTGAACAAGAAGCTAACTCTTCAAGGCACCATGGCCAAGCAAACCAATGGAGAGCCCGTCCCACCCCACAAAACCCCACAGTTAGCAGAATGTCACGGAGAACTTTACACAGACCTAGACCACAGCGTGTGGGATATGCTACTCAGCACCGCTACCCATTACCCAAAAGTAGATGCAGTAATCTCCCTCTGGCAGGCCGCAAACCACCTGGACAACCTCGTAGGCAGAAGCATCATCAAGGAAACAAAACCAGGATCGGAAGTAGACAGCTCGGGCCAAGATGAAAGTCACTTCAGGTGGACATATGAGGAGCTCGTCAAAGCCACAGAGCTTGTTGCAGGGCTCCTCCAAAGCAAAGGCTGTGTTGAAGGTGAAAATCTTGTAAGCTGGTCCAATCCGACATCTTGCCGAGAAACCAAAGCTCATAGACTTCACAGGTAGCATTCCTCTGGAACTCCGCAGAATGGGTCCTCTTCTTCTGGGTCGCCGCCCGCCTGAAGATGCCATTCATCCCGCTCGACCCCCGCAGCATGTCAGAAACAGCCGACGAATACCTCTCTCGATTGAAACCCTCTGTCGTAATCGTTCAAGACGAAGTAGCCGCGGAAGCTCTATCCATTTTCTCTCCCCTTCTCCAAAATTCCAAAATTCTAATATCCTGCACAACTTCACCTTCGGTGCAATGGAGGTCACTCTCTACTCTCAAATCCATGGAAGTTCCAGCAGCAAAGCCGTTCGATGCAGGCGAAAATCCAGGCAACGATATTGCTTTAATCGTCTTCACAAGTGGTACCACCTCAACACCCAAAGGTTGCCCGCACTCAGCAACAAACATCCTTTCCGAATCCGTTGATTTTGACCCCGACCGCCCCGGCGTCGTGCCCCTCCAAAAATGGCTCGTCCAAACACCCGTCTCGCACATCTTCGCCATAAACAATTGTCTGCGCGCTTTCCGCTACGGCGGCGTCATCTACTTCCCCTCTAAGACCTTTGATATCTACGCCTCTGTCAAAACCATCGAAGACCATAAATGCACGAGATTGAGTGCGGTGCCCACCTTGGTTCAGGGGTTGTTGAGCGTGAAAGGCTATCCGGAGAAGGAGAGGACGGGTTTGCATTATATTTCGCTCGCAGGAACGCTGATTAAGGATGAGGATGTCAGGATGTGTAAGAAGCTGGGGAGTGATTTCGTGGTGCAAGTTTATGGGATGAGTGAGGGGGCGCCGGTGACGAGTTGGCTCAGGGATGACCCGCTTTTTGATGATGGACAGTAAGTTATTTCCCTAATCTTTTATGTCTTCTCCCACAGCTGATCTTGAATGTGCAGCTATCCAGGAGTAGGCAAAGTCATCCCCGGAGCCCGAATCCGAGTCTGTTCTCCCTCGTCAAGAGAAGTTTTGAACCGAGACGTCCCAGGAGAACTTCATATCGGCGGAACGTCCGTCATCTCGGGATACCTTGACGGCGCAGACTCAGATGCCTTCTACAAAGATGAATATGGGTGTTGGTTAAAGACTGGAGACCAAGCGATTATTGATGAGAATGGCGTTGTACATATCCTGGGCCGATATAAGGATCTGATTATTCGTGGTGGGGAGAACATCTCCCCTGCCAAGATTGAGAAGTGTCTGGAGCAGATTCCGGGACTGTTTGTAAGACAATTTCCGGTTCAGTGCAGTATTGTGGGGGACTGACTCGCGAACAGACACAAGTCGTCGGCCTCCCTGATGAAATTGCAGGCGAGGTTCCGGTTGCTGTTGTACACTCGCTCATGTCTTCCACCAAGCAAGACATCATGAAGCTCGTGGAGCATCTAGGACCAAACCACAGTCTGGCCGCAATAATCACCCTTGAAGAGCTAGGCATCGAGAAGTACCCCGTTACTTCAGCAGGCAAAGTTCGCAAGAACATCCTCAAAGAGCTTGTGTGCCAATACTTCGGCGTCGTTAACGATAAAGAAAACAAGGAACCACCCTCAACCGACCCATTGACGCCCCCTTCCTCTATCCATGCAGCCGAAGTGGTCGGCTTGGAGCCCCTAAGCCTCCAAGACGAAGAGCTCGCAGAGACAATCCAACAACTCGTCGACATCTGGTCAACTCTTGTCATCAGCGCTCCCGGGAAATACGATGCGATGTTCGACTTTGCAGATAGCATCACCCTCCTCCGCTACACTGACAAAGTCTGGAGGACTCTCGGCAAGAAACTATACTTGCAAGACTTCCTTGTCCACGACACGGTCGAGAAACAAGCCAAACTTCTTCAAACTCGAGAATCAACCCCACAAGAAGCATCTGGTGCGAATAAAGTTACGTTGTCAGCAAGCGAGCTTTCTCGTAGCAAAGATGGTCCCCCAGGACTTGCAGACATAGCACATGTGAACGGTGATCCGCAAAGATTTATCGAGACTCGCCATGCTACTTCTGCTGTCCTTTCTCCCCTCAATTTATCGTGGGAGAAAAACGTCGAGGACATTATTCCAATTAAGGATAGCTTCTTCGCCATGGCAGATGGTCTAAGACCGCAGTCTTTCCGGCACCGAATGGCCTTCAGCATCGCGAACAAATCCCGCCAAAGCATCCGAAAAGCTCTCGAAAAAGGATTGGATTCAAGGCCGTTGTTCCGGACATTCCTCGTGAAGATGCCAGATAACACGCCTATCCACATCGTCATCCGGCCTTCAAAAGCTCTTTACGACATCTTGATAACTGAGAGGGAAGGTCTCACCGAGAAGGATATAGAAGATCTGACACTCGACGACAACGCGAAGTCCTTCTCACGCACACAAATGGTGCAAGTAGTCATCGCCCACTCTGCCACTGATCCCGCCATCAGCACTTTAATCCTAACATACAACCACTCTGTCTTCGACGCACTATCCATGATCCCCTGGATCCGAGACCTTGATTTGCTCATCAGCGATCCAGAGACGAAGCTGCTGGCTTCTACGCCCTTCAAGCTCTTCGCCGACATGATGCACAGCCATGCTGGAAGTATGCCCGCCACATTGGACGTCAACTACTTCGTGAACCGCTTCTCAGGCATCAGCAAAGAGACAAAGGCATTCTGGCCCCCGCAGCGAGCTCCAGGATGGCTGATAGCGAATGATGTCGATTCCCCTGACCTCCCTTCCCGCACTATTGCAAGAAATGGTAGAGAGCGTGTCCGCTACCCGCGGGTTGTAACGAAAACCAAGGTTCCACAGATGGCCACGCTGAAAGAGAAAGGTATCCAGCCAGTAATCGTAGTCAAGACTGCGATTGCTATTTTCAATGTAAGGCAAACAGGCCAAGACCACGCGCTCTTCAATAGCCTCGACACAGGACGCAGCTGGCCCTTCATGCCATCCTGGATCCCGTTGCCTCCCGCAATGTCGATCGACGGGCCGACAATGGAGTGGACGGGCAACATGATCCATGTCCTACGCACCGAGACTGTTGGAGAGTTGTTAGAGAGGATGACGGAGGATCAAGAGGAGTTGAGTAAGCATGCTCATGCCCCGCTTTTCAGGGTGCTGGATGGACTGGGCAAGGAGGGACCGTTTGTTCTGCAGGGTTTGTTGAGGCAGTCTTTTAATTGGGATATTAGTTTGCAGTGTTTGGATTATGCGAAATATGGGAATGATTTGACGACGTTGAAGCTCGTTGAGAGAGTTGATTGGCCGGATGGGTAAGTATTCCTTTACTTGTGGAGGGATCTAGGGCTAATTAAGGCAGAGGATTTGTCTGGGGGGCGGGCATGACGGGTCCGGAAGAGCTTTGTGTTCTGGCCACTTGGGATGATGCGCAGATGAGCACGGAAGAGACGGAGGGACACGTTGCCAGCCTCAATATGATAATTCAGTGGATGATTGAACCTGAAAGCTGGGGCAAGTCGGTTGGTGATATTTTGCAGGAGAAGTGATTCTGGTGATTGAGATTGTCAGTGGAGAAATTTGTATTGCGCGTTGAGATTCTTGCTCACCTCATATACGATTCTTCAACTTCTTCTCCCCTCCAAACATTCTTCTTTAATGTTCCACATCTCGCCCAACATACCTCTCTTTGGATCATCAGTTCCAGGTAAAACTCTCCATAACCTTCCAAACCTCCCCCTTTATCCCCTCAAAACATTTACCGACCTCCACTAAGTCCTTCCCAAACATTCTCTCCGGATAATCAAACCTGCCAATCGCCACTTCTTGTATCCACCCTGGGCCTCCCTCATCGTCCTTGTATTTCCACCTCGCGACCGTAACCTTCTCCCCCCGTCTAATTATCCCTTCTATCCACCTCCCAATCCTAATAGCAACTCCCCTACTCCCCTTCTCTCCATCCTCCATCTTGAGCACCCATCCCACTTTCCCCCCCTGTAAATCGAGATCAACCCAGCACTCTTCGTATTTCTCCACTTTCCCTGTCTCCGGGTTCACCATATTCCCGCTTTCAAGCACCTCACCGTTGTCCTGTAAAAACATGTCCCCTTCATCCTTAACCTCTTCCGCGTTGGTAACTTTGCTATCAACCCAATGCTCCCACACCGTATGTGCTGGTTTATCTCCCTCGGCGGAGGCGGGCGTAGAGTGTGAAGTTCCTGCGAACGCCCATTCTAGAGGTGGGGGGTCGAGTATCGGGGAGGTGGGAAGGAGGACGCGGATGTCGATGAAGTTTTTAAGGGGGCTGGTGAGGACGAGCGTGCTGTGGGAAGAAGGGGGTTGGCCGAGAGGAAGGAGGAGCGGGAGGGAGGACGTACGAGGTTGGTTCTGATGATGCGTTGTCCTGCGAATAGTTAGTGAGAGGGAATTGGGGAGAGGGAGAGCAAAACGTACGCCCCATTTTATGTATTTGCGGATTGAGACCGAGGGTTGGTCTGCCATCGTGGAGGTGAGGAGTGGAAATTGAGGAGATAAGAGATATAAAGGTGGGGGCGAGAAGCTATATCGTTGATCGCGAAGAGCATGAAATATGGTCACGCGCATAATGAATTGGAACTGCTCTGGAGATGGTGAGGGTGGTGATAAGAGACTAGGATGGGATGGATGAAAGGGGGAAACAGAGTGCGAATTTAATGTGCTTGGTATCTCACATAATATACAATAGTAGAGAGGAGAGGCATGAGAGCAACAGTACCGTCAAGACTCAAACCTATGACAAGGAGATACCGACCAACTGACCCTAGATTCGAAAGACTGAACAGCAAGTCAACCCATTGCGCCAACGGGAAACGCTTAAAAACTCGACGTAAAAGTAGAGAGCAGTCTCTGTTCTCAATTGAGGCGTCCTCGATCAGCCTCATTCTCTCGCAGCTTGGCCCCGGAAGCCCGATACCAAACATCGCCACCCCATCGCATCATCCTCTCCACCGCAGCCGTAGGTGTAACCGCCGGCCGAACATCGAGATAGAAAACCGGTTCACCTGTTGGTTCTGGGTCGCCGGAGTAGTAATCGATCACATATCGAACCTCTTTCTTCTGACCATTGTAGTCCCTTTGCACAAACCAATCGTGGCGATCAAACGGCGGTTCCGTGCTATGCAATATCAGCATTAGCCCTCTCAAGAATGGGAAGTAGAGACAAACCCAAATGCACTGGGATAAATCCAGCCCATAACCTGGATCATCGCCGCCTTGGGCGTCATCTCCTTCGGCCTCCCCATAAACCTCAGCAACTTGGGCTGCGGGACCTCCTCCTCCCTCTTCCACTTGTCAGCTAGAGCACCCTCCTCCCCTCTCCTACACATCTCCCACCCTTTCTTCAAGCCCTGCCCGAACCTCCTCTCCCACTCCACTATCTCCGCCCATGCTCCCTCGTTCAGAAAGTTGTGCACAGAGACCATACTCTCCACCGCAGTCACATCTGTATCCGTGTACCCCTTCCTCAGCAACGCATTGTACATCTGCTGAGGAGACGGATATTCCCAGTTTCCTTCTCCATTGCCCTTGGGGATTGTAGAGGGCTCGCGTTCAGTAGGCAGGGCAATGGTCTGGTTCTCAGCGCGGTCTTGAGAGAGATCGGAGAACATGTAGTTTAGGGGGTTGTATTTGGAGTATTTGGGTGGAGTAGAGGAGTCTTTTGAGAGATCTACTGGTGTGTATGGGCAGGCGGATTCTGCTGGAGGAGTGGGGGGTTTGGCCACGGCGAGCGTGGACTGGTGCATTGGGCATCCTGGCTGAGGAGATGTTAGAAGGAAAGTTATACTTCTACATTAGGGAAAGAGACTTACCGGTGGGGAGAGGTTGCCATCCTTGGGCATTGGCTGAGCTGCACCTCTGGCGTTCACGATCGAGACATTGGAGTCCGCCCAGAACCAACCCATGATGTCGGGGGTCGCCAATTAAAGATTATTTGAAGTATGAAAGGTATTAAGAATGAAGGTATCACAGAATTCTACACGCAGAGAAGCTGTTGAGGTCTGCGTGGGTGTGGTTGGATGTTGGCTGAGGAGGCGATTGCGATCCAAAATGAAATTCTGCCACCAAACCCGACTGCTTCCGCTCGCCGAAATTATCCTAGCGACACCCCTATTTCAAACCTCGCTTCTTTTTCCGTGCTACACATAATATTTGCTATGATTCTTAATTCTCAATCTTTCCCCAGCCTTTTCTGTATATGTCTTATTAATGTTAATTGTTACCAGTAAGAACCACACAGACGGACGCACGGAAAGGGAGAGGAAGGGTAATCTGACTCGAAACACTTCCGCAAGTCAACATTGACGTAATTCATAATTTAAGACGGCTGGACGAATTGGTTTGAATACTCTCGAACATTTTGCAATGCCTAAGCTCTGAGCATAAAGCATACGATTCACACAAGTGATTCAACCCTCGAAGTATTCGCTTCTGGCCTCGAAAGAGTAATCGAACTCCTCGGTTCAAACAGAAATCTTACAATGAGGTACGGCAGTCACAGGATGCAAAACATATTTCAAATCTCCTAAATTGATAAAATACGTCAAGAACTTCGTCACCTCTTCGAACTAACAACTCAAGTCCCAAACGAATGTGCTTGTCACCCACACCAATATCAAAGCTCCGCCTAACGTATTTCCTCTCCTTCACGAGCCACCCACCTATGCATCCTTGCCCTCTCTGATCTTTGCAGCTTGGATCATCGAGTTGAGTGGATGTAGATTGCTCGTCGTATGGTGGATGAGGGGTGATCTACTTGTGCTTAAAGCGAACGACGTTAGTGATGAAGTCATGAATGAGAGACGAAGAAAAAAAGAGGACCACACACATCGCAGCAAGAGCAGCTCTCACAGCTGGAGCATCCGGAGCAACTGGCGCAGGAGCAATCACCCATGGCTGATGTTTTGTTGTTTGTTTGGTTGTTAAGTGGAGTATATCGTCTGGACTTGACTTGATTCTTGGCTGTGTAACTTGTGCTATTGATGATGGGGAAAGGAAACAGAGAAAGGTGGGAGAAGACAGAGGATTTATAGACAATGAGAGGCGGCAGAGCTCCGCGGAGCTAGAGATAAAATCAACATGCAATACTCCCCCCTCCTCCCACCTCCCTCCCCCCCCCAAATTGCTTGTAACAGTGGGCCACAAAGCACAGACGTTCTACCATACGAAACGCCTCCTTCAAGAGGGCCCACAATTGCAAGTAATTATGAGGGAAGAGTAATGACTGTCGTTTACTGCGGCTGCTGTACCCCACACCAAAGCTTCGGCAGCGAGCTCGAATGGGTGGAGATAGGGAGGAGGTTTGAGCAGGATTGAGGCCTAATATTACACTACAGCGCTATCGACTTGGCGTGTCACCCTTGGACAGCGGTTCGATGCCTTATTCATTATCATTATCAAAGAAGTGCGAGGTCATTTCGGCTTCCCTCAAGTGGTACTTTATGGATGGAAAGAATACAACATGACGCCCGTGAGAGTATTGCACAAGCCAGTTGCCTCAAAAGGGTAATGAATCTCGAACTGAACAGCGTCGGAGTCTTCGAGCAGAAATGACAAAGACATTAGTCCTCGGCCCACTTTGGCCTAACAAGGAAAGCACTCTCAAGCTTACTGGCTAAGCAGACAAAGGGAATCCCAGCACCGCATAAATGGCTCAACACCGCCATTGGATAGCCCAGTCTTTCGTCCTTTGTGTCGTTGCCGCTTGAATTGGATCGACCGGGAGAGGGCGCATCGCGATAACTATCGGTAAATCCAGGAGGGTCGGGCAGCGTCATGGAGAGGGATCATGTTAACGGAACTCGAAAACGGAAGGGGGTGATGATTTGGGGTAACCAGGAGGGAAACGTGGCAAATGGTTTGTGGTGTGGTGCCGGGGGAAACTTCGATGGCTTGATACTGATGCGGCATGTCACCAAAAAGGAAGTAGAGGTATCAGCCGTCGAACTTTGGTGTATGTGGGAGAGACTTGGAAGCATCAGGGACTTGCGAGAGAGGAATCTGTGGATGGAACGTTTCTTTCGAGGCATCAGATCATGTGCGGTAGTGTCACCAAGTATTCACGGGGGCCTTTGCGTTGCAAACAAAGAGGTTTAGAGCCAGATTGACTTCTTGATTCTTTATTCATTGCCGTTCGTGAAAGTAAACGCATCTAGCTGTATAGCTATCCTGCCATCCTTAACGAAACAAAGCGTCCCCTATGCAAGCCATCAACCAGCCATAATCCACCCAAAAGCCATCCTTAAGCAAAGTTCAACGCATGTGTATCTGAAGCGACCGCAGAAGAATCGAAGGAGTACCGAAGGAAAGGATGTCAGAGGGTGAAGTGATTTATTTATTTTCCGCAGCTAGCGCAGGAGCAGCTGTCGCCGCAGTTGCCTACCGTCGCAGTCAGTATTTGGCCCAATAAGAAGAGGTTGGGAAGTGGGGTAATGAGAAGGTAAGACATACAGCTTGAGGCACCAGAGCATCCGCATTCGCCCTTCATGATGATGGTATTTGCTGGTGGTTGGTAAAACGTTGAAGTATTTTGTTTGTTGCTGGTAGTGATTCTTGAGTTGCTTTCGTGATGTTGAGGGAAGGTTGGCAGTGGGACCAACCAGCCTTTTATGCTCAGTCTTTAGGGCTCTAAGGAGATCTCTACCCGGGATCTAAGGCAATCGGACCACCTATTCCTGGCATCACCCAATCGTAAGCCCAGCACCTGCGCTCTTTGTGCGGTTTTGCGCGGGCTTTGTGCGGGTTTGGTCAGATCTCTGCGGCTGGGCCTGCGGGTTTTGTGCGCTGTTCCATACAGGCGGGGTCTCTGGAGTGTGGAGGGGGTCCTCTGACGGAAATCGATTGGTGGTGAAACAAAGCCTGTGTGAGGAATGTGCGCCTTGGAGATCTAGCCGGATAAGGGGTTAGGGGGATCATCCTCGGGCGTTGCCGGCTAATGGGACGGCATGTATTTTGACTGCCCCCCGGTCCCCCCCTTCACTCTTCTGCCACCCTAAGTGGAAGATAAGGTGCTGCTGAGAATAAAAGCTCCTGCTGGGTTTAGCTGGCTGTCTAAGTTTGATGGCGAGGTTTCTAACTCCAAAAGTTTTGCTTCGAGACTGGAAGACTTCTTAAGTCTAGCGTCTTATGTCTAGCGCTGCGTTAGAACGCGTTCGTACAAGTGTAGCACGGTCCGGCCAGGCCCACCTGCAGGAAATTCTCCACAGAGCCTTCCAAGCTTTCTACGCCTCTGTTAGCAGGGCAACTTGTCAAGCCATGCCCAATATTTCTGGGATGACAGCCTTTTCAGTGTAGAGAGTCGTCACGTCGGTATTATCAGATCAGAAGCGTGGGGCACGGTCAGGGGAGGGCGTTAAGCCAGTGCTGAACCAATGGAAACATGCTCATTGTGGTGCCAAACCCCCAACATACTCTCAAAACTTTCCCCGATCTTGCTCCTAGTAGAGTAGTCGTTGCAGATGGAAAGGGTACATGAATGGCTCCTCCTCCCTTGTCATACGTTTGGGGGTTCTGCCTCCTACATATACACAGATAGGGCTTTCCGATTTCCGGCAGCTGGACTTACGTATGGGCTTCGTTTCGGGAATGGGGGTTGGAACTTGGTGTAGGATGGGTGGGACGAAGATAAATGGATCGGCACTGTTGGGCGGCATTCCTGCATTTGACCTTACTTGCATTCGACGATGACCAACCGCGCAGCCTCGTTTCGACCTTCTCCTCGGCTCTGTTCGACAATAATCCAAGGTTGTTTTAGGTCGTTCCAGGTCATGAGTAACAGGTATTTTGCTGCATTTCGTACTTACCGCATGGCAGAGGCACAGAGACCGACGTCGTGGTGACCTACCTTATACCACAGCTGTGAAGCTTAGCATCTCATTGGGCTGGAAGAATGAATGCATAGTTTTGCATTGTAAGATTGTCTTCGTGGAGAGCGCTGCTGAGGCTGCGATTACCGTCATGTGACTCTGTTCCTGGGTTGTTCTGTCCCGGATTAGCCGCTTGGCAATCCCCAGCTTGATAAGTAAGTATTGAGGAAATATTGAAGCATCCTTGTCTCGAATGGAAAATTACTACTTGCAGGTACGGCCCCATAAATTTTAGAATCACAGCGGGCGATGAAGGTAACCAATCGATCGACGCCGAGGGAATACTTGAACAGAAAAGCATATTCCACGCATAATATGGCTTACCTTCTGAACAGTCATCTCAGAACCATCCAAGTTTGGAGATCGACTATTGAAATGGTCTCAGCTTTTCTTCTGCAATGTTCTCTGGTTAGGATCGGGCAGAGGTCGGCATTTCACTGCTGCACCAGCTGCCAAAGATTGTGTAGTTTCTTCCCAAAGCCACCCAATACAAGCAGAAGATCGATAATTGTCTTTCACTTCCTTCGACATTATAAAACTAGACACAGAGTCATCCAACATCTTATGAGAGTATATGAATAATTGCTAATAATAGAAAAGCGACAATTCGTCAATTTTCACTTTCAGCTTGCTCTTGGCAACTTCTGTCTCTTGCCGCACAACACGATAAAGGTGCGCTGGTAGTACCCGTTCGTACCTTCCGCTCGATACCACGAAAGCGATTTGGCCACCACCAAAATTGGTGTTCCTCGCTAAACTCTATGGCACGGACCAGCCAGCTTGAAGTATCTTTCATGCAAATTTACTATGTAAATACTTGGCCAAATCGCTTTCACGAAACCCCCTATGGTATAAGGGGGAGGTACGGACGGGTAGTCTATTCCCATCGATGAAGTTATTCCGAACCATTCTCGTTATCTATAACACATCGTTGCCATGCCAAACCCACTCCACCTTCCTCGGCGTTGCAGGAGTTGCGGCCCAATTAATCGAGCAATGCTTCATGATGATCGTGTAATTCCTCTACTCGACAATCACTGCCATGGTGGATGCGCCAGAAGATGTTCGGATGCAGCTTTAGCATATTGATCAGTTAAATGCAATCTCAGAACTCATTACTCCGCACCCTTCTTGTCAAACTGCCCCGGTAGAGGTGGTTTGAAGACTACTCTTGTGGACATCAAGAGGCGGCAGGATATGCTCTGCATATGCCGGTACCACCAGCTTCTCGAGCATTAAACCTGCAGACAAAATCTTTTCTTGCGGTTATGGAAGAAGTCAGTGTTGAAACGGCATTCACAAATCTAGAGCGAAGAAAAACCAACCTCATCGTTTGTATGCAAGTCATAAACTCGTGAGTCGACCTCTGCCTATACATAAATGATAAGCCTAACATGATATAATAGGGACTTGTTGTGTTCTGCCGGTATCCGGGTTCAGGTGGTACAGGCAGCTGTTGGGGAAGTATCCTTGATCATCAAGGACGCGGCTCGAAACTTGCAGACAATCCAAAGAGTTTGTTCTTGGATTTTTTTCCAACACAAAGATCAGATTCGCAGTCTGTCCATGGACAAAAGCTTGGTTTTGCGAGAACGCTTACGAGGTATATATTTCCTATTTGAAACTGAAACGGATTGGAACCAAATAACGGCCGGTTCACTAACTAATCCAATTCGCTCCCTATCCCCTCATGGCCCATCCCTAGCCCAATCCAAAGGCGACGCTTTCGACAACGATGAATCTAACACTTCTCACCCTCGAAGCCACCAAATGCTACCTCCGGTTCCTTGTCAAAATCACCACATGCCCCGTAAATCTCGCCATCGGGCTCAAGAATGCACTGGAACTTGCGGACTAAGCATCTTAGTCGCCGGGCTTCGAAGTCAACGAAAAGCGTGCTGCTCCTCCTGGCAAGAAGATTGGAGACCCTCGTGGTGCATACGAGGACGAGAAGTTGCTCCCGTCCGTGAAGAATGGTAAACCTGTCTTTCATGCTGAGTGTGGTCAAGGTGTTCCTCAGGGAGTGATTGCGGCAAATATCAGTCTGTATTGTGATAAGACGACGATGGCGGGGTTCTCGAATGTTATTGAGAGGAAGGAATTGGATGCTAACCCCCAGTCTTGTCCACGATATGAAGAGGCTCGTCTTTTGTTCATTTGTAAGTGGGTTAGATTAGCGTTTTGACATCGAAAGGAGGAGAGCATTGTTCAAGGGTTGCTTTGCAGTGTGGAGTTAAGAGATACCTATTTTTATGACGCCAGGGACAACAGTTGTTGTCATTTCAGAACTTTCCAGTTCACGTTCTCGTTCTGTCTCAATATATTCCAATAATCGCCACCCTCTTCAACCATCAGAGATCGCAAGCAGTAACAGGCAAGAACACGGGTCGCAGAGACCGGCTCTGGCTCACAGAAATGTCTTGCCGCAAGGACGCAGGGAAAGAATGGTAGATGAGCGAATATCGGCTTTCTTCTTGTTGCAATGTTTTGGAGGTTGACGACTTCATTTTTCAGCTCACGCGGGGTAAGCACTCTATATATACATCTGGTATATAAACTACAGTGTACCAGCGTACACTCAGTTCCAACACGCCCCTTACGCTGTACACTGTGACCGTATAACGCCCCCAGAGGGTGTCTTTTGCCTGCTTAGCGCCCCTACGCTGATATATCCTCAAGTCTCTGCCCTTATACCCCCAAACCCCTAGCCCCAAGCTAGCCAAACACGCCCTTGTCTCTTGCCCTCCCTCAGCGAGGTTCCAAGGGAAACTGTCTTCCCGGGCCGGTGCTGCTTCCGCTCGTACTATCGCAGGTTATGAGGATAGGCTTTCGTGGCGACCGACCGACCGACCGACCGTGGTTCGCAATCGTCGCCCCTGAGTCGTACAATATAGCTCTCTCTCCTGCAAGAGCTATAAGGGAAGCCGTCAGTTGCAACACGCGCAGCGGTGAGCATTTGCTGCTCGCGCATTCCGGGCCCATGACCTGTTGCAATGTTTTGGAGGTTGACGACTTCATTTTTCAGCTCACGCGGGGTAAGCACTCTATATATACATCTGGTATATAAACTACAGTGTACCAGCGTACACTCAGTTCCAACACTTCTCGGACCATCTCTTTCGCGCGTTTGGGGTGGTTTGCGCTCGCCAATAAGGAGAGGGGAAAGAGGGGCACTGCGGCTGGACCTTCCCAATTGGGTATAGGGGGAATATGGAGGACGATGGCAAACGCAACTTCCTCCGCTGATATAAACCTCGCTTCCTCTTAATTCATCGTTTGCTTCTCTTTCTCTCCTTGGGAGATCTCAAACAAGTCTCCACCGTCAGAAAATGGCGCCAATCCCTACATCCAGGGAAGGCTACCACTTCAAAGCCGACACTATCCATGAAGGGCTGTACACAGAAGCCGCAATCGAGAGCACCAAGTCTCCGAAGCCTTTTTACGATGTCATCGTAATCGGATCGGGTTTTACGGGACTCACAGCAGCTCGGGACCTGTCAACTGCTGGAAAGTCGGTCCTTCTCATCGAAGCCAGAGATCGAATCGGAGGCCGCACATGGGCAACGAGGTCTCGTGGTCATTATATGGAGAGTGAGTCTTAACTCCTTTTTTAAAAGGATGCTGACTGACTTCTCCAGTGGGTGGAACATGGGTATACTGGACCCAACCCCACGTTTGGTCAGAACTGAAGCGTTATGGCCTGGACCGAGAACTGAAACAGACCACCGGTACCTCTGGAGATTTGGAGGTCCTGCAATTCAAATCTCGAGGCTCAGACCCGCTGAAAGAGTACTCCTTCGACGGACCCGGAGGCTACAATGTGATAATGGAGACTGCAATCTACAAATTCCTCGATGTAGATGGAGCTGGTGGTACCAAAATCCTTGCTCGACCCTATGACAGAGACTTCGTCCGCAACATCCCGCTCAAGTTCATGAAACTCACTTGCAAGGACCGCCTCGATCAACTACCGGAGCTCCCGCAGGAGCATAAAGATTTGATCGCGAGTATGTTCGAGACCATTGGATGTGCGTCTATTGACAAGACTCCGTTCTTCGAGATCTTGAGGTGGTTTGGACTTTCTGGGTTTACGTTCCGTGGTTGGCTTGCGAGTGTGGATGAGCTGAGTCTGAAGAGGGGAACAACATCGCTTGCGCTTGCAATCATGGATGAATCGAGGGCCGATATCGTTCTTTCTAGCCCAGTTGCCTCAGTTATACGTAGCAGGACGGAGCCGTTAACCACCATCACGACGAGAACTGGGAAGGTGTTTCGCACGACAAAGGTTATTTGTACCTTGCCGGTCAATTGTCTGGGAGATGTTTCCTTTGACCCGTAAGTCTTCCGTTTCCTGATTCTAGGCAACGCTAATCTAACTGAACATTCAGACCAATTAGTCCTCTGAAACTCGCTGCCGCCAGAGAGCAACACCTTACCAAAATCGTCAAAGTTCACACCTACACTTCGGAAAAACTAGTCCCAACTTTCGTCTCCAGCCTTTCTCCTTCCAAAATCCCCTTCGGCTACACCGAATCCGATGTCCACGACTCCAAAGAAGGAGGTGGAACCTTCTCCGTCTTTTTCGGTTCCGAATCCGAACTCGACCGCTGCACTCCTCTCGCTACTTTCCGTGAACTCAAGAAGATCCTCCCATCAGAATTCAACAATGAGAAGAGAAATCCAAAGTTCAATCCGAAAGAGATGTTTTGGCATGATTGGACTAATGATGAGTTTGCGAAGGGAGCGTGGTGTACGTTCCCCATGGGCTGGCAGGAGAATTATCTAGATGCTTTGAGGGAGGATGAACAGGGCGGGAGTTGCATTTTTGCGAATGCTGAGTAAGTCCTTGTGCTCCAGAGGTGATGTAGGCGATTTGCTAATCTTTTTTTCTTCTTATTTGTAGCTGGGCAGATGGATGGAGAGGGTTCATTGATGGAGCATTTGAAATGGGGAGGTCTTCTGCGTGGAGGGTCTTGAAGGAGGAACGGAATGCGAATCGAGCATCGAAGCTATAAGGGCATTTTCTCTTTCCCTTTCCTATGGGTTTTATTCGCAATTACCTCTAAGCGCGGAGTTTGAAGGACGGGTCAATGACATACAGCATCCACCTTGATTCGCCTGCACGTGAAGCACCCTTGGATCTCCGTTCGGGGGTCAATCGCTAATTCTCAGGGGCAGCCTCGCTAAGCCACAGGGGCCTTCCTTTGGTTGTCCGCTCGCTAGGGAAGTATTCTCAACAGACCTCACACTCTCACTAAGATAACCCTCACGACCATACTTCATTCTCTCAGCAGTCTTTTACTATGACCCGAGAGATGTGTTCTGTAGTACCACAATCTAGATTTGTAAGCATGACGTAGTCTTCGAACAAAGTCTCTGTTTCCCAACCAGCGAGTGTGGGGCGTAATGAGTAAATCCGCAGCATGAACTGCTTCCAAACTTCCCTCTTTCGGCAAGATTTATAGCAGCTAAGTCCTTCGTCGATCATTTGCGATTCATCTGCACATCCCAGGCTCCTGTGTATCTGCGGATTGCGAGCTTGTGGTATGAGGCAGTATGAGATTGCTTCCGTAAGGTTCTCAGTGGTCAGAAACTTGCGTGGGATTTACCCCAAAGCTGCTGGCTAGATACAAAATCAGCACAAATGGAGCACAGCCTTTAAAATTATGGAAGACTGACTCGTCAAAGAAGGGAACAATCATTGTTGGTTTTTCGTTAAGAAGCCCGCATGCAGTTGTACCTGAATATCCATGATGAACACAGTCAACACATGTTGAAACAGCCACTTGTGTGGACAATCTCCAAGATAGAATACGTTCTAGAGTTCTAGACCTCCAAGTTTACTCTATCCTTGAGAGAGAATAGCACGAACACCACAAAATCGAATAGCATCAAGGATAAGGGAACTCATCTTTGCAGGATCGTCGATGGCACACGCAATACTTTCCAAGCCAATATAGACCAATGCGAGTCCTGCTCGGAGGAAATCATCAAGGTCTGGTGGAGGCTGGTAGAATGGTGGGTCTTGGAGGAAGAACCCGCAAATATTTGACACCTTCAATTTAAGCTTCTCAAACAAAAACAGAAAACTGGGAAAAACTTATTTGTATGAGGTGGCAAATCTATCAGCTTTGGCACCAGCGATGGTTACCAGCAGTAAGTAAATGGTATCCCGAGGGAACTGGCAAGATTTGGGCCTTCCATGGCAGACACAGGTTCCAAGACCAACGTCTTCCAGCATTTGATGATGACATTGCCTAATCTTTGGTGACATGTTGGTTAGATGGATTTCAAGATGGGGGTGTGTTGACTCACCCTTGCCATGTCGTCCACGCTACAGCACTGGAGGAGACAAATTTTACCGCTGTAGGGTCAGCAGCTCCACTGTTCTTCAGATTTGCCAAAGGGTGCAGGGACCCTCTCGTGTTGCTCGAAGGCATGGTGAACATGAGATGAACCGGAATTCTCAGTATTTGAGCTGGACATGCGCAATGCTCGGAGGGCTGGTAATGATTGCATCTGTAACGAAAACAGACCATAAATCGGATCCGGCTGTATACAAGAATCCCAACACCCATTCAACATCTCTCCAACCGTGATTCTGTGAACCGCTTAGGAGCAATTTCGCCTTTGCCGTAATTCTTCTAGGGATGGTCAGATTTGTAATATATAATTTATATAATAATGCCAATTGGCGTAATTATATAATAACGGCCTCGCCGTTATTATGATTTATGAAATCAAGTATAATTTACGCATAAGTTAGGCATAAATTAAGCAAATTTGGGCGTCTCTATTCGTTAAGGGCAGGGTACACAAGTACCCCCTGCTCCCTTGCGCGCTAGCCTTTCCATAATAGGTTAGCGTGTAAAAATAATATAAAAACGTATTTTCCCCATTATATTACATTATTATATAACGATGGTCCAAATTATATAATTTTTACATCCCTAAATTCTTCATACTTGGGATTAAGCCAAGATTCTTGGCCATCAGCACTTCGGGATTGCCTCGGCATCTAAATACGAGTGCCACTGGTCCAGGCTAGCTGAAACAGTGGCCCTTCAGGCATGAAAGGTTACATTTAGGGTCCCTGAGTGGCTCCTTCGTAGGGACATCCCGGCATTCGCGATAGCGTGGCTGCACCCTCCCCTAAATGTGCCTCTTGGTTGCATTCGAGCATGCTAGGTGATTCAATTCATTTAGAAATCACGAGAGTTTGAATCCCTCGCGTTTACTGGTCCGACGCGTCAGATCTGGAACCATTTGAGGATAATACTCATCCAGAAATGATATCAGATCTGCCAAAATCTGTAGCGCTAGATACCAGACGAGTTCTGTGCAGGCTGTGTTCGGGTCTAGAAGTGCGGGTTTGAGCCCGGCGGAGTGGCGGAGGATCGAGGATGTCAATATAAGGGTACCATAATATAATCTTCACTCAGAGATGGCGGATTGAAGTTTTTGAAATCTATGGTAATCATAGAAATTGTCAATATATCGATCGAGAACAGCTCAGGAGGATTTAGGGTTCGAAATTGCTCCCTTTCGGTGGGCTTCGAGAGACGTGTCTGACCCCTATTCTCCGTGTCAACCGTGAATGACACAGTGGAGACAACAGTAATCAATATATATGACTGGCAATCCACCACTGGAAGTAGCAACCTTCTCACCATTTCATAACAAGAAATCACTCATACAAAAGCAAGACTCTCCGAAGACACAATTCCTTCAATCCTTCTCCAGTTTAAATATTTCCCCACCCAATATCTCACACCTATTTGTCTAATGCCGCAGTTCTCGAACCGCATAATGGGTACTACCTCTGGAAATACATTCCCTCAATAGCAGCAACCGGTATATTTGAGCTATATCTGCACATTTCTGGCGCATCAACACCACGACGAGCAAATTCTGCCTGGCATTCGCAATTTGATACTTCTGTAAGTCAGACTTCACCATTTGTAGATTAATTGCTGACGAAAGATAGTCGAGTTTGCTGAATATTGTGCGAGAGCTTCAGCGCACAATAAAATAGGGAAACTGATACCATACATCTTTCAAAATCTCTTCATTCTTGTTGCACTAGCACTCTTCACCGCCTCAATCTACATGACACTCGGGGGATAATTCGCTCTGTGAAGGGGAAAGACTTTCACTTGTTCAAATCAATTGGCTCGCGAAGACATTTGTGATTGAAGAAATCATGTCCTTCGTGGTTCAAGGCGGTTCCGCATATTTACTGTTCTCAAGCAGTACGGTGAACATCGGCCAAGAGATGGTGGTTGGTGGACTTTTCATCCATATCATCATGTCTGGTCTATTTGCTCTTCCTGCGGCTATATTTCAAGTATATCACCGTCCCTCCCTTCTTTCGGGCATCTTTTCTGACAGCAGTCCTTTCCCAGTTGAGACTTCGCTTCAACCCTACTCCCGACTTCTATATGCCCGATATTCCGTGGAGGAAGAGTCTACACATGCTTTACGGGTCAGTGGCTTGTTCATGATCCATCAATTTTCCGAGTTGTCGAATACTTGATGGGTAATGACGGATATCCTTTGTCGCATAGATGGACTTTGTAATCTTACATTTCGACAGAGTGCTAATGATCCCCGTCACTGTCATTTTCTATATTCAGAATCCGAGTAAGCTTCAACAGGCAATTGGCAACAACGAGGACGTTCGCATGATCTCTCAGAGCGACGATGGGAAGTTGTAGGGAGAAGTATATGAGCTGCATGTAAGGAGCGACAGATGTGGTAAGGAGTTTGTAGCGTCTGTGTTAGCTTTTCTGGCTGTTCTATATAGGTATAGGTTTTCAACTTATTATGTGTTGCGAGTGAAAGTCGGCCTTAACGAGTCTGCGAAAAATTCCCTATCTCAGCTGCCGAAGACTGCAAAGTTCGACGGATTCATGAAGTCACTTATTGGATTTAACATTCTACCCTGGGGAACCAAGATACCCAGGCGGCATATCACTTTCAATTATTCTCTCTCGCATTCTATCTGTCTGTTCCACCCCGTTCGTCAATACGAGCGATTAGTCAATCGGGTCTAAGCGAGGAGCCCGATTCGCTAATAAAAGAGCCCGATTGTAAGGCACGTAATAGCAGGGTGATGCACAAGTAGTCAAGGTAAGTAAGCTGCGGAGTGACGCTTGCAAGTGTAACTGATTCCAAGAATTGATTCCAACAAGAGACTAATCAATGCCCCTTCCAAAGCTAGGAGCGTCTCCCTATATATTCCCTAGTACTTAGCCAGGCATACGAAGCCCTTTACTTAATTAGGAAATCCCATGCGATCCATACGATTCCGATCGCAAGCTATACCCAAAATAGGAAACTAGATCCACGATATCTGATACCTGTCCATACGCCATTACGTATACCCATCACATTAATCCCCCCTCTGGGCCCTTGTCCCCAAGAGGCCTGGGAAAACTGCGAATAGCTTCACAAATATCCCCCTGAAACTTTCCTGGCCGCTGGCTTTCCCCAAAGACTCCCTATAATTGCTCTATTATTATACCAGGTAATGAAGTTAAGGATACAGTTCACTAACCCTTCCCAGCTAGTTCGCAAATCGCCTCTGGCGATTCCCCCTTGCAAAGGTAGTACGAATATAGCATATACTATCGGACATAAAGCTCATCCGATCTCCTAATTAGTTCGTAAATCCTAACTTAGCCTCCATTCGCGAATAAATTATTACTCTATAGGCCTAAGAGCTTGGAAAAGTTAATCCGATCTTCTGGTTCGTTCGTAAATCCCTTCTTTAGAATTTTCTGGGTATTCCTGGCATAGAGCTAGTTCCGAATTCGTAATCACTATTCGGAGAGAGGGCATTATAAAAAGGCCTTCCTTTTCCCACTAACTAACCTTCCTTTTCCTCAACTATAATACCGTACCCAGCTCCTCCTCGTCCCTTGCCTTCCTTCTTCAAGCCTTCTTCAAGCTCCTTCAAGCTCCTTCAAGCCTCATTCAAGCTTTATTTAAGTCCCCTTCTAATTCCCTCTTCCACTTCTTTATCCATCAAGATAAACACTCCTCTTGGTACTCGTTAGCCTGTCGCCACCCGTTCAGCCAACGCTCCCACATCCTTAATTCGCCCTTACTATCTTTAATATTCCAAGAATATCGCCAAGTTTCCCGACCTCACTTATATTAAGAATAATAATCGCTCGGTATATAATTACTACCGCTCCAAGAATAAGAAGTATAATCCTATAAATTACAAATTCCTTCTTTTATTCCTTATTCTAATGCTATCTAAGGTTCCTCAAGTATATATAATACGGTTAAACCGCCTTCTTTAAGCCATTAACGCATACAAGCATCTTCCCTATCCTTTGCCCAAAAGAGAGAAGGCTATTACTACCCTTCTTCTATGCCAAACTATATATACTTCTCGTATTAAAGCTATTATTTAAGGCTAACAGATTCCCCTAATAATCCAAGAAATAGGTCAAGCAATTCTTACTAGCTTGGCACAAATATAAAGTACTCTTAATAATATAATTAATATTCTTTGGTATTAAATAAGCTTACTTCTTCCTTATTTCTTACTAATAGCTAATAGCTTTATAGGCCAATTTATTACCTATTTCTCGAGAGGATCCTAATAAGGATAATAATAAGGATAGTAGAGAGTAATTACGAGGGTAAGGTATTTATAGGATATAGAAATTAGAGTTTTTAATAATTTTCATATAGTTTTTCCAAGAATAAATATATGGTTTTTTAATAGTTTCCTAATAAAAGCATTTATCTTTTATACCTCTATTTAGCTAATAGTATTGCAATATTACTCTTTTCCAAGTATTCTTATAATTCTTAAGCTATATTCTCCAGATTACTTAGTAGTTCCCATATATTATTTGCCGGTAAGTAGCCCTTCTAATAAACGAGATACTCCCTTCCTTTTCTGCCCTCCCTATAGGCTATAATGAATTCTATCTCGAATTTCTCTTTGCCCTTAATCTCGACCGGCTCTGGTTCTACTATAGTACTAGCTCGCGGGTATTATGGTTTTAAGAGGGAAATATAGAAAATATTATAGATCTAATATAATAGTAGTAATTCCAAGTAATATACCTATTTATATATTCCTATAACTTCTAGAACTTTAAAAAGGCCAAGATATCTATCCGCTAGCTTTATACTAAATCACAGCTATTAAATATTCTTTATATAAAGCATGACTTTATTATATATCTTGAACTTCTTATTAATATATTTCTTATTATAGTACTTTTTCTATATATTTACTACTTCTTACTATTATTTCTCTAGTGCCTCCCGTTCTACTTAAATCCTTTATACTTTTTCCTATACTACCGGTATCCCTCTTTCTGGAATGTTATTCTTAACATATAGTTTAATACTAGAATAGAATCCGTATAAGGCATAGAATAGGGATATTTCTATTATTAAATATATAGAGTTATTATATATAAATTCTGCAAGAGCAAGCTTTGCTATCTAGTTATCCTGCTAATAGCTAGTATAGTACCTCAAGTATTATTCTAGAGTTTGGTTCAGATTCTCTATTTATCTATTAGTTTATAGGTAAAATACTATACTTAGCTATTATTAAACCTTTAAATAGAAATATAGACTTAACTAGAACTTACTTATAAAAATAGATCCTTTATTAGAGATTATACCCATAGGCATACCGAAGTCTTTAATAATATAGTATACAAATAGCTCCGCTAGCTCAGAAGCCGAGACCTCCTTAGTAATCGGAATATATTATACTATTTTCGTATATCTATTAATAATAATAAGTATAGAATTATATACTTTACCGCGAAACCTAAAAGGGAATAGCCCTATAATAAAGTCTATAGTAATTTCTTGCTATGGCTTAGAAGAGAGAAGAAATGAACTGAGTATACTATATGGCAGATATCTCTTTATCTTAGTCCGTTAATATATAGGACAAGTTCTAATATAGTTTTTTATATCCTTTCTTATACTTTACTAGAAGTACTTTCTCTAGAGGATCTCTAGTATCTTACTAGTACCAAAATACCTACCTATAGGATTATTATAATTAGCTTATAGTAATTCTTCTTTGAGAGCCGGCTTATTTAGTATATAAATAGCACCCTAATATCTTAATAACCCAGATATATCAAGTTTCCAAGTCTTAATAGCTCTAGTAGAGGTTTTCTTTAAGAACTATTTATACTACTAGTATTATACTAATAGATTAAGCCTTTAATACTATAATAATAGTTTAAGTAATATTTCTCCGCTTTCCTTATATATTGTTTCGGATCTAGCTGCCCATATAGCTAGAATCCGTAGTATATACTATTTGTAACTAGCTATACTAGTAATAGGCTCAAGTAGTAGTATCTCCGGTACTACTCTATTACTAAAATGGACTTCCTCTTCGGAATTCCTTAGTATCTCGCTAATTGAGAAGTACCTACCTTCTCTCTTCTGGGCCTTATATTACGGTATTATAGGAATAGTATAGTATCCTATTACTGCCACCCATAGGGTTCTCTGTTCTATATTCTATAGCTTATTATAAAGTATAAGTAGTAAAGTATCTTTATTTATATCTGCTATAAAATCTGGCCTTCTTAATAGCCTATCGGCGGGATTACTATATCCCGGCCAGTACTCTAAGACAAAATCAAAAGCAGCCAGCTCTTTTACCTATCTTATTTATTAACTATTTAGTTTTCTCTTAATTATAAAGTATTTCAAGTTATTATAATCTATCTTAATAATAATAGTATACCGGATATATACTAGGTAATACCACTAAGTACGGAATACCAGAATAATAGCCAAGAGTTTAAAGTTATATGTCTCGTACCTACTCTTAATTACAGTTATCTTTTTTAAATAGAAAGTAATAAAGTACTACCTGGCTTCCGCCCCCTTACCAAAAAGCTAGGAAATTATACCTATAACTACGAATCCTAAAGTATCCGTTTCTATACGAATCTTTAAGGCTAGGTCAAAATAATAAAGAATTAGTACTATTATAAATATAATTTGCAGCTCCCTAAAAGCCTTATTTACCTCATCTATCTAGCTAAACTAATATAGTAGTTTTCCGCCAGTTTTTAGTAAATTAATTAACCCTTTCGCTACCCTAAAATATCTATAGATAAACCTCTAGTAAAAGTTAGCAAAACCCAGGAATACTTAGACTTCTCGGATATTATTTTTTAGGGCCGGCTATTCCCTAATAGCTATAACCCGGCTAGCCTCTATTTCTATACTATCTAGGCTAATTACAAATCCTAGGAACTCTATCCTCTCTATATTAAACTCGTATTTTACTAAGTTTATAAAGAGCTAGTATTACTATAACCGTTCAAACATATATTGGACCGCCGTTATATACTATTCTAGGTCCTCTAAATAAATTAAAATATTATCCAGATAAACTATATAAATAATATCTATAAGGTCCACTAATATATAGTTAATATACGCCTGGAACGTCGCCAGAGTATTAGATAGTCCAAAGGATATAATATAATACTTAAAATATTCATAGTATATTCGGAATACCGTTTTCCACTCATTACTTTCCCATATTCGCAACTAATAGTAAGTATCCTTTAAGTCTAGCTTTATATATACCTTTGCTCTATAAAGCCTATCTATTATCTTACTAATAAGTGGCAACGGTATTCGATTCTTAATAGTAATCCTATTTAGACCCCGGTAGTTAATATATAGATATAGGCCGCCTTCTTTCTTTAGAACAAACATAATTAGGGTACTAGCTAGGCTAGTAGAATAACGGATCTACCCCTTCTCCAAGCTAGTATTAAGATATTCCCGAAGGACTTCAAGCTCCCTTTCTAATAAAGCATATATAGGACCATATAGTAGTTAGGATCCTGGTTCCAGATCTATATAATACTCCATTATATAGTAATCGGGCAGTATACCTATAGCCTCTATAGAGAATACTCGGAAAAGGTCCTAATATTTCCTGGGAAATATAGCTATCCCATTTATAGTAATAGCGGTAACCCTTTAGTTATCTATTATAGAGTAGGCAATTAATAGAAAAACATACGCCTCACACTTCACTGCTTTAGTAAACTTCCTAATATTTAGAACTTTAATCTTCTATAGTCAAATCTGGTATCTCTATATTACCTCCCTAAAGGAAATTAGGAGGTCGACCTAGTAAAGCTATAGGAATCCAAGTATTATATTAATATGGTTTAGATCAAAATCATATAACGCAAAGTATATATTGGCCTCCCTTTAGTCCCCTAGTATATCCTCGGCAGTAATCCCAAGAATATAATCTCTATATAAATAAATCCTTCTTCCCTCTAGCAAAAACAAGGGAGTTGCCCTTAATATTAACGGAATACCCATATCTAAGGCTAACCTCCTCTTTATATAATTAGCCTCTATACCCGAATCAACTAATACTCTAACCCTTTGCCTATCTTTCCTTATCTTAATAGTAACCTCAATTACTATTCTCATTTCAGGGGCCTTACCCTCTATAGTATAAACGAGTATAACTACTACAGGGCATACCCGTTTCCCGGCTTCTTTAGTTCTAGGCACTTATATACCTTATAGCCAGACTTATTATAGTTATAGCAAGTCGGTTTTCCCCGATTTAGGCAGGTAGTAGTATAGTAACCCTTCTTCTGGCAAGTAAAGCAAGTTATACCCGGTCTTATAGATCCTAATACGGATACTATATTAGACCCCGTTACTATACTTTCGCTACCCCGGTTATACGAACCTCGTAACGGGAATATACTTCTCTTCCGTTTCCCTTTATTATCCCCTCTCTCCTTTCTCTAATTTCCTTCCTTTTATTAACCTGTTAGCTTATTATTACATTCCCGTTAAATAGACTAGTTCAAGTTATTCTCGACCCTTACGGCCGCAGAAATAAGCTTCTTCCTTTCTTATAAAGCATTCCCTTAGTAATTAATCTCGTCCCGAATCTCCTGCCTCAAGCCACTAAATAAGTCGTCCCGCTCTCGCAATAAACCCGTATATCCCAAGTTATCTAATAGGCTATCCAAGTAGAATACAAAGCTTTGGATACTCTAACCTGGCCGCTATTTTATATCCTTGAACTTGGCAAGGGCATTATTACTACGGTTCTCCGGATCCAAGATAGAATCCTTTATAAACTCGATAAAGGTCTCCCAATCTATAGTATTAACGCCCACCAATCGCTCCCTATACTTCCAGATATCCCTGGCTATATCCTCAAAGCAGGAAACATAATACATAACCTTTACTATATCTGTGGCCCAGGTAATCCCGCCGTCTTTATACTATTTTAGCTCCGCCTAATAAAAGAAGTCCTGGGCTTCCTTAATACTCTTCCCCTTATAGGTTAGCAATTCTCGGGTTTTTGGAGCCCTACAAACCAAATATACTACCGGTAGTATAATAGGTTCCACGATAAGTACCCGAATATCCTTAAGATAGTAAATCTGAGCTTCCAAATCCTCCAGATCCTCCCTCTATTATATCTCTACTTCTAACTCAGTAATATAATAACGAGCCGCCGCCAGCTTCTCCGTTATTATTATCTTGCTAGCTAGTTCTGGGAATATCTAAGTTCCACTTCCTTCTCCTAATTAGGCAATAGCTAGAGTGGCTGACTAGGCGCTCCCCTGGATACCCGACTGGGTCGCCCTAGTAATAGCAGAGGCGCTTCTTCTGGTTAATACTCTAGCCATTAGTGGTTTTGTCTATTAACGGCTTAACTACCTCGCAATAAACTGCTCCCCGAAGGTTAGATTAATTAGAATATAAGGTACGTAATAGCAGGGTAATACACAAGTAGTCAAGGTAAGTAAGCTGCGGAGTAACGCTTGCAAATATAACTAATTCCAAGAATTAATTCCAATAAGAGACTAATTAATACCCCTTCCAAAGCTAGGAGCGTCTCCCTATATATTCCCTAGTACTTAGCCAGGTATATGAAGCCCTTTACTTAATTAGGAAATCCCATATAATCCATATGATTCCGATCATAAGCTATACCCAAAATAGGAAACTAGATCTATAATATCTAATACCTGTCCATATACTATTACGTATATCCATTATACCGATTTTAAAATAATATATAAATTTCTAATAAAGGATAAAGGCCAAAATTTAATTAAATAAAAAGGATTAATGCTTATAAGAGACTTAAATAAATTTTTCTTATATTAAATTCTATTAAAAATTAAAAAATATATATATTTTTATATTTTTAAATTAAAATTATAATAAAAAGGGTTTAGAGTTCTAATAAAAGGCCAAAGCTAATATTACTTAATTAATATAATTAACTAAACTATTTCTAATAAATTATATTAATAGGATTTCAATAATTTATGGGTTTTAAAATATTTTAGTATTTTAAAAATTTGCTCGTATTCGATCTCGTATTTATAAACCGGAGTTCGCTTAAGCAAGCGATTAAGCAATCGGGGCCCGCAATTGGGCAATAGGGACCCCGATTGACTAATCGCTCGTATTAACGAACGGGGTGGAACATATCTCTTCTATGAGCAACACTTCAAAATTTCACCCTTCTCTAGATATTTCAGATTCTTTGATATGACTCAAAACAGATAATAACTGGCCTTATTCCACTGTTTTATGTATCTTTCAAGTTATAACACTTGCCGTTACAAAAGTTGTCGCAGGATGATGATGCGGCATAAACGATTATTTGTCAGGTTACCGAGATCAAATGTAACCTCACTATGTCATTGGTCGAGTCAGCGAACAGGGTAAGGCTGATCCATGGTTACATTTTCACGAGCATTGGAAAATGGGTTGGATAACTTAGGATGATAGCTTGGTGCCACAATCCTTCTACTGTGCCCCCCGAGGAGCTCTGCAGGATAGTTTTCGCAGGTGCCGATTGGTCTTCGATTGAGCTCTACAAGCTGACCGACAATCTCACGACAATCTCACGCTGCACCACCTATTTAGCGCGTCAGCACGATAACAGGTCAGCTCCGGTCATCTGCCTAAACTCGATATAAGATCGTCAAAACATCCCGATCCCTAAGCCTCAAGTTGACTAAACAATTGAAACCATCATGGGTTCCACAATTGACCTCCCTCAGAGGCCATCGGTTGATGCTCTTACCACATTTCTCAAATCAAACCCGGAGATCGAATTCCTCCGCTACCAATGGCTCGACATTGGAAATGTCCAAAGACTCATCGTAGTCACAAAGGAACACGCCCTCAGCCTCGGCAACAAGCCACTGAAAGTCAGCTGCCTCTGTTTCGGAGTCTTGCCGGACGACAGCTTCAATACGACTCGCTTCAAGCCCGCCGGCTACGATGAGCTGTATCCAGACTGGCAAAGTCTTCGTCTCTGTACTTATATCGGAAATGGGAAGAAATACGCAAACGCGATGTGCTTTGTGAAAGAACAGAGCCGAAACTTTCCAGCATGGGAGCGAGATCCTCGTAGTCTGCTTCAGGGCGCACTTCAGCGGGCAGAAGTAGATCTCGACATGCGCTTCCTCATCGGATATGAAATCGAATTCTACCTCTCCGATGATTCGAACAGGGAAGCAACCCGCCCCTTCGAGCATTTCAACCAATTCTATGGAGCTGCCGCTTTGAGAGATAACAGAGTTTTGACAGTCTTGGAAGAAATCGTTCAAGCACTGTTGAACGCTGGCATCAGAGCTACACACTTTCATAGCGAGATTGGTCATGGCATGTTTGAGATCCCAACAGGTCCACTTAGACCTATCGACGCTGTTGATGCGCTTGTCTTCTGCAAGGATGCAGTTCAGACGATCGCTCACAAGCATGGCTTCACTGCAACTTGTTTCCCGAAGCCTGAAATGAGTCCCTCGCCAGTTGCGGTAGGAGCGCACACCCATTTCTCCATTGATGGTGCTACCCAGAAAATCGCCGATAGTTTCCTAGCGGGCATATTGGATAACTTGCCGGCGCTGTGTGCTTTCAGCATGCCCAACTTTGACAGCTACCACCGTATTGGTGGGTACAGGGGTACAATTGGGAGCTGGGTCGGTTGGGGAACTGAGGATAAAGATGTTGCGATTCGGAAGATCTCAGGGAGGACCGGGTACTGGGAAATCCGCACCGCCGATCAGATGGCCAACATGTATTACACGCTTGCTGCTTGGATTACTGCTGGTTGCGATGGCGTAAAGAAGCAAATGGAACTGCGATGGAAAGATCCACCGAGTAATACTTCCCGTCGTCACATTTAATTGGGTGTAGCTGACTTGCTGAATAGGTTTGGTGGCCACGATGACACCAGAGCAGGTGGCGGGAATGGGCTGGGATACCAAATTGCCTTTGTCGCTTGAAGATGCACTCAATTCTCTTGAGACTGCCGTGGGATCTCACGTATTGGATGATCTAGGAATTCATTTCTTGAACATGTATCTTGATTTCAAAAGACTGGAGGCGAAGCAGGCGAGTGAGAAGACCGAAGAGGTGAGATTGAAGGTGCTTTCAAAGATTTTTTGAGTTTATTCAACGGGAATATGGACATTTTCCTAGCCACTCTCCGCTAGCTAGATTAGAAGACTTATCAAATATTTGTCTCTCATGCACACTTGAATGAATGATGTTTCACTGGGCTGGCGAGTAACTACTTCGTCGTTCTGGAATCAAGGGAGGAGAGCTACTGCCAGCACATTTGCCACGACTCCAGAGATGGAGAGTATCGCCGCCGGGATAATGTTCGTGGCGTCGGATTTACCCGTTGAGCCAGCTGCAGTACCAGTGGATGTGGTGCTTGAAGTTGTAGTTGCTGCTGTACCAGTAGGTTGGCTCGTTGACGATTGCGTCGCAGCGGCTGGAGCTATCTGTAAATCAACAGCTGGGGGTCAGCCATCATTCGGCAATTATCTAATACAAACGCTCAGTGTCTATTGGAAGCTACTTACCAAGGTACCAGAGACGCTTTGAGGAAATGGCGTTCCCGGATCAACGCAAATCGCACTCATTCCAACAGTCTCAACATTCCCCTGTATGCCAATCTGGCCAGCCAAGCAACAGAGATATCCTGTATATCCATCAGAGGCAGCACCGTCGACGTTCGTAGTATTCCAAAGGTTCCAACTACTGTCTGCGCAAACTGGGGCTGCTTGAAGAGAGGGTTGACACGTATCGGCTGAATGTACTGTCAGTTGGATACCTGAGAACAGCTTGGCACTAGGTCATCTTACCAGTTGGACAGCAAGCCTCGGCGTTGTCTGAGAGTCCAGATCGCACGCAGGTCAGGGAGTTAGGACAGCACCAGGCTGCGCCGCATTGAGCGGTCCCAGTCGGACATGTGTTTGCTTGAAGACTCCATCCGCCGGATTTAGGGATAGATCGCTCGGAAAATTGTTGTGGTACAAGCACTCCGATCTGACCAGCGGCAATGCTGATGAAAGCTGCGAGAAGGAGAGTATGCTTGAGCATGTTTCTGAGTTGGGAATGGGCAGAATTCAATAAGAATAGATTCCAGGTAGTAGACTTTTAAAAACTGGACGAGGTTGATAGAGACAGGCGAATTTTGAGTTGTTCTCAAGAATGAAGGCAACGAGCAAATTCGGAAAGTCTGGGAGAATAACTAGAAGGCGAGTTATCAGCCATATCATCTCAGTCTTATGATTTGAGAGTGAAACCGAAGAGTTGAACGGATGGGGTTGGAGCTAAGCTTATTGGAACTCGCTTAACACCTGCAATATTATCAACCAGGAGCTCCATTCAGGGGCACGAAAACGCCGACACAATGCATGCAAGCGGACTTGCTTCATAGGCCAAAAAGTATTTACAGATCGTCAATTTCGCTTCTTTGGCCACTTCTAGCCGTTACGGCTGAAGCTTCATGCTGAGAACCTAGTAGCAATGGTCCAATCGTTGGCCAGAACATGCAAGCCGTCGGACTTTACAGATTCATGAACCACCGCTGTGGGCCAGAAAAGCAACGACTCTCATGGGTTTGGAGATTACTTTTCGTATCCCGTATAAAAGATACGCAGCAAAGCAAGTGGGGGAGGTATCAGAAACCGACGACAATGACCAGCGGGACTGGCTCTGATAGCCGATGCTCCTAAAGTTCTGATTGACAAAGCCGAGAGTGTGCAAGGAGGGATATTCCCGCAGTAGCAATTGACCTCAAAATCCTCTGTGATCCTCACCAGGTACCCCTCTTTGGTGAAGTATTCTGTCCAAGTCAACTCAAGGTTTCTTGAGACTTCGTTTGAGCAGCATTATCTTCGCGTACTATGTCTTCCAACAGCTTCACAATGTTGTTCTGTTGGCATTCTCTCGCTAAATCCATAGGCGTGAAACCTCTGTTGTTTTTCAGACTTAAGTCTCTGCATCTGTAAACGAGCTTCTCGACGACTCTGAGCTGCCCGTTGTATGCAGCGTAATGTAGAGGAGTTTCGCCATACTTATCTTGAATGAGTGGGTTCGCTTTATACTTGAGAAGCAGATCTACCATGTCAACAAGACCCTGTTCAGCTGCCCAGTGGAGTGCTGTTTTCCGGTGGTAAGAATCGATATCGTCGATATCTGCACCCTGATTGAGCAGAGTCTCCAGCACAGTCATTTGTGTTTGTTGAATGTCTAACAACCGAATAGCGTTTGGCAGGTTTATTCCGGCAGCGTTAGCATTCTCATAGAGCAAAAACTTCACGACCACTTCGTGTTTCTTCTCAAGCCCATACCATAGTGGACTATAGCCATTGCGATCTGCAATGTTGATGTCACAACCGTGGTCGAGCAAGATTTTCACCATGCTCATGTTTCCTCCCTCAGCTGCGAATGACAAAGATGTACGGCCATATTTGTCTTTCGAGTTCACTTTAACGTCATTCCGCAAGAGGAGTAATCTAACAATATCTTCATGCCCTTCTTGGACGGCGACTGACAGTGGAGAGTGGTGGTTGCTGTCCGCTATGTCTGCGCTGACTTGAGATTGATTAAGAAGAATTAAGACGATTTTCTTTTCGCCACGCTGAGCCGCATAGAATAGAGGCGTCCGATTCAAATTGTCAACGGAATTCATTCCTCTCGTGTCCCGACTTAACAATAATCGGACCGCTGCTGAATGGCCTTGAGCAGCTGCTACCGAGAGAGGTGTACGACCTCGCTCATCCTTGCAGTCAGGGACTATATCGATCGTATCTAGAATCACTGAGATTTTCTGATCGTACCCTGCGGCGGCTGCTCTAAAAAGCAATTCTTCGGATGTTCTGAGGTCTAGAAGACGTAGTGTTGCAGTTTCTTCTTCTGTAAACATCCGTATGTTCAACAGTTCTGCGCTCAGGTCTGTTGCGGTCTTGAGAATGTCCTGATCTAGATCGTTGGTTAGCTGATTACAATCTATTTTAACGAGACTTCAAAGACATACGAATGTGTAGCTCCACTATACGCTGTACGTTGTATTCCTATAAGATATTAATGTGATTCCTATATCAAAGTCGTGTCACCCTTACAGTAACAAGGTCTAAGAGATTTATTGTTGCCCTGTCTATCAAGCATTAGCTCAATAGTTATTGTATCTAGGAGTAGTTTTCGATATACACACTCTGCTTGAGTTTCAAGTTCTGGATACAGTCTCGCACCCGAAACTTCCGCTCTATGTGATTAAGATACCCTTCTGTCGCTGCTTCTATAGGACCTTTCTTTTTGTACTCATCAAGCCCAACACTTTGCAGCCCTCTATCAACATCAAAGCGATAATACCGCTTTTCGTCAAAGTGCTTAGCCCATCTAGCTATAAATTTCTTCTCTGTGTTTTGCGTCTCAGTGGCGATGTCCACTACGGTCTGGCTAAGGAACTTAATCATGCTGTCTTCAAATGCCTTCATCTCTGGGATCCCTGTCCCAATCGAGAGGAAACATTTGACAAGAGGCTTCAAATCTCCTGTTTCAGAGCACCAGATATTGGACGCTTCTCCTTCTACTTCGTCGACTGGATTATTTGCGCCAAGGCCACCATCGGCAAACGTACGATCTCCGATGCTCGCGGGGTCAAAGAATGTTGTGGCGGCCGATGTTGCAAGGGCAGCTTGGCATATCGTGGCTCGAATATTCGGCTCGTGGGAGAGGCTATAGCTTCGGAGACGGACAATGTCCTTTGTGTCGCGGTCGGCAGTACAAACAAACCTGATTTCACGTTAGAATTACTCTTCTTGTTTTAGTAGAACACCTACGATCTACATCCACGCTCTGTTCTGTCATTAAACAAATCTGTTTCGGGCACACTCCTCTGCACCACCTTTTGGACCGCTTTCTCCAGTTTGGCTGAGTCGAACCGGGACTTGATTTTACCCTTCAAGTTAAATGGAAAAGAGCTCAGTTTCGCTCCAAAGACAACTTCTGCGAGTTCGCTATATGCGATAATACATTCATCCACGTCCATTTCGAGCCGGCCAAGCATAATTGCAATGAGTCTATTACGACGGTTACACTTTGCTCGCAATAAAGGAGGTTTACTTACCCGCCAGTGCTGGTGCCTCCGATAAGGTCAAATACTTCGCATGGCTTCACTGGAGGAAGGTTGGCAGTCTTTCTCCGTTCGTCGTTCAGTCGATCCATGATGTTTTTTAAGATATAGAGCGTTGAAAGCCCTCGTACGCCGCCGCCGTCGAGGGACAGCAGACACAGTCCTGTGCTATCGAGAGGATTTGACTCTCCGATGTTCTGAGTGGACGTCACTTGCTCCATATTTCAATTGATGGTTTGCGTAGTAGTTGATTAAGAGGGAGCAAAAGATGGACAGGAGACTACACAGCGATGGCTCTAAGCGCCCTCTGTCAGCTAAAAACGATGAGGCTGGCTGGGTTCACTGCGCATCATGCATGAAGATTGAGAAAGTCTTTTGGATTTTGCAAAGGAGAATACACATCCTGAGAGTATAGATGAGTCTTTCACAAACGCATGTAGCTCCGAAACTGGTCTTCTATAGAGGAATTGCTTCCTAGGGATTTTTCACTACCTCTCGCGCGGCCATTGCAACGAATACATGATTTTACACACATTCGAAAAAGCTTACTAATAATCTGTGGCGTAGATAGGCAATTGCCGGCTTAAACGAAGGGATAGCTCAGACGAAGGCTGCCGGAAAGCCGTAGACTCAGCCACAGTACGGTTATTCGGGGCAAATACAACTGAGAGCACTTTATTGAGCCCAGCTGTCCTCTTCTCCTAGGCAAAAACCTAGTATTCTTTCTTAAGTAAAACATAAAAGAAATAGCAAATACAAAGCTAGCTACTTTAACTTAATATTAACCGAGCTTTTAAATTAAGAATATAATAAAAAAGCAAATAAAGAATGAGATAAAAAAGCTAAGTATAGAGTAAACAAGAATTAAAATGTAATTAATAAGCTATTAGAAAAGAAACGAAAAGAAGATAAAAGAAGACCTGTAACAAACCCACTGTTTCAATACTACGAGTCTCCTTTGCAGATAGGATGGATAGGCTGCAACTAAGCCCACGATCGTGGCCAGGAATAGACCATGATTTCTAACCATCAGTTTATAAACATCAGTCAGGTATCCAAGGAAAGGGGATAGAGAACGAAGAGTTGCGAGTAGAGGTATACTATTCTGGCACTATACATTCATATACTCGATCCTCCCGTCCGTCACTTGGTCTCTGAGGGGATCTGGATCATGCGAAGAAAGGGTTAATAACGCCGTCGTCTAAGTTGATTAAACAGCATGAGAGGAGACCGGGAAGCGAGTGATAGGGAATGGCAATGGCGTATTTATTGACCCAATATATATATTTAAACTTTAGTCTCCTTCTCCCCCCCTCTGGCTTGTGCTAACATGCGACTAAGTAAGCATTTCCCCAAAGCGTCCCTCCCCACCGGATTGTCAATGGAGCAGGGGGGCAGAGCCAGAGCCGATTGACTGGTGCCGAAGACGCTGCTGCCGCTGCTGCTTCTACGATTTAAGATTGCAATCGTGGCAATCCTACATAATGTAATAAAAGGTGGAAAGGGAGACTTTATATAGTGCCGCAACCCAGGTTCATCAAGCTGGCAGGTAGGATAAAATGGGAATACGGAACAGGAAGGAACGTAGGTTTGTGGAGGGGAAGCATTAGCTCACACAAGGCCTTGCCAGGAAAGTTGAACTCACAATGGGATTTCTCAGAAGACAAGGAGGGGGTGCTTTCGGATTATTTTATACATTTCGCTGTGCCTAAGAGCAAGTCTAGCGGCTTTGCAGTCTGGTATCTGTACATGTACACACTTCATCTTGGTCTTCTCCCTCCCCTCTCCTATGTAAATGAACACCGAACTCCAAGAGCTCTAGCTTAATCTTGTTCTTCAAGAGTCCGAGCATTTCATGTTTCTCTTGCATAAAAGCCGTGACATCCACAGCCAGCTCACGCAACGGCTCCTCTTTAAGGTATTCCCTGGCCCTGGTTCGTTGGAGAACTTACATTACATGGGCGTCTTACTACATAGGACCGAGCTTAACACTGAAGGCAAAAGAGCCCAACCTTTTGATGTCTTTCAAGATACCTTCATTTACTGTTATATATCGGGCGATCTTTTCCAGGCGTTCCGTATGGGTTAAGTTATGCTAGCCAAGGCAAAAACTCGCCACTCGTTACCAGTAGTGGAATCGTTATCTGCCCTTGCAGAAGTCCTCCGTTGAATTAAGAGTTGCTATATTCCGTGCGTGCGGAGTGGCAGAAGGGGCATCTGGGCTCTGATTGTTTCCAGAACGGTTGGTTCGGGGCGATGTTGGAGATAGGAGGTCGGGGATGGTCGGTTAGATCTCGCCTTATTCTATTGCCCGAATGTGCAACAAGAGAACAGAATCCATTTAAGTATTTCGATCTCCAAGACTACCTCGGGAAGTTTACTGTCTCAGTCCTTCAAGTCTTATTATTGCTCGAGCATTGCGTATGAATTCTGTGAGACTTGTAAGTGCTGTAGGATTTGACGCATCTAACATACCAGATAAAAGCATCAGAAAGCTACCTAGGCACCAGTACAGCATGCCAATACACTGGAAACTTCAATGTTCTTGATTCTTGTGGTACAACGAGCGATGATCGGCCTCGAGTGTTCTCAATTTCTATGGGACAATGGCACCTGATCAGCTACCAATGTGCTTCAAATGCATGATACAATGAAGGATGATCATTTTTTTGAATGTTCTCCTCCACCTGCTTTTGATATCATCATCCTCATTATCCTCGTCATCCTTATTAGCCTCATCCTCACGAGTCACAATCAATGTCCCGTAGCATATACTGACCGTGGGATGCTATCATCATACGCTGCCGTTGGAGTAAAATTAAGGGGGTATTGTGTAGAGGAATGAGATCGAAGTCACTCACCGCTGTAGCCTCGGGAATTTCGCCCTTGAGTCCCCAAAGAGCCTTTGTCAAGGTGCCATTCTTGAGCTCCGACAAGAATGGCAGCTCCGACAAGGAGCTTCCCGTGGCCGAGTTCGTCTGGATATAATTCAAAATTTGAATACTAGTAAATGAATTAACCTTTTGGCGTATTGAGCGTATGGTGCCTGGTGGATTCGATCGCTTTAGATTCTCTAAAACGATAAATACCACCGCATTGGTTGGTGTTCCAGGTTGAATACGGTCAAAAGAACGACTGTTGTTTTACGGCTCCCCTCTGCTTTTCGGATAGTATCCTCCTCCGACTCTTGGACTGAGGCATGGAATCTTTATGCGGGCTTTGCCGTATTCTATGCTACATTCAACTCTTCAAGTCTATGATCTTTGTCTCTATCTCCAAGGACTCCATACTCTCCAGTGTTCCTATCCGATGAGAAAAATCAGCTTCGATTGCGCCAGCAGAACCGGTACAGCCGAGTAGACTCCCCACCCGGCACCTCCTCTCCAACGCCCTCCCTACCTGCCCTCTCCTTTTGATATTGCCCAAATTATGCGCTTGAAACAACACAAGCAATAGGAAGCCCTCAACAATCATAGTCGGCGTATTACATAGTAACTGCCCTGTCTCACTCCACCGCAATCCAGTAGCGATAGCAATCAAAGACAGCACCACACCTAAAGATCCAATAACCGCAGATGGCATCGCGCAGATATATATCATTCCCTCTGAAATCCTTAACCCCAGGCTCTTCTTCCTCTCACCCTCTTCCTCACCACCGCCAAAACAAAACGGCAGACCAAGAAAAGTAAACACCTCCTGATCAGCAGCGACCAAGGCTTGAAGATGCCCTTCCAGGATGGCAGATTGTCTATAATAGACGTTCCGAAGAACGAACCCATCAATGAAGCCCACAAGGCCAGTGTAAGTACCGATAATTAGCCACCAGCTCGAATTCCACTTCAACATATGACCCAGTCCTAGCCACGTAATAACCACCACCGTCGTGAATGCGACGCCGACGCCTGAGCCTACGATGTAGGCGTAGACGTCAATAAGCCTCTCTGTCTTTGTCGTTTCCGGTGGTGCAATCACGATTTTGGGATTGGGGGCCGTGTCACAGGTTATTTCTCGCAGCCTAAGCTCGAGAGATGAGTCGAGAGTGCGGATCGAGGATAAAGTGCGGGAAAGGGTGTCAGAGTGCCGCCGCCGCACGTTTTGCAGAAACATGGAGGTAAAGGTTAGTTCCACGGCGACGGCAGTGTTGATGTAGAGCTGCCAGATGTTGCCCCATTTGAAGAGTGGCCCGAGACCCAGCCACACGAAGACACCGACCAAGTAGACGGTAAGGGCGGGGAGGGAACCAGTTGCGAGGGCTACGGCATCACATGCTCTATCGAAAAGATTGGCCTTCCCTTCTTTCCTGTTTTGATCACGGGTGAGAAGCGAAGAAGACTTCTTGAACTTGGATGTTTGCAAATCCTTGAGTTCCTGCAATTGGGAAGGCGACAGCGAGCGAACTATCCGAAGACAGCTGGCGGAACGTGACCTCATCTCCGCAATCGAGACGAGGAACGAATGCGTTGCGTTTGCTTGTTGTCGCATCAGCAGCGTATCGGAGACGTAGCATTGGATCGAGGATGCGTTTTGCATGACGATTTGCCAGACGTCTGTTGCGCCGAGCACGATGCCGAAGATCGTCCATACTAGCAGCAGTGCTAGGGTCCCGAGGAACACAAGCCGGGATCCAGCGACGTTCGTGACGCTATCTAATATTTCGAACGATCTTGCCTTTTGCAGAAGTTTTTGGAATCGAGAAGGTGACGGGGGTATTTGTGGTGGAGGTGGTGGTTTGTATTGCGGGAGGGAAAATGAGGAGGATCCCGAGGACCTGATTGGTGTGCTGTCACCGCTGCAGGTCGAGGACTCTGGAGGTATCTGGGAAGGTGCCGAGATTTCCATTGTTGAATGGAGAGGCGGACTCCATCTCGCTCTCCTCAGACGTAGGCATCGTTTCCTAAAACTATCCATCTCCCGCCCGCCCAACGTGATGCAATGGAGAAGCCGTAAATGAAAGCAGGCAAAAGCAGCTTCTCGCGCCAGCGAGAGAGAAGTAACGACACAATAAGATTATTTTAAATCAAAATAGTAACTGGAGAATCGAATATCAAAATTTGGAAGTGGCGTTGGCAAATTTATCGGTGAGAACGTGCAGGCGTTGAACCGGCGCGGGTACAACACGATTTATCAGATCCGGTGCAGCACTCGACCTGCAACCACAGATCGATACGGCAAATGTGGGAGAGGCGCCATCTGATATACAAGATGTCTCCTGAGTCTCCTCGTTGGCTTCTTTTCGCACCAAGAGGTCCCGGCCAATCGGCGTTGCGGAGTTTGTCATTACTAGCTTTCGCTGCGTTTTGGCTTGTCCGAAGTTTCGGTCCATCCTATTTTGGGTGACGCGCTGACTTCACGTCGGATGAAATACACAGGGAAAGTAGCGCGGATGCGGAGTGAACAGAAGTGTGTTGTGGGGGAAGCATTTGATTCGGCACTTCGGGAGCAAATATGAGTTTTTGTCGGAACTTGCTTACGTACATTGTTTCCGCCTCAATCTGACAATATGCGATGCTAGCAGGACCTCACGATGCATCAGATTGCACGGTCCTGTCCTTTCCTGTTCTCCCTCTGCCTCTTCTCCTTTGCAACAACCTTCCTTCGTTTCTTCCATGCTCGATTGACATCGCCTCTGTTCTCCCAAAACCATTTCTGGAAATCACTCTCTGGCTCAGCCTCCGTGTCCTTTTGTTTCCCTTTCGGTTCGCGGATTGGTGATCTTGCTTCTTCGTCGTCGTCCTCGTCATCATTATCCGTGGGCCACACAAATCTCTTGTTTGGATGGGCGGTGTCTGGAGTTGGGGCTGCGCTGCGGATACCACGGTACTCGAAATCTTTTTGTGTAAAAGGGGTGAGTGGGACTTGAAGATGAGTTTCTCCCGCAATGTCTTCTTCGTCGTTGTCTCCGAAGAAACTGAATGAGGGGCCGGCTTTGGGTTGTTCCTCGGGGTTTTGTTTGTAGAGAGCTTCCAGAGGGTGGACGGAGGATGCGATTGGGGTGGAGGTCATTGATTCTGGGATTTTGATGCTCAAGCCTGCGCCGGATGATGACTGTGGGCGGGATGTAATTGCGGATTGTAGTTCTTCGGGCTCGTCCACTGATTCTTCTTCTGATGACTCGGACGATGTGGAAGCTGCTTTGGTAGCTTGCGAAGTTGCTGTTACCTTGACGTGATCGCATTGCTCCTCTGATGAACTTTCCTCACTTGAACTTTCCTCGCTGCTTTCTTCGTCGACTTTGGTGCTTGACATGCTCGATTCCACGGCCTTAGAATCTAACTCCTCCTCAAACAAACTGTCGTCACTTGTGTTATCCTCGCTCTCATGCCCGACTTCGTTGGGTATCTTCAATTCAGCCTCCTTCTCATCAGCTTCTTCGTCTGAGCTCTCCTCCGAACTCTCTACCTCCAATTCCTCCTTCGCCGCAGGCTTTAATTCGACCTCCGCAGGCCCCTTCCGCATCTTCACAACCTCAACCACATTCCCATCCTCATCAACCCACCCTTTCCCTTCCACAAACTCCACCACACCCTTCGACTTCTTCCCACCCGGCGCCCTCAAAAACGTCGCGTACTTGACTGTCCGCTCAAACTCATGCACCAGCGTCTCCTTCCCTTTCTTCTTGTCCTTACTCTTCTTCAGTTTCCCCTTCGCATTCTCCACTTTATTCGGCGGCAGCACAGTCTTAAACAAGCACTCCGGGCCCGTCGTAAACTTGCTCTTCGCCACCTTCCCCTTCTCCTTCTCCTTCCCCTTTCCATTCCCCTTTCCATTCCCCTTTATCTCCGTGCTCGGTGTTGTCCACCCCCTCTTCACATGTCTTTCCCCAATATCAATCCCCGGCACTTCCAACTGATCTCTCTTCCGCTTCTTCCCCTCCTTCTTCACCCGCTCTGGCCCATCCTCCTCAACCACGTCCTCCTTCTCCGGGCGCGCCTTCTCAATCCGCACTTTTGTGCCTTTCAATATCGCGCCGTGAAGCTTTTTCTTTATCTTCTCTGCGTCTGCCATTGGAAGGTCGATGTAGCCGTAGGATTTCTCGGGGAAGGTTTGCAGGCTGTGGTAGCTAATGTTGCGGGCACTGGAGAGGATGGAGGCGGGGAGGATTGTCGTAAGGAGAGAGGGGCTAAAAGGTGTGATGTGTAGGCGGGTGTAACCGAGGTCTGGCTCTGAATTATACATCATTTAGCCCGCCATTTTGATGCCGTTGCTCAATTGTTGAGGGCGAAGCACCAGAAGCGGTTGTAAGCTTCTGGTAAAATTTGGAGGTCTTCGGCTAAACAGCGGTTGCACCTCAGCCCCAGCACCAGCCACAAATGGTTGAATTTTCAGCCAACTCCTGGCTGACTCGTGTAGATTGAAATAAGGACAAATTTGCAAATCGTTACTGATTTCAATGGGCGCTTGTACGTCTCACTCTCCACACTACATTTGATCGTCGAAACTAATTAATTGCAGGGTCTAGGGGTAGTAAGTTTAACTTGTGTCCGGTGGCCGCAGTTGGTCCTAACAAAGTCACCAGTGATTTTCGTTTCGCATGCTCTCCAGCATTTTCTATGAAAGGTCGTGGGTTCAATTCCCACAGCGTCCAAATTATTTGACTTTTTTTTGGATCTAATATCAGTTCCCCCCCTTTTTTCTAGGGGCGGCCGGCCCTGAACCGCATGTTAGCCGAGCTGAGCTATCCTCGCCCCGAGTTATTCCTCATTCACAAATTAATAAATTTTACCTCCTAGGCTAAGAGGATATGTCTTAAAGATGGAGATGCTTATAAGAAAAGCTAAATAGCTTTTGTTGCATGTCGTAAAGAAAATTTTATCCTTTTCACGGGTACAAGAAGTTCTAAAAGTTAGCCCGCGCTGGCCAACTTTTTCTCTAATCTGCCTACTACTTTCTGAAACTCCTTTATCTGCTTCGACAGAGCCTCCATAAGTCTTGTTGCACATCGCACGTCCTGATTTTCGATAAGAATGGTCATAAACCAGTGCAAGAATACCTGAAGCAGCGTTGAACTAGCCAACCTTTCCCTCGGCCCTGCTACCACCTTAATCCCTCATTCATCTACTGGGAAGGAATCTTCATAATTGTTGTTGCGCAACGAACATTGCAGTTTTTGGTAATGATTATGAACTAGTGTAAGAAAGGTTGTGTGGGCCCTCCAAATGGCCGAGCTTTCCCCTTAGCCAACTGCTATTACCTCAATCTCTCCTCTATCTGCATTACGCAGACGATAGAGATTCCCAAGGTCTCCAGAATTCTTTTGTTGCGTATCGTATTTTCAATTGCACCAGTTCCAAAGACCTACGGACTAGAGTGAGACCGGACCAGCTATTTCCTGCGAGTTATTCCTGCCTCGGCTTGTTGGTCAACTCTTTCCAAGGATTTCATACGAATATCTCACTTTCTGTGACATTCTTATATCAAATTCAGTGCATGAGAGTAACTGAATCATGAAGATTTGCATCTGAATCGAGTAGAAGGTTAAAAGAAGGTTCGGCCTTGGTCGAACCAGCACTTCCTAGGCGAGGATCAAGAGGTACCGCACAGTGAGTAGTTGGTCATCTGTGTTTCATTATAAGGTGTATAACTTATTCAAGCACTCCGAGTCTATAATTTGAAATCCTATGGCATCATGTGCTCGTAACAGGGATTCAAAACACGTGGCGAACTTCCTCACACTTTTCGTATCTCTCAACCAACTTTGAAGCTTCGCAGCCGTGGAGGATTGCTATAGCTACAGATACATAGCACTCATCTTAAGAGAGCTTGTAAACAGAAACGCGGAGGCACAGAAGATCTCTTTGGTAGTTCTGAGGTGCTACCACAGAACAGCAATTAGTCTCCCAAACCAACCGACTTGGGGTTCTCATGCTTTCTCTAGGTGAACATTGTCTTCACAAATGCTATATTGACTAGTGTACAGCCAGCTCTCGTACAATTGCGAATTATGCGACTTCGAGGAAATTTCCAAACAACTTGCTCTCCTGCTCTCCTTCTTAGAATCATACCATATAAAATAGCCAGTCCCATTTCGGAAGTTTGACATGAGCATTTCTATTTAAATCTTTGGACCTGAGTTGCTGCTGTTTTAGATTAAGTTGAGAGAGGGTAAACCTAAGCTAGGTTGAGCAAATAATTGCTTGGAACAGCTAGGCGGAAGAGGGCTTGAGTGCGGAGGGAAGCTATTTTGGCTCTTCGGTAGCCCGGTTACGATATTATATTAGAGGGGGATCTATATTAGGGTGTGGTTTGCTTAAGCAATATAGAAATTTATGCAGAGCAGGGCTGGGAAGACCTGTGGAGCTTTTGTGGTGGCAGGTTTCATACGTGATGTCGATCATTGCCGAACTTTGTTGCTGAGGCTGCACATAAAACACAGAATATCCGGGGTTGAGAAAAGTATACGGTCCGTAAACTTTGCGCAAACGCTCTCACTGACGAGTGACAGAACTGCGGACCAAAAGGGGCTGGCGGGGGGTTGTAAGAAGACATCCTGAATGAGGAAGGGAGGTGACACTTAAAATGACTGCCGAGAGCGCTTAGCTAGAGAGGGCATGTGTCACAGACTGATTCCTGACCAAATTACGCAGTCTGGAGCAACGTGCTGCCGCGTGGAAAGTTCAAAAGCACTATTTCGCCCCTTGTCCTTGTATCTTTGTCGTAAAGGGGGTGGACACATCGGAGCGAATTTCTGTACGTGCAGCTATATGTCGGAGACGGGTGTTGCTACAGTGAAAGCACGTGCACACCCTGTCTACTAAACTGTTAGGTGTAAAAGCCTCTATGGCAACAGCACAGCGACATATGATCACCTTACAGGAGTTCGCTCCGATGTGTCCACCCCCTTTACTCAAGAACTCCGCGTGTGTTCCCCGACGCCTTAGTTGCCAGTTACCGTGTGGCATATTAATTCATTGAAATCTGCTGCGCTCCCCCCAAACGAGTTTATGTAAGCAGGTAAGTCAGTGACTATTATAACTCGGCCTACGAATCCCATATTCCTCTATTTGCAGACATTAGCATTCAGCACTTTTTCACCACGACAGACACCAAAAACCACAGCCTCTACATCGGGAATGAAAGTATCCATTTCCGTCACTTGCGGGATATTAACCCAGGACATGTTGTAGTGCTGCTTGCTATTGGAGTAGAGGATGAGAAAGGAGATGCATGCTCGCTTAAGCCAGCCAAGGATATGCACATATGTATCCCGAAAGACCACAGCAAGCCCCAAAAATTTGAGGTGCTAATAATATATTAAAGACTGCATTAATCCTGCGGCCGTTAGGTTACCCTGGGGGCCCCTCTCAATTGACCGTGTCGAAGAAACATATGATTTTATTCATCGTCCCTTATTAGCATTCTGGAGAGATTTCAGTTCCGGTGCCGGAATAACCTGCATTCTTCGCAAGGAGTGAAGTAAAGCACCCTGGCAAGATAAATTACGTCGGAAATTTGAATGTCATCATACGGTGAGTGTTGGGTCTGCATGTGTGTCTGTTCAATTTTCTGCGACAACATCGCTGACGGTCAATTTACTCTGGATTGGTGGTATTTGGTGGATTCCCTGCGTCTGCATCTGCGTTCAAGCACCGGTTCTATGCTTGACAGTACTGGCGGGGATCCTTTTCAGCTGGGGACTGATATTTGGCAATTTATTTATCAATGGCACTGGATCATGGAGAGCTGTGTACTGGCTTGTTTCGCCATCTGCTGCTTTGATCTCGTTCTTATTATTGTTCTCTACGCCCATAAATTGTGGTACAGACGTGACATAGCCCAAGCGGATTAGCCTTAAAGATGTGGCAGATTATCCCGAGTACCTGCGTTCTGGAAAATTTGGGTGCATGATGGTTACGAAGTTACTTCCTCCCCTCAGCACAGCCTGCCTTCGCTTGTGGTCCGTTTTCATCAGGCCCATGATCCCATCATGATTCCAACCTTAATTATCAGTAAGAATTCAATCTGCACCTATAATTTACTTGTACTACCAAGCAGTGAAATCGCAGGATGTTAAGTTCCATGTGGTCTATTGGCGTTACGAAGATTGCGGCATAAAGTGACGGGATTACGATGGTACTCGGGGTAATAGATACCACCAAGCCTTCTAGCAAATCCTTCGAAACCAGGGAAATTGTCCAATGAGAATTGTGGATTTCGTGAATTATTACCTGCTTAAGTTAAGCGGCTCTGTGGTGGCTTTGGAACTATTACCCTGGAGTACGAGTACAGGGCATTTACGCTCGCGTAAGGGTCTTAGCAGACTCCAGGGTGTGGCTTAAGGTACTGCGCCCGCTATAAGCCTTGTAACTCTAGGCCTGAACTAGGGTGGCTACTTTACAGTAATTAAAAAGTAAATTATCGTTACCACCAGAGTGTAACGTGGAGAGTAAATTGCACCTTACAATACAGTCATGTGACGCACTAACCCGTTTTAGTAAAGAAAAGTGGAGAGCTAGGCCCGAAAAGGCCTAAAAGCTCTCCGGAGATCCACGTCCCAAGTCCGGGCTCAGAAAACCCGATTTTGAGGCCTGGAAGGCACTAAATCACCCCCTAAAAGAGGGCACGTGCTGTAACGAAAAAAGTAGATTACGATACGTAAAGATAAAGTAGATTACAATATTACGCGTAATGTTACAGTTCCACCACCCTAGCCTGAACCCTTAAAACAAGGGCTCTGAGACAATTACGAGGTGGTGGAAGTTCATCAAGGGTTATGGTGCTGCTGGCGGAGCAACTATAGCGCTCGGACGCTATGAGAGAGCTATTATAAGACCTTTTAGCGACTCTGCCCCTGTAAGTACAGGGGATATGCTTCTAAAGGTGTGGCACCATTGTTTATAGTTTATAGCGTGCTTACAGGAGAGTAGCCTAGAGATATAGGGGGCTTTAGTGGGTGAGTGTGGTAGAAAGTGGGTGAGTTGTAGAAAGTGGCCTGAAAGTGGACTTGCGGTACAAAGGCCCTGTAATTCCGTCACTTTATGCCGCAATCTTCGTAATGTTACTTTACTCCCTCTATTTGCAACCTCAAAACCAGTAGGTGGGTATGGCTTTAACGTTAAAGCCTTGGGTTTCTGTACCTGACACCCATCGTCGGTGTTCCTAAGGGAACTCTTCAACCATTTCTTCAACGACTTCTTCTCAAATCGATACATCTGAAAGCATCATGGAATCTTTATGCGCGAGGTACGACTCTGGACCAATTATGTTGCTACATCACAATCCCCGGCCTTACAATCGTTGACCAAGCAGTAGGGAAGCATCTCCCACTGCTCGACCATCGTCCTGGGATGGAGAATGTACGTTTTTGGAGTTATGCTAGCGTCTGTGGCCATTTCAACCTATGCTTTGGACTCATACCCAGCAAGATCTGGAAAAATTTCCTACTTCCTTAGCCTTGCTCGCGCTTGCAGAGGCTTCACTGTTGGGTACTTTCAGCAATCGTGGGATGAGAAGGATAGATTCGGTATTTCTTTCGGCGTTCAAGCTGTGTTTGGTGGCCATTGCATTGGCAAAATCTATCTCCACAAATATGAGCGAGCATGAGAGCAAAGGGTAGCTCTGTCGTTTAGTCTCAAACCCATTGTTCTTGCAGACCAGGTTTGTTAGTTTTATAATTATTCTTTTCCTGTGGTAACCATGATAAGGTGCAATCACCAACTGCTGGTTGAATTTGCCGGCTTGTCAACCTTTTATCATCATTGAAGGTCGCGTTGATACTCACTAATAGGTCGATATACTTGTGATAGTGGCTGTGTTGGTTAAGCCTAGAAGTGGGTCCTTCACAAACCACTGGCCCATCTGATTAAATTGCCCATTTGGTCTAGTTCCCATCGACCTCCGCAGTTGCGAGGAGACAATAATCATTTAGTTTAGACTAATCGTTCTTTTCGGTGATCGGGTGGCTGCAGAGATCTATGAATTTTTAGAAGTGTATTTCATCTCAACACCAAAAAATATTTTATCACCGAATTTGCTATTTACGGCAACAGGTAAAGTCCACTAATAGTGAACAGAAATTTCTGGGAGGAACCACTCCTGTACTCTTCTTTATGAGATTACTAGACCCAAAACTAACACTGGGCTGAGGGAGGGTGGTCCCGGATCTTGTCTGCTGATATCTCAAATGCAAACGGTCCGTGTTCTTCGCTTTCCCCCACCCCTCCGAATGCCCCAGGAGACACTTATAATGGCGCCAGTTGCCTTGGCACCTGGTTTGTGTAGTAGTTCTTATAAATCAACTTTTGATAACCCGAAATGTCATGCAAGGAGTTACCCCTCACACCCCGCACCAAGTTGCCGAACTCAGAGTAATGCAAGTCTGTGATTCAAAATAAAATGCCAAATTCTTAACGGAAACGGCAGAATTCTCGGCCAATTGAAAATCCACCAAGGGGTAAACACCACCAACTCGATACCTTCCAGGTACAAAGTACTTCGTATCTGCAATGTAGGGTCGGCATGTCTCTCTGTACAAAGGTAATAAAATGCCAATGAGCACTAACGAGTACTTAACTTCAAAGATGGAATAAAGCAAGTCCTTGGGAGGTGCTTGGTCTGCCTACCCTTGGAGAAACAGGGCTCAGGGGGTTATGTTCCAGGAAAACGGCGAGATGAAATGTTCATCGCACAAGCCGCTGTAATATAGGTATTAGAATTTTAGATTCTGTCACTTGAATACCGGTAGATTATCCTCCAGAGAGTGGCAAATAAAGGTGGACTTATCGGGCCGACTTGTTGGGAACAACAGGTCCAAGGTTCCCCACTTCCCCTCGTTCTCGCGGAACCTCCTGCGAATAACCAGCTTTCTACCCCAAGAACCACTTTTCAATTCACGAAGTTTACCCGAAGACCATCTCGATGTTGGCTGCACAGAAAGATCCTCTACCCGTCCACACACGCGGAATTGTTTTGCAAGAAAAGCCCCACTACACTTAAAACTTTTAACGAGTTTCTGAGGGAATACGGAATCTTCGCAGCTGGTATTTCACCAAAATATCACATCCAATTAAGCCATAGCTAAACATATGGACCTCGCCACCATGTGCACTTTTGTGGGCTATGTGGAGAAAAGATAGATCTCTGCAAAGATACAAAAAGGAGAAATCCCCCTCTTTGTTCCATCTCAGGCTTGCTCGACCAATCCCCCCGAGACCTTGATTTCGTTTACTCATCATGTTTTCAATCCGGATACTATCCTTGGCCACGACAGCCTTGGTTGCACTTGTTGGTGTCTCCAATACGCAGAATATCACAAGTGATACGTTTTTCTACGGCCAATCCCCTCCTGTGTACCCAAGTCGTAAGCCCACACTTTTACCTGCCTTTATTAAAAGTTGCCAATACTCATTGAATTTTCCAACAGCTATCGGAACTGGAACCGGCAACTGGTCCGAGGCATACAAGAAGGCTGAAGCTATGGTAGCGCAGATGACTTTGGATGAGAAGGTACGAAACTATATTAATATCAGCGAGGAATGAAAGCTAAAAAAAAAAAAATCATAGTCGAATCTCACCTTTGGAATCAGCAGTAAAACCAATGGCTGCTCAGGAAATATTCCGGCTATTGAACGCTTAGGATTCCCGGGGCTCTGCCTACAAGATGCTGGTAACGGTGTCAGAGCTACTGATTTTGTTAACGGGTATCCCAGCGGTCTTCATGTCGGTGCAAGGTGAGAATCCCAAGTGTTAACCAGAATACCTGCGCATGGATTCTGATCCAATGGCACAGCTGGAACAAAGATCTTGCGTACAAACGAGCTCTAGCTATGGGTGGCGAATTCCGCTCTAAAGGGGTTAATATCGTTCTTGGGCCGGGTACCATTTATCTCTTCATATGCTTCCAAACTTCGCTAACCACACTAGTTGTCGGGCCACTTGGGCGTGTTAGTCAAGGTGGACGTAACTGGGAAGGTAGGCTGCCCAATCAATTGTTCGCTATCCGGATCTGACATTAATGAATTTCTATAGGATTTTCAAACGATCCCTATCTCAGTGGTTCTCTCGTGTTCGAGACTGTGCGTGGCATACAGGAGAACGGAGTAATAACTAGTACAAAGGTATCTCTCCATTGTATTTGCTTTCTAAAACCGACTATCTACTGATGGTTTAATCATAGCACTTCATCGGAAACGAGCAGGAGACAAACAGAAACCCAATCACTAACGTTGCGGGTCAGTATGTTGAATCAATTTCAGCAAATATTGACGATAAATCTATGCACGAGCTCTATCTTTGGCCTTTCCAAGGTATATTGTCTCCGTATCCGAAGTCACATAGCAATGCTGATTTGTCCCCAAGATGCTGTGCACGCAGGCACCGGTAACATAATGTGCTCATATAATAGGCTGAACAACTCACATGGCTGTGCTAATAGCAAGACTCTGAATGGTCTACTGAAGACTGAGCTTGGCTTCAATGGCTTCGTTGTCTCCGATTGGTTTGCTCAGCATTCCGGTGTTAGTAGTGCACTTGCTGGTTTAGATATGGCTATGCCGGGTATGTTCTGAGAAGTTATTCAAAGAAATAGACACTAACTATTTTCCAAGATAGTGAAGGCTTCTGGGGTTCGAATCTCACTACCGCTATTCGGAATGGTTCTGTTCCTATGTCAAGGTTAAATGATATGGCCACTAGGTATTTTCAACCACTCAAAATATCGTTCATCCCGCTGACGGTAATTTCCTAGAATTATCGCCTCTTGGTATCAAATGGGTCAAGACAATGGTTACCCAACTCCTGGCATCGGCATGCCCGTTGATGTCCTTGCTTCGCATAAAGCCGTGAATGCCAGGAATCCATCCTCAAAGCAAGTCATCCTCGACGCTGCTATCGAGGGACATGTTCTCGTCAAAAACGTCAACAACGCCCTTCCTTTAAAATCACCAAAGCTTCTCTCACTCTTTGGTTATGACGCTAAAGCTCCTGACCAGAACGACCCCGCCGCCGGATTTGGTTCATGGGTACTGGGGTTTGAGAGCGGGAACGTCAACGAGGCAATTCCTGGTTTTCTTGGGACTCCTCAAATTATACCGATCTCTCAGATCGCTATCAATGGCACCATAATTAGTGGAGGTGGATCTGGTGCGAATAGTCCTGCTTATATCAGTGCTCCATTCGATGCGTTGCAAGAAAAGGCGTACCAAGCTGATACTACTATTCTCTGGGACTTTATCAATGTCAACGCCACAGCCAATGTAGACGGAGCATCAGACGCCTGTCTCGTATTCATCAACGCATTTGCGTCTGAGGGTTTTGACCGTGTTGGGCTCCATGACGACTTCTCAGATGCGTTGGTAAACAATGTCCGTACAACGGCCAAGACTCGCGCTGCAATTGCTAAAAGTCGTCTAGATTGCAGACCAATGCAGCAACACCATTGTGGTTATCCACAACGCAGGTGTCAGATTGGTTGACCAATTCATTGACCACCCTAACGTTACAGCTGTTATCTTTGCTCACCTGCCAGGTTAGTTGGGCATGCATTCCCACCTCTCCACAAACCGTCGAAAATCTCAGAGTCGTACTAACTCTTATCGAAACAACAGGCCAAGATTCGGGCCGCGCCCTCGTTTCTCTCCTCTATGGCGACTTCTCTCCCTCCGGAAAACTGCCTTACAGTGTTCCAATGAATGAGAGCGCTTTCGGCGCCCTTCTCAGCCCTGCTCTCCCTGCAGCCCCTTACACCCTGTTCCCACAAGATGACTTCACCGAAGGTATCTACATCGACTATCGTGCATTTGATGCCCAGAATATCACGCCACGCTACGAATTCGGTTTCGGACTCTCCTACACCACGTTTGGCTACTTAAACCTAAGAATACTGGCACGTAGCGGTGTCTCTCGCAACACCTATCCTACGGGTTTGATTAGAGAAGGTGGCGCAGAGGATCTCTGGGATGTCATTACGACGGTCACCGCTGATGTGAAAAACACCGGTGCCGTAGACGGTGCGGAAGTCGCGCAACTTTACGTGGGAATCCCCGGGGGCCCGATCAGGCAGTTGCGGGGCTTTAGCAAAGTCCATATTCAGGCTGGGCATACAGCCACAGTGAGCTTTGATTTGACGAGAAGGGATTTGAGTGTGTGGGATGTGGTAGTGCAGCAATGGAAGCTGCAGAGTGGCAAGTATTACATATATGTGGGGACCAGTAGTCGGATTTTGCACCTCGATGGGACACTGACAATCTGAGAGGGTGATGATATCCATGCGAGAAGGTGGAAATGGAGAAGGAGAGAAAGGTGCTATGAATTATGAATTTTGGATGCTAAAGTAATTACCTCATAGCAATATTTCTCATCCTATTTACCCCTCCTGCTTCTGAGGTCCTGTTTTTGCAGTAGTAGTAGTAGTAGTAGTAGTAGTAGATCTTCCCAAGAAGAAAGCATTACTATTCAAGTTTAATTTGAGGCTTTTATATAGCAGGGCAAATGAGATGTCTAATTATTCTTCTTTTGCGGAGAAAATATAAAATAATATTACCAGGTATTAATCAGGGTAATAATGACTTATAATTAGCTATTTAAGCTTTTTAAAGACTTTAAATTGAACTTGTATAAAATAATATATATAAAATTAATAAAATTAAAAGAATTAATTAAAGTAAAGTATTTCTTTATTTACTAAAACATTGCTATATTAGCGGCCGCATATAAATATCCCTAATTCGGCCGAAATATAATTCTAATTAGGGGTATTTATGTGAGGTGTTTGTTGGTAGGCAATAAGACAATAGAATGAATCAGTGTGTTGTGAAACCACAGTGTTAAATTCAGTACAGAACTAATCTCTGTCCCTCCTGTGAGGTCCAGGGAAGCCCCCTCTAAATAGGAGGCCCCGATGGCATACATACAATTAGTGATTTATAAGCCTAATGCATATGATGTAAACAGTGGTTGGTTGGGATATCGAAGGGCTGCTGATCTCCCTGATCGACACCCGCGACATCCGAGGTTCGTCACATGCCCTTAAGTCACGTGCGACCCTGCACACATCACAATTTATATGCGACTACTAATATAGTAATGTTTTAGTAAATAAAGAAATAAATGCTTTAAAATATATAAAGAATAAACTTAGTTAAATAAAGTAATTGCGCTATATCTAATTAAGAGATTGCAATTATAATATTATATTATTTCTTTAACCGGTAAGAGTATATTAGTACAAGCCAATATTTTACTAAATAAAGAAATAATAAAATAAGTATTAATATAATTATTTGCTCTCAGATTTAAGCCCTATTATATATACTTAGGAATTTAATTTTATAATTACAAGTATTACTTATTAGGGATACTAAAATTATATAATTTAGGACTTAAATACGTAATATCGTAAAAGAATTACTCCGACGTAACTAACCCTTCGCCTGGTGAGACATTGCCACCTTAGCGGCCGCACGCAATTATCCCCTATTAGGCCAGAATACAAATCGCTTACTTCAATTATGCTATCTAAATTCATGCGGCCGCTAAGGTGACAATATATCACCAGGCGAAGGGATAGTAATATTATTATGCAGATGTGACCTGTGGCCAATCAGAAGGCTCCATGTAACAACTAGTGCACTTTCGTGCTCCTCTCCAACAATTATTTATTAATTTACTCCCTTCCACATAATGAATATGCACGATTTACGCGCTCATTTATGCAGTGCTTAATGCAATACATATTTGGCGAGTTGATTATTATAATCGTAATAATTACAAATCATGCATCCTTATCCCTAATTCAAGATCATCCCGTCGCAGGCCGCCCGCTCGTCCAAGTTAGGGAGTTCCGTGTATTTTTAGCGACTTTATGCTGCATCGGGCTGGTAGAAACGCCCGTTACAGGGGCAATTATCCCGCGTTTTGACGAGGTCGCAACACTAAAAAAACAAAAGCGTACATTTCTGTCTCATTGCAATTTTCATTCGTATTGAAATGCTCCACAATCCCCCGCCAGCACTTCGTACAAGTACGTGAACATTTCCAGTCGCCCACGTCGGTGTTAGCCATTCATTTCCGTCTCGGTCGTCAATTCTGTCACAAATTCACAATCATCTTTACCATGGCGTCCCAATTCTTGACAATTATTGCCTGTACGCTGTTTGCATTATATTCCATGGCGCTGGGCCAAACGAATTTGTTGCAAACAAACTTCACAACAAATTGGAATCCGACGGGAGAAGGTTGCGTGGACACGGCGGGGTTCCTCTCCTGTTACGCAAACCAGGGCACCACAGCAAATTCTTGCGCAGATGCTTGCAGCGCCAGTAACAAGAAAGGAAGCGCACCGTACAATACCTGTATTACTGCTTGTAATGAACTGTGGTATGCAGGGAACATAGGTTGCTGGCTCCAGAGCTGTTGGAATCAGGTTGGTTTGTTTATTCCCTATTCATTCGGAGCTTAAACCGCTAACCGATGGATACAAGGTCTACTCTTGCGGGTATCAACTCGCTGCTATATACTACTTTGATGGCACTGGTCTGCCCCAAAATTCGGATGTCCCGTTCTACCCTCCACCCAACGACGCTTCTGCGGGTACTTGCTGTCAGTTGTACACCTTTAAATATCTACAAGCCGACTGACAGATCTCCAGCATGCAATCTCGGCTACGTTTATGGAAACGTATCAGCAGTCTCGACATCGATGCAAGGTTCTAGTTGCGGGGTGATTGCGGGTGGCGACAACGTTACTCTCTATGAGTGCGAATGTTGCGAGCTCTCCTGGCCAATCTCCAAGTGAGTTCATCGATCATTTGCCTGACACCTGTTAATTCTTCTAGTATCTTGACCGCCTGCCCCAAGTCCGATCTCTCTATAATCAGCTTCCAAACATTTATTACAGAAGTCGAGAAGACTTTGGCCCCATCCACCGATAAATGTGCCATTCTGAACAACGGCTCCGAGATCTGTGTCAAAGATTACAACTTCCCGTGGGCTGGAACGATGGCTTACAATCCTCTAAGCTTGCCTGCAGGGGAGCCGGGCACCGCGGCCTTGTCCAACACGGCTGGAAATGCTTTCACCGTGTTCCCATCGACTGCTGTCGTTACGTTAACGTTGCTCTCTTCATATACGAGTACCATCACGCCCGCATCTTTCGTCGCAACCGCCGCTGCGAACAAGCTATCGATCTCCGGGACTTCTCTTCTAGGTCTTCCCACTTCGACTAGGAGTATAAGTATTGCGACTACAAGCACAGCTGCAGCTTTCACGACTACTACTACGAAAGCTAGTTCTGGGACGAAGACGAAAGGGAATCGACTGCTCCTATTGCTTGCAGTGGTTTTGGTTATTATTGGAGTGTTATAAGAGGTTGACAGAAATGCTATTCTGAGTTTTCATGATTCGTTCCTCGATGATTCCTAATAATTACCGAGTAAGCTACCTGAATCCTGATCGTGCAAATGTATTAGAACCCGCACGTCCGAATACTTCCTTGCTGCTTCCAGCGTTCAAAGAGCCAAAATTATTTAGTTAATAGTTATTTTACGTCTATGGGCTATAGTAGGCTAACCTCTCAAAGGATATAGAAATGTACTAAGATAAGGATTTAATACAAAGTCTTATTTATATAAAATAATTAAAACTATAAAGAGAAAAAGAGTATTCTTTATAGTAAATAACTATAAATCCTTAATCCCGCAGTATTATAATACTTTTATAACCCTAAAAAGTATTTTAAATATAAGCAAATATATTAAAAGTCTTATAACTACAAATCTCTAATATTTATTTAAGTAAATACTAGATATTATATTCTTTTATTAAGAGATATTTAAATCCTTTCAAGTTCGAATTTAAATATAATTAGTTTAATTCAAGAACTAATAAATTAATTGCCCCTTTTATACTTATTATAACCTTTTAACTAAAAATTTATTATATAATTATAAAATAGAAGTTTATAAATAATATATATTAATTAGATTTCTTATAAAAGGCGTGAGTATTATATAATTAAAGGTTAAAATATATAAATCTTTTTTTTAATTATATAAAGCGCGAAAATATTTTAAGAAAATTATAATATCCTTCACGCGGATTCGACAAACGACTCCCCCAGGGCTCGCCATCCTTATGTTTATATATATGTTCAATGGTTGGCAAGAGGTAGGGATATGGTAGCAGGATCGAAATCGTGAGGTTGATAAGGGGAAACCTCTTCATGTCGCTCGTTTCGTGATTTAGTCTTAGCCCAAGAGCATGAAAACCCTTGGTATCCAGCCTGCATACATGGATGTGCTGAATCGTCGCAGGTCGTTAGAACAACCATATGTCGGAAGAAGATATGATTATTGAAGCCCAAGGATCGTGGAGGCGATACAGTAATGGATGAAGTTTTTTCAAGACACAACGACTTCTTCGAGAAGAGAGCTGCCCAAAGAAGATAATTCCAACTCACTTGACGCGTTTCAGCTGGTCCTGCCGAGGATGAAGATGTATACCTGCTTCCCCGTACAATGGGGCTTAGAAACCGAGGTCCGAGAACCGTATCTTTGTTCCGGTTTATCTTAGCGACTACGATCTCATCTCTTTGATGAATATATCTCGCGCTCGTGATGCTGGAGTAGCTTGGGACCAAGGAGATAGCCCAATTCTCGTTATTCCACATCGGAATCATAGCTTCTCAGTTCACATTGTACTGAAGGATTAAGGACATTTAAATTTCGTCGTCTCTCATCCGAATTCATTGATTGTACTACTCCTAACACAAACATTCAAAGTTCAGTGCTATCCCCATTGTCCCTCCCCTTTATGTACATTCAAATTTGTCCCAGCTCTCCCTAAACTAGCTCGTCATTCTACCATCCGAGTGCGGAATATCGAGGGCGAGGCGGGAGGAGATAAGCCGGTTCTGGGCGTTGAGGTAGGAGAGATCGGTCAGATGCATCCGAGGGACGAGCAGGTTGTTCCACGCCCTGTTGTGCAATGCCACCCATATCAGCCAACTCAATATCACCGCTACGTTCCGTTCGAAGCCTGTCACCCATAGTATACCTCGGATAGCCCATGCACAATCGAAGATAGCCCTTACGATTCATCCAGATGACAACGAACCAGATTCCACCGATGAGAAAGATGACCGTGCCAATGTTGACTTGTAGGAGGGAGGAGTTGGACGAGGAAGTATCTTCTCCATGCTCTTTGCGTTGACTGAGGAGGCCGCTGCCGGTGAGAGTGATGGTGAAGCCTGTGATGACGAGGGTCAGGGCAAGCTTGTCGGGTAGGTATTGGTCGTTGCGGAGGCAGGCGAAGCGTGCTGGGTTACGGCTGGCCATCTCGGCTTTGTGAAATGTAGATGTAGATGAAGGTTGGCTGTGTGCTCGAAAAGGAAGGCAACCGTGGTATGTAAGGTGGTGGCTTGGGGGAAGAGATCGGAGACGTGGAGGAGGTTAGGGTAGAGCTCTTCGATAGAGGTGTAATTCGTAGAGACGAGGCGTCCCAATTGGGTAAGGCAGATGTAGACGCGAAGTACGCTCGATTGCGCGGGTTTGACTGGCACGATGCCGGTTATGGTACTGGTCGCTGAAGGGAAGCGCGGATGGTCGTGGTTGAGGAGGAGTAGGAATTTCCAGTCCCACGCTTTGGTGGTGTTTCGAAATTTTGGCGTGAGGCTTCGGCCTCGGATAATAGATTTCCCATTAGTATTTCCTAGACTCTAGGCGTGCGAGCCGCTTAGAAGGTTGATTTCAAAGTAGATCATGCGAGATGATGTCGTTGAGGAACGTGGTTGTTCCGGAAGCTCTTGCGTCGGCTGCAAAACCGAGCCGAAGGCTGTGAACCACAAGCCGGTAAATGACTATAAATGGCCCTAATAAGGATAAAGATGCTTGGGAGGTGTTTTAAAGTGTAATAAAATAGATTGTAGATAATATTATTGAGGATTGGGAGCGTGCCGGAAGTGCTACTGTCGAGGGCAAAACCGACCTGCTAACCTGTGAATCACCAATTGGGAAGTGACTAGGAGCGAGCTCACTGAGGATGGAGAGGTGTGAAAGACGCTCTGAAAAGCAATGTCATAGATCTTAAAGAATAATGTAATTGAGCGCTGTGAAACGTGCTGGGAATCCGGAGTATAAGGCCAAGCAGAGACTGTGAATCACGATCTAGGAAGGGAGCAGGAGTAATCTATGAGAACTAAGACAGAGAAGTGCAATGGTAATTTCAAGACTGCATTTCCGGGTGAACAACTTCGAATTATTTGCGCAAGTTGGCAATACTTAGTCGAATATAGGATTCAGGGGCTTAAGCGAGGTAAGGTCACAAGCCACATCAATGTGCTCAAGTGCTATTCCTTCAAAACACAAATAATAGACATGCGTGGTCTTTCATGTTGTAATATTTGACAAGGGTTTGTCTATTTTAAGGTAAATTTTTTTGGTAATGCTATGAGTAATTGCAGTGCTTTGATATAGGAGCTCAGCAAGGTGAAGACTGAATCATACTGATACCCCCTGCCATCGTTCTCAAATACTCCCAGATTCAGCAAAAATTCTAAAACACAATACTGCACTTATCTAACTCAAGGAAGTGTTGTGGCCAGGGGAATTACACCATAGAATGAAGCGATATTGTCTTGTGCATTACTGCCTCCCAGCTAGAGCAACTCAGGTTGCAACAAATTTGAAGCTCTTCAAGGCTTCATGTCGAAATGAATTGGGGGACAAATGGTCAAGTTTTACAGTACCCTGTTTCAAGGTCCCGAGGAAATTAATAGTGAGTAATCTTTCTCATTTCTTACTGATTCACGGAACAGGAAGAGTGAATAACAGACAATGATACACTTTCTTTGTATATATGCAGGGTGGGCTTTGACTGCTTTGGTGTACTCTTGAGGCCGAATGACTCTTACACTCTGGGGAGTTATCTTGCTTGACCCTTCTTTAAAATTCGCGGCTGGTGAGCCAAAGTTTTGAGGCGCATCTCATTGACCCTTGTCAGCTACTGTCGGCCGCGGCACTGGGGGCTTTTCTTGTTGAATATCGCAGGTAGAAAGTATGGTATTATGAACCTTGTTGATAACTCGTGGATTGCACGTGGCAGATAGCAAGCACACTCCATGCCAAACATGTGCATACTATCACAACCCTCGGCTTCCCGGGCAAGCTCATCAACTCAGGATTTTTTCACTACCACAAGGCTCCCGCGTATCCTAAGTCCCAATCACAAAGAGGGACAGGACTCGAAGAACATTCTAAATCACGCAAAACCAAGTTGATAAAGAGATGCTTCACTGGAAGAGGGCGCCAAGGAAGGGACTCAAATGGAGAGCACAAGCCATAGACCGCACAACTCGTCGGAACTCTGGCAGGACTTGATCAGAGGAGAGGAACAATGCCATGTGTGTATCTACGATCTAGGTCTTTAAACGCCACCCATGCCAAACCTATTCAAAACGCGAAATCACACCACCCATCTATACATTCGGGCTCAAAAGATCATATTTCACACATCGCTCAACCTAGACTATGTCAGCTACAGCTCCCCAGCACACCAGAAAGGAAATTAGAAATACTCACATCCTCAATACTAGCCTGCAAGAATTTCCTCGCCTCGAGACCCGCCCAAACCTTCAACATCGAGAAATCACCCTGTCTCAACATCCCGCCCCCACTCTGCGCACCCAGCTGTCTAAGGATTGGCAGTGCGCTGGATAGAAGGTCGATATCCGGGTTCAGGGACCTGCCTATTCCCTCTAGCAGCAGGATACTGATAACCACGTTCACGAAATCGCCTTCCATTCTCACATGATGCGTGCGAACCATGCTGAGAACTTCGTTGAGGATGTCTCCTATTTTCATGTTCCCCAGTGCCAAGGTGCGAGATTTTACGCCGAGGACGAGATGTTGCATCTTCAGGGCGAAAATCTCCTTCTCGATTACAGCGTCTGGCTGTCTGCAGCGCTCGCACATCAGTAGACCGGCCTTATACCCGTCGAATTCGGCAATTGCTTTGAAGAGATCAAGGAAATTCCTTCGGTTCGTGGCATTCAGTTCAGTCACGAGTCCTGTATCGATGAAGATTAGCTGTGGTCTGAAGCCTTCTCTATCGATTTTCTCGAGCTCGGCGACCCAGGCTTTGGTATCTGTTTTATGGCGATAAGGACGCAGACGAGCAAGGACCTGCTCTGTAACATCGGGCTGAGCTTTTGGGTCTTCGTCGGCGTGTTGCCTGAATGAGAGGTGTGGTAACTGCGGTTTGGAGGATTGGTAGAAGCGGACCATGATATTGCCTGGGTGGAGATCCGCGTGGATGAAGTTGTCAAGAAGCAGCATTCTGAGGAAAGCGTCTAAACCTTCATCGGCAATTTCTTGCTGGAAGATGCCCCCGCCATTCTCCATGAAGTCGGAAAGCGGGATCCCCTGGGCGAACTCTTCGACGAGAACTTGGCGGGTTGTGAACTCGGTGTATGGATAGGGAAACCATGCTGTTGTTCGCTCTTTGAATTTCCGCCGGAAGATTGTGAGATTTGCGGCCTCTATTCGGAGATCCAGCTGTAGTCTCATCATCTCCCCAAATTGTTGGACTTCATCTGGTAGAGATAACCACTCGATGGTTGGAATGGCATTCAAGACTGAAGCAAAGAAGCCCATGATTCTGAGATCTTGTCGAACAATCCTCTCAACTCCCGGATGCAGGACCTTGATTGCGACGTATGAGGATGGCACTCGCTGAGGCGTGCTCTTGATCAACGTATCCACATTCTTCCAAACATTTTTTCGCAGGTTCGGCCGCTCTTCCAAGTCTGGATCTCCTGGCACAGCAAGGTCATGCTTTAGCTTCGCCTTGTAGACCTGTGCAATAGCTCCCACTCCCAGCGGCTTCTCATCAAACTCCACAAATATCTCCTCAAATGGTCTACCGTCAAATGCTCTTCTTATAATTCGTTTCGTTTCGTGCAGAGAGTGTGCCGGTGCATTCGAATGTAATTGAGACATGACCTCGCACATTTCTGTGGGGAAGATGTCGGATCTCGAGGCTGCCCATTGTCCTAGCTAGAAACATCAGTACGGGTTCCCGCATCCTGCTTCACAACTCACCTTGATAAAAGCCGGCCCAGCCCTCTCCATCGACCTCACAAGAAACGAATACCACCACAGCGTCCCTGTTCTCTCGTCTCCTCTTGTCTTATCTCTGCTCCCAACCCAGATGGCCGGGACACAGGCCAAGACCGGCACAAAAATAACCACCAGATGCAGGAATCGCAGCCCGGTACATATCGGCTCCCAAATATACAGATCCACAAGGACTGTACAGTGGTCTCTGAACCGTCGCCAACCGCGGGCATCACTGCTGACTTCCTTCTTTATCTCATCCCGGGACGCTTGCAGCATTCGGCCCTCAGCCGTCAGCTCAGTGTCCCCATTGTCTTTCTCGGAGATCTGCACAAAAGCCAGTGGACTTAATCCCACAGCTGCAGCGAAAAGCAAGCCATCCCGTTTGGGAGGCACCTTCCAATACCCTCTCCATCCCGCTGAATTCCATCCTCGGAAACCGCTCTGGAGATGTGATTGTCGGATTGCCGGTCGCACTTGGGGGAGTTGCTGTCGCAGGCATGTTCGGCCAAAGCGGGATGCCGACTGCATCATCCTCAGATGACTGTCGGTTGAGGGCAATGCTATCGGTGCTCCATTGAAGGATGCGGATTTGGCGATGGTGTTTTCAAGCTTGTGATCCGTCGGCGGTCGGAATTCGAATCCGCTGACGTCAGGCCAAAACGGCTAGAACTTCAGGCGAGACTTCAATTAATTGCCCCTATCTCCGCTGCTCTTTATTGTTTACTACCCCTTTTCTGACCAAAATTCAAGGATGTGCTAGTAGAGCGATTTAAAGGCCGCACCCTCACTTGTTAGACATCTAAACCCGTGTTCTCTTCTCCTCTAGCGGGACCTTGGAATGCCCCTGGATAGCAAATATTACATTTTACAGCCTGCAGCTTGAAGGGTGTCTCAGACACACCCGCGTGCCCAGGAACCTGGGACAGCACTAAACGAGGAGGAAAGGGACTGCCTGTGGACTCGTGCTTATTATTGTTTTGAGGCTACTGTAAGGCGCATTAGTATGTCCGACTGTAGGTAGGGAACAGAAATTCGAGAGCCAAAAGTGGCATTTTTAGTTAGAACTGAACTTTGTTGTTGTATAATCGTGTTCTCTGCCTTTTTATTAGGGTAAAATTATGTATGTGTAATCCTTTTTCCAGCCCATTCATTCTCAGATCGAGTCTCAAAACAAAGCAGCAACTAACCCAAGCATCCCCGCGAGTCCAGCAAGTGAAGCCGCTTGTACGCGATCCGCTGCTCCCGTGACCTGAGCAGGTGGTGTAGACGAGCTGGTAGAAGTATATCCAATAGTTGGGACACTGCCCGTGAGGTTGATGGTTTTACCTGTTGCGGTACTACCTGCTGCTGTGCTGAGCTCTGTAGAACCTAGTGTAGTAGTGGGCTTAGACGTGGGTACAGAACCTGTTGTTGTGTAAGTTAGTGTGCAGGGGCAGTTCGTGATTGTGAGAGTGGTGGGCTATGTGAGTCAGTCTGTTTTCGTGTGCTGGATTTGGGAATGGATGTGAGAACTGACAGCTGTGACAGTATAGGTAGAATTTCCTTGAGTAAAAGTCGTGGCAGAGGGACAATAAGTTGTGTATGCCGTGACTGTCTGCGTTGTCACGTATGTAGTGCTTGAAGGAGCAACAGAAGAGATGGTGCTGTTTCCGCCTCCTGAGCTACCTGGCTTCTTAAGCAGCATGAGCTCGTCCCCGATAATCCCACCATCACCACGCACGAATGACCACTTCAGAGCGGTAGAGTTGAGAACGGTGAGCTTGCTGAAGCCGTAGTGTGTTTGGTCGAGGACGGCGGTAATGTTTAAGATGCCTCCAGAAAGTGTGCTGTGGCTTTCGATGTTACCTGCCATGCCGTTGATGAGATGGGTCATCGAGACGCCGGGATTGGTGTAGTAAGTGTTGTTGTTGATAATTGAGGCTTTATCGATCGTAGAATTGACTCCCAGTGGGAACAGGCGTTCATACCAGTGGATGTGACTACATAGATTGTCAGTTTTGGCCGCAAGATAAAGGAAGCACCTACCCAGACAAATACGCATCAACACCATTTTCAAGCAACAACTCTTCAAATGCAGCACGCAAATTCTTCTGATACGACGAAACCATCGAGCTGTACATAGGACGATGAGACATGGCAATAACCCAAGGAGTCTTCGTTCGATCGACGCTGGCCAGATCCTTGGCCAGCCACTGATACTGTTCATAAGCCTTGGTATTTTTGTAGCTGCCGTTGATTGTACCAAAAGGCCCGGAGTCAGTGACATAAGTCTCGTTTGCCTTGGGCGAAGTCTCGTTCCCTGTAAGGTCGGCGGCGAATGGATACTCGGGACTATTGGCGAAGTCGGTCTCCCCGTCGAGAGAGACAAAATGTGCAAGACCGTAGTCGAAAGAGTACCAGAAGTTGCCTACTCCTCCGGTCTCCGCGCCGGGCATGCGGAAACGATTTTGGTAGGCGGTAAAGTTCCTACATCTGTCAGACAAATGCTTATTTTGAATTTCGGAGTCCTTACCTTTGGGATGGCGGGCAGCTGAAGTATGTGAGCGCCGATTTGGCCGCCGTTCCATTGGTGACATTGTTGTTCAGGTAAGCAGTCAGAATATTACCAGGACCATCAAATTCGCTGCAGGTTGCTTCATGGTTACCTGGAAGGACCATGTAGGGAATATTGGCAGTAATGTTGTTCATCCACTGCTGCCAAAGATCCCAATTGGACTCGTACAGTACACTCATGTCCCCGCCTAACGGGCCACCTTGGTTGGCAATCTCTCCAGCTGGTAGTGGAGTCAAATAATCTGAAGGCGTGGGCGGTGGGATCTCAGTAGAAGTGCCGTTGTAGCACACAGGCCAATCATCTTCGCAGGGAAGAATGCCGGAATACCAATCATCTGCGTAGCTGATATCTCCTCCGTGCCAGGCGAAAGCAACTCCTTCTCCAACGGCCTTGAGTAGCTGCTGGTACGTTCCGCCTGCATTCGTGTACCCCATGTCATTCAAGACAGCAATAGTGAACCCTGTCGGGTCTCCAGCAGCACGCGAAGTTGTGAAACTGAGGACATCTGAAGCTGTTGTTCCATTGGCTGCAGGAATTTGGTAATAATAAGTTGCATCTGACTTCAGGCCGGAGATCTGGACCTCGTGGTAAAACTGGCTGCACTGTGTTACCGATACTTCTGAACATGGCGGGGTACGATCATAGCTACAAGTAAGTTAGTACGTTGCCTCACATCAGAAATTGGGTCATTTGGTGTGCTCACGTGTGAGAACTACCAATGGCTTTGGAGTCTAAGGCCGTGGCACTGATACCCCATTTGACCGATGGTGCTATACCCAAGCCGAACGGAGTTTGGTAGTGGATATTGATACCCTGCGGAATATATGATAAAGCGATAACATTGATGTTGTTGGTGGGCTTGCTTGATGAGGGAACGACTGCAGGGGGTTCAACTAGACGAGGAAACCCCTCCCCATTGCCGTTGATGGTAGGATCAATCCAATCGCCTATAGGGACCGCAGGTCCGGTATAGGGGTAGGACTCATCGACTGTAGGGATAGCACCACTGATGTGAATGCAGAATGCAGTATATACTCCAAGCAGAAGGGTCGGAGTAGTTGACTTCATGCTGCAAGTCTGGACAACGAATGACAGACGAGACGAAAGCAGGCACCGAGCTTGAACGAGAGCTGCGCAGACTTGGCGCGCAGAACAAGCTTTAGGAACAAAACAGCCTGCCTGCAAGTTCCACGCAGAATGAAACGGGTCTTGGCTGTTTATGTACCCTCATAGATTCCGTAGACGCAAGCAAGGATCAATTCTTATTATGGGGCAGGAGGTTAATCTGCCCCGGACAATCCGTCCCTCTCACAGAAGATCGTCGGAGCTACAGTCGGTCCGACCCAAACACGACAAAACGGTCGCTCTTTTACGCCCATAATAACTTTTCAACCACAACCTTCATTAATTTATACTAAGTAATGCGATTATAGAATAGAACCAGGCGAAAAATACCTATTAATCAGATTTTTGATATAATTTGTGGTTCATTAATAATTAAGGCCTAAAGTACACGGACCCTTTTTACTTTTTTGATTTTTCGTCATACAAAGCGCAAAAATTGTTGAAATTAGGGGCCTGAGGCCCCTAATAGGCTTAGTAAGCCCTGGAACCGAACGCCATGGGGCTGTGCACTAGCTTAATACCCTGTCCAGCTGGAATACCCTGTATAGCTGGAATACCCTGTACGGCTGGAATACCCTGTATAGCTGGAATACCCTGTACGGCTGGAATACCCTGTATAGCTGGAATACCCTGTACAGCTGGAATACCCTGTATAGCTGTAATCGGTTCAGTTGGCATAGGGATTTAGTACATGTGACTTAGGGGGTTCAGGGCTATATATACGGGCTACTTACCACTGTAGAACAGCAGTCAATTCAGTACGTTTTACTTGGTTTACATTGCAAGCACGTGACCCTAGCTTTGCTTTAGCTAGTTCAACAAAAATATTTGCTCGCTAAGGTCACGTGAGCCCGGACTTCAGGGAGAGATTAGGGCATCTCACCAGCCTTATTATTAATAAAATAATAATAATTAAGCCCTATAATCTTAATTGAACCTTCCTAAGTACTAAATATAGCTTTTTCTAGTACCATATATATTATATATATGGTGGGACTATAATTAAATAGGTTTCAAGCTTACTTTTAGCTAAACTAAATCCATAAACTTAGCTTCTTATTTAGCTACCTTCTTTCCCTTCCTTTTGCATATTATCCCATTCGTCTATTACCTTTTTAGATATCGTTCTATGGCGTTTTTGCTTCTTTACGCACCAAGCAGCTTGTTTAATACTTAATCCCTTCCGATATACATCCATCCAGCGGAACGTACGGTTGCAAAACCTCCGTATAGTCTCAATCGAACAAGCTTCAAGTGCCTCTACTACCTTAACCTTAGCATCTAGGAAGCTAACCTTCTTTACTTGACGAAATCGAGTTTTGCTATACCCCCAGTACATCTCAATTGGATTGATTTCGCAGTGGAACTTCGGTAGAAATACAGCCTTATGTCCCCGCTCTGTAATAAGCTCTTCAATTTGACTCTTCTCCTCAAAGAAGTCTTTGTAATTCGAGAGTATACGAGCTAAACAGTACGTTTGTTCGATAGCGGGAGGGTATTCAAGGGGTATAGTATACTTAGTACCCTTTGGATACTTAAATCTTAAGCCAGGGATATTGTACCCTCGCTCAATAAGAATCTGTTCCACGCCCTTAGGCTCTCTTTCTCTATTCGGATTAAGTTGCCAAAGAACTTGTATAGTACCCTGTAACCCCGGAATCGTATACTCCGGTGGGAAATACGTATCCCTCCTATAGGGCTTGATATTACCCTTTTCAATCCCTCCTGGTATCTTGTTTATACCAAAGGCGTTCAGTATACCTTCGCCATGCGAAGCGTATACAGAAGACTGATCAAATATTAGAACAGCTATGTAATTTGGGTACTTCTGTTCAAATATATCAAGCGTCCTAGCAACCTGTACTAGTAGCTGTTTTGTATCCCACCAGGGATCTCCATTTGAGCCTGGATATATAATTTGACGGGCATCCAAATCGGGGTCGTCCGGAATAAAAATGCCTTTATTATTCGGTACCCTAATATGCCCCTCAGGCCCTATAAATTCAGAATCGTGAATTAGCCTCCCTTTGCTCTTTCCTGGCATTTTTTGCTGACTATCTGCTAGCCAGAGGCTCTTTTTATAGTCAAAACCATAGAAACAGCTCTTATCGTAGAAGTACATTACATATACCTGAACTCCAATTGGGAGTGAAGGTTGAATCGTATGCCATATACCAGCTTTATCCTCCTCGTACTGGACTGTATACGATAAAAGCTCGTTTATTAATGGTAAAAACACCTCTTGACGATACTGAATCACATCAGATCGTTCGTATCCATCTACATAAAGCCCTTTCTTAGTCTCATGGCGATAAAAGCCGAGCCTAGGAAGCCATAAGTAAGCTGTACTACGAGCGATTGGCCTTTCGATTATCGATAATAATCGAGGTAAAATCTCCTGATTAACGGCATTCAGGAAATCGTTTGGTAATATTGTTCCAAGCTCTTGATTAATCAACCAAGTACGGCAAGCTAAAAAGATGTTCTCATTATCCAGATAGGAGATACCATCCCTTTTACTACCCCTAGCCTCCAGTAGAATGCCATGCCACTGTCGATAGTAATTAAATAACCCCCTAATTCGCCGAGCTAGTATCTTTCCATCGTTAAAGCGGTGATTACTGGAAGCTACTAAGAGTGATGCATCGATTCTCCCTAGTCGATACTGCCCTGGTTTCAGGAGCTGTTGGGTATATTGCCGGAGTAGGTATAAGTCAGCGACTATATATAGAGTATATAAGTCTTTTATCTGTGCTAGCTTTATATCCACATCGTCAAGGACTTCCTGATAAGTCATTCGTACGTCTAGAGCTTCGTTATCTCCGCAAGCGTTTCCAATAAGGGCATCCAAAAGTAGCTCGTTTGTTCTATTGTCTTTATCCTCAAGCCTTTGCTCTTTTCTTAATTGCACATCCCTAGGGATATTAATTGGCCTCTCAATAATGCCGAATTGTAGCTTCTTTTGTTTAAAAGACGGTACGATTATAGGGGTCTTGAGCCTAGCGACTTGAGTATCTTTTGCCCTCTGATCGTATATATGCTTTTGTTGAGTTCTCAATGGCTTTGCTGATTCCTTTATTAATTTGGAGACGTACGAGCCTCTGGAAGCTAGAAATAGTATTAGTATACTTATATTATAATATAAAGATAAGAAACTTACTAGTCTGTACCGTAAGTCTTTGCTCTTGCTGTGCGAATATAGGCTTCTCCAAAATAATCGTCTCATTACCACCAATAATAAGCTTCCGCTGAACCCAAAAGAGAGTTGAATCTTCAAGCTCTAATTGATCGCCTTGTTCAATATCTGAACCATCAGAATCGTCCTCTATATTAGAGGGTTTCCCATGCCGTTCGTCAAGAGTTGCTTGGATTGCAGCTTCTTCAGCTAGAGTGAGAACTGTAATTGAATCAAGAGTTGAATCAGCTCGCTTGCGCTTCTGAAGGCTTACAGAGGTAGCCATTGGAAGTATTCAAAAGGGGCACTTGATTGGGTTTGTGGTTGTTGAGATATTAATATAATTATGGAAGAGCGGTCAATCTGGGGGGGCAGTCACGTGACAGCCAAAGTTAAAAAATGACCATACAAAGCGCAAAAATATTTGCTCGCTTAATTACATATATTATAACTCCCTTAATAATAAAGATATTATAATTTTGAGACTATAGAATTGATTCCTAGCGTATATAGTATAGTTTTAATTAATACGATTTATATCAATTAGTATTATGGTGGTTTTTTTTTTTTTTTGTCGTGTTTGGGTCGGACCGACTGTACCCTGTACTTCGGAAGTTCGCGAACTGGGTACGGCTGGTTGAATCTCGCTAAGCCGAACAAGGAAGGCAATACTGGAATTATACCAATTCAGAAGGCAGCAAAGTTGCAAATCAAACAGTTTCGATATGTTCCTAGCTCCCGATTGGTTGGGTTCCCAAGGCTGATAGCGAATCTAGAATGATTGAGCTTGCTTTAAGCTTCGTTTCTCGCGCCAAAGAACTTCGTGTTCTGAGGATTTTTGCATTCTGTGATGGGACGGAAAGAGGGGCAGATTAAGGAAGGCCCCACTCATGTGCATGCATTGATCGGGGATCATCAGGAAACGAATTAAAATTCCCAGCAATCCACGTGGCCAAGACTTCACGGCACATAGGGTCATAAAGTTTGGAGGATGTAATTTCGATAGCGACTCGTCAATGAGAACAGCACTGTATATTCGCCTCCCATTGAAAAGAGATGCCAATTCCGAGACCACTTCGTAGATGTTTGCCGAGTTCACGATTCTCTGGTGAGAGTTGGCCGCGACTGCTGTAAATTTAGGTGAGCTTTGCATTTACCCCTGAAGCCACCAGAAAGCACGTCGCTTCCGCACAGCTGCTTCAAATCGCCCAAAATACTTCAAAATTCCAATCTGTCATTAGAAAGAACTCCTCTTGCCTACCTCTATCCGTAGATACATTTTTTCTATTGTATCTTTTTGGACATTTCTCTTCGTAAATTAATTCAGTATTTAAATTTATTGAGGTGTTCTTGGACATGGCCTACCTTGTTCAGTACAACTCTGGGAGCCCATTTCTCGTCTTCAAGTCTTAAAAACAACCAACCAACTCATTATAACAGCCGACCAACAGCAAGGTATCTGTTCAAGAAAACACACAGCCCTTATCCCCTTCTTTTGGGATCGAGACTGGCTTCCTTCATTATTCCTGAAGCTGTCTTTCTCCTTCACGTTTATCCCCCCCTCCCATACCTGTTATTCCGCTAGCATAGCTTCTTCTTGTCTTTCCCCTCCGCTCGAACCGCTCGTATGTCGAATGCATCCTTTCTATCGGTCTCAGCTAACCTGCGTTGGTGCTGCATGCTGTCGTCCAGTTTGATAATATAGACCACGTTTTTGGCTTCCAAGATGGCGTCCCAATCCTTGTCGCCCATTCTGCATTCTTCGTTGGGTTCGATTTATACGCCAGAAGATGAGCCTGCTTGCTATTCTTATTAGGCAATCATATATCGCTGATTTTGGGATAGAGGAAATCATTTGTGTTGGCGTGGTCTGATTTGAACTTAAATTGCGCGGTAGCGGCGCAAGTGAAATTGATATCTATTTTTGAGCTCCTAAAGACGATATTATCTTGACTGTTTGGTGTGAGGAACGGCCAATATTATGCACTAAGGGAAATGTTTGCTCTTAGTAGATGTTGGCCAGTGTAAAAGGGAACGGGTCTCTGATTATTGGCTCACAATTGACAACGATGCTTTGCTCCAGCCTTACAGTTACAAATGTGGCTTTATGCGATATCCGATTGTCAGTTATAGGTGAGCTCATACATGCGGTAGTATTTAGCCGGATCTCATGTCACGCCAACACACGTTCCTCTCCCCAAACTAAACCAACCAATTTTAAAACACAAGAGCAGGCCAGTCCCCCTATCTCTCCTCAAACATGAAAACGGAACTGCAAGAACGACGACGGCGACCCATAGAAATGCAACCCAGAGACTAAAATCTTGAAAAAATTATAAAGCGGAGATGAGGGATGGATATGGAGCGGAGGCCAGGGAAGCGGATGAGGCTACCTTACAACACAGACGGGAGTTAGACGTTATCAAGAATGAGCATGACGAGAAGATGAAAGCGCTCGATGCGGATTTCAAAGAACAAGTTGAGGCCGCATTCGCGAAACATGGCGCATGGTTGGGAGAAGTTTCGGCGAGGCAGAAGAAGGATCGAGGTGTGTGGTTTCGTGAAAGTCGGGATAGTTTCTGAGCCCACTCGTTTATGTTGGAACTATTGAAATGGGAGCAGTTTGTAGAGGTTGTATTACTTTGGTAGGCTGCGAATCAGGAATCCGGATATGGAACCGTCCGAAATCGAGCCGTTTACCCCCCTGATTTCAGCCACTTTACGGCTAATGTTGTCAATAAATATCCATTCCAAGCAGAACAATGGGAGTAAAGGTATATGCCTTGATCGAGTCATGGACTGATAGGTCAGGCTGATTTGTTTGGGTTTTCGGTGAGCTGGGAAGAGACGCTGACGATTCTTACCACTTGGGTTTGACTCTCACCTTTCAGAGCGGAACAGAAATCTAGAGGTTTCGGCGAATTGCTCTCATACTTCGACTTTCCCAGATCGATGAGAACAATGATGTGGAATTGTTCGCGAGTAGTACCTCATATTCTTTATTGTTGCCTAAATATCTACATTCCAGTCTTGATGAATTACGCTTCATAGTTCGAGGTCTTACTTCTCTCTTTCAGCACTAATCTAAGAGCTAAGCCTCTCTTTCTTGGCTTTCCACATTCCCGTTAGCCAAGGCCATTGCACAGCCCTGCGAACGCCTTCTGCCAACAACAGAAAAATGCCAAGATCCTGTACGAAGGAGTGCATATACGCGATACATGGTCTCGGGCCCAAGTACTTGGGCGCACGATGCATCTTTCCTCGCAGATTCCGATAGACTGGGAGCTTTGCTGAATCTCCTGTATCTCAACATTCTTTTACTGTCACAATTTTCTCCGACTCTAATGTCCAAGCATCTGGCACTTTGGACTCGAATATTTGTCAACGTATCGCCTCACAAGCACACTTCACAATGCCAAGGTGGTGCTTAAAGAGGTGTGCGAGCACGGCGCCTTCTGGCTTTCTACACCAAGTAGCGCGAATCACAGACTGCGCCTCCGCCATGAAAAGTATTTGATCCTTTTTGAAATATTGTGTCGATTGTCTGCAACGGAACTAATATTTTAGAAGACTTGCCCCATCCTCCACTACCCGAGCTCACAGATGTCTCATTTCAAGCTTTTGTATTTATAGAACCCTCGTGACTCCATTGGCAGCACTGCATTCGATGTCCCAGCTCCGAGATATAACATTCGGGTGCGCCTTTCAGTCTTGAACTGAAGACTGTTGGTCGTACTCTTCTTTTCGAGTTTTTTTTTGGTTCAAAATGAAAATACCATCCACTGTCCAGTTTGCCTGCCTCATGCACCTTTCAGGTCGAGTCCAGGCCCAGGAAAAAATACCTGGCTGCAATGGTAATAATCTTGAAAATTGCTTTCAACGAAGCACCGCGATTGCTATCCCCTTTTGCTCGAAGATTCTAGGAACATTTCAATCCCGACAGTAGCTGTAACCTCTACTCATCAAGTGTAAATCGAACAGTCTTTTCTCGTGTTGTGGCTGACACGGGATCAGCACAGAGACCATAATCCACACAGACACGAAAGTAACGACCAGCGTCATCAGCAAAGTCGCGACTTCGGTCATAATAGCCTACACTACGTCGACAACGCTCGCTCCTGCTGCAGCCGCGGGAAATCCAGTTGCCTCGGTCGTCACTCCTAAATGTGCTACACGGAAATCGTACGCTGCCACGAGCATATCAGCAGCATGCGCTTGCTTCAGCGCCTCAATCGCAGCATTACACCCTTCTAAAGTAACCAGAACAGTAACTGATACCAAAACTATGGTTAAAGAAACCACCACGACGTAAGCACAGTACTTAAATGGATAATTCGTGCTTACAGGCTTTCTTGCAGCTCCACCACTTTCACAACACACACATCAGGAACCGGCACTACGACGACAAGTGTTACGACTGTGACAACCTTGTAAGACCTGCTATATCTCCCAAATCTGGGCATCTTGGCTAATGCAGAACAGTCCAGCGGGGCCGATATGCAACTATCTCGTTACAAGCCTCGACTGCTTCAACGGCCAGTATAATCTATCATCCAGTCTTCAGATAAGCCAAGATGCTTGCTACATTGCATGTCAGGGCAATTGGCGTTGCCAGAGTTATAGTTGGGAGGCAACGAAGTCGACTTGTACGCTTTATACGGAAGGCGTAGACGCAATGGACTTGCCCTCGACGGGTGGCACGATATCCTTCTCAGACATATCATGTCTAGCACCCCCTCCAGCACCAACCTGCCAGCATAACGCCCAAGAGATCGACCTCGGGATCACGTATCATGATATTATCGACGACCAGTGATGCGCCATACAATGCTTTGCTACCCCTTCGTGCCGAACCTGGAGCCACGATGGCGGCGCGGTCGGTATTGATCCCAAATACCGTTTCTGCCACCTCTTTATCCAGAGCGTGGCACAGCTTGGCCCTCCTGTCTCTAGCACCAAGGCGCTAAACAACTTTCAATATTGGGATATGAGTTGCCACTGTGGTGCCATGACCAGCGCACCACCAACTACTTTGCGCAGCCCTATATCTACTACCACTCAACCATCAAGGGCGGCTTGCAAAGCGCTATGTGGAGCTGATCTTTACTGCCAATCCTATAGTTATAATAGTGTGGGTGGAGTGTGTCTCTTTTGGAACTGGAGTTTGTTCAATGCGGCGACGCTGGTTTGGGATGCGACGGGAACTTGGACGAGTTATGATCACAATTGTCCTTGAAATAACTTGCACATGTACCTGCAAGTTTTGAGGCCTCAGTTATGTTCTAAATGCCAATTTTTCATTCGTACAAAGACTTTCAGGGTTAGTGGTGATTATCTTGGGAGATGATCGAGTTTAAGAGATAAACCACGTTAAGCACGTTCAATCCGGCGGCTATCGCCCCTAAATCTTGCATTTTACTATCAAAATCAACTAATAAAATAACCCCATCCTTTAATAATTCCACAAAATGCATTTAACATATCTCACATCTCAAGAGCTGGAAGAGAACGACTATAAGAGAGGAGGAATCCATGGTTATTTTGGAAGCTGAAGACTCATGGAGAGTAAGAAGTGAAGTACGAAGCATTCTGGGGTAGTGTGACAAAAGCGCTTCCTCGCTCCTTCCCCTACATACTAGCGATGCTGTTAGCTCCTTCTTTCGAATGAAAATTTACTCGCACATTCACAGTGTGACAAGTGCTGACTCAACTCCGTAATTCAGAAGTACATATATCCTCTGTGGTTGATATCGCCACTTCCAGCAGAAGATCCAAACACATCGAAAGACGCCCAAGATGATACTTCACAGCATGAGTATTACTCCCAGCATAGTAGGTTTTGTGAGCAGACACGGTTTGAAGGATGGCAATGGGGTCTTGCTATTCTTCCTTGGGTATGTTGCTTTGATGATTTTCGCATACCTCGCCGTCGGCTTCATTCTGCGTCCACGCAAATTCAGGGACTTCCCGATTGTGGGAAAACATAAAGACCTCCATGGAGGACTTATTGAAGGAACACGAAAGGCAAAGATCTCAAACTTCCCGTGTCCGGGGAGGAGAGTACGTGGACTGACATAAGAATAGTACCCCAACTCAGCTTTCGCGATCCCGACGTCTCCACCGACGGTTATCCTTCCCGTACCAATGATTGATGAGATCAAATCGCTACCAGAGACGAAGGTGTCATCAGCACGAGAGCTTTATAGACGTGCAGCCGGAAAATACAGCAAAACGGGGACGAACGCCATAGCAGCAGTTCGAGCTCTTCGTATTGACCTGAATCGAAGCGGAAGCATTATCCCAGCTCTTTGCGAAGAGACCGACTTCGCTTTCTCACAAGTCATCGGGGAGTACACTGATTGGGCTCCAGTGGCCGTTTATCCCAAGATCAATCATATCGTGGCCATGGTCAGCGGCCGAGTTTTCGTGGGCACCCCACTCTGTAGGGAGGCGGAATGGGTGGCTTTGACGACAGCCTGGGCGAGAGATGTCTTCGCATTGGTGACTAAAACAGCGAAATATCCAACCTGGATACGTCCTTGGATTGTTCCGTACTTATCGGAGACAAGGAAGGTGCTCGGACTGAGAGCAAGGGCGAAGGCATTTCTCTCCCCTGCATTTTCGGAACAACTTGAAGCGAGAACAAATTATGAGCTACCACCTGAAAAGATGCGAGATACACTGGTGAGCTGGATGATGAAATATGTGGCTCCAAGGCACATGAATGTGGAGAGCTTGGTACGTCACCAGCTTGGGATATCATTGGCTTCGACACACACAACGACTCATGCTGTGAGCAACATTCTCTTTGACTTGGCCGCACAGCCAGAATACCAGAATGGATTACGCGAGGAGTTGGAAGCCGTCTTGGAAGAATGCGGAGGAGAATTAACCCAACTCGATCTGGTACGACTGAGAAAAATGGACAGCTTCATGAAGGAGAGCCAGAGATTCAGCCCAGCAACCATCCTTTCTCCCATGCGGCTTACAATCCAACCGTTGACACTCTCAACAGGCCAAATTATCCCAGCCGGAACACCAATCGGTTTCTTCAGTATGTCGATCAACCAATCGGATTCGATCTATAAATTCCCGCCAGCAGACATTTTTGACGGATATCGCTTCGCCAGGGAGCGAGAGAAGAAAGGGAACGAAAACAAGCACCAGTTTGGCTCCACAGGTCCGGCGGAAACGTTCGACTTTGGTCATGGCATACATGCGTGTCCAGTAAGACCTCTCTCTCTTTGGCGCAAGTTGTGACTAATTTATCGTAGGGTCGTTTCCTCGCCGTAGCAGAGATCAAAATTATGCTCACGTATGTCCTTCAAAATTATGATTTGAAATTGGAACCAGAGGCTACCAGACTTGCGAATTCGCTGAAAGAGGTCTATTTCATGGCGGACCAGAAGGCTAGAGTGCTTCTGAGAAGCAGAAAGGCCTGGTGAGAGATTCTTAGGCGTTGATTTAGTTAGCAAAATGATAGAAATCAAATCGAAGTTTACCGTTCACATGATTTGCTTCATTATGAACTTGAATTGGCGCCACATGTGTGAAAGGAAGCTCCGGGCATCTATTACCCCTCGAGTCCTCGAGAACTCTGGGCCTGGGGGGATGCTGAGATGCAGTTCCCAAGTCTAGAACAATCTCAAAAGCACTGGGAGGTGGAATTAGCGTGAAGAATCGCAGTGGGCATGTCGCTGCGAATTGAGGTCGGGAGAAACGCGAACGGAACAAGGGAGACAAGAAGAGCCAGTCCGAGAACAAGGAAAAGTGGGTCGGTCACGTGAAAAGTCTAAAAGTCTGTCTCACATTCTGTTATCCTTCTCCTTTCCTTCTCTCGTCTCTCAAGTCTCAACAGCGCTCTCCCAATTTCGAGCCGCGAAAACCCAACACCACGATATCATCTGTCTGGCAGAAATCAAGTGACATCTGCAAACTCTTCTCGAGGACTTCGTTGCAGCCGTCAGCGGACGCGTGCCTTCCAAAAATGGCCCACACCTTCAACGCATCGCGAGTCGCGACTGCGCTCAATCGAGAACTCTACCACGAGCCACGCAGGGTAATCCCCTCTTCCATCTTCTCCCTTTTCTTCCTTCACTGTATGATATGACCGGGCTGGTCTCGGAATATCGATATCACAACCTTCGTTTCCTTTGTCCTAACTTTTCCTAAAATGGCTTCACAAAATCCTCTTCAAGTTCCTGAAATCCATACCATTCCATCTCCAAACAGGAAATCCAGTCCACGAGGAGGAAGACATCCGAGCCCGGAGAGCAGCTGCTTCTCGCTACGTGCTCCTGTACATCATCGATCTTCCCCTCCCGGAGAGTTTCCTGGATCTCCAGCACCGATACATCGAACCGACACCGGCAACTCCAGCAGATTGACGCCTCCAGCGCCAGAGTTGCAGTCAGGGCAAGATTCGTCCTACTTCTCTACACCACAGCGTTCCCAGACCCGACAAACTCGAACAACCTCGCCCTCGGAGCGCTTGTCGAATCCAACATGCCTCAGCCCGGACGTATCATCCAATGGATCCTTCCACTCCTCCGAGTTTGGTCACAGTCCATGCAGTCACAGCAGTGGTACGAGCGATTTTTTGACCCCACCTCAAGAACTGCCCGATACCGATAATCCTCCGTATAAAGCGCGCCGGGAGAGCTCGGGGAGTTTGACAATGGTCAGAAAGCTGCGAAGGGCCAACACGATGCCGTATGACAAGGAACAAAAGAGGAGAAAGCGGCACCGGAAACACCACAAGTGCGACCACAAATGCGGGCAAAAGAAGATCAAGTTGTACGAACATCAGAATCGTTCATATTGGTGGCTCCCTTCTAGCTGTCAAGTTGCTCCAACGGCTCCCCGCGGTCAGAAACAACTCTGCGAGGACCACGCGGGACACTATACGCCGAAGAAGACGCGGTATGGCAGTATTGATACATATGGAAAACTCCCTCCTGAATTTAGGTCGAAACCAGCACCTGCGGTGGTCACAAGACGGTGGAGCTCTGTTGAAATCGGGGCACACCAAGTCGTCCTAGAATCAACTTTTCCTCTCAAACCCACTGCTCCTCAAGTAACATCCGGCTCTCCTGTTAACAATTTCGTCCCGAAGATGCTCAGCAAGCCTTACCGAAGCTCTACCTTCACTCGTGGGGCAATAGATCACAATAGTGATCATGATATGTTTCACACCATTGGCAAAAAGTTGGCACTTCACAAAATCCCTGACGAAAAGCTGGTGATTCCCGAATCAATCACATTGCGGAGAGCGAGTGGAGGAAGTCCCGAAGCACAGCAGAGCAACGACACAAGCGAAGCCACCCCACGGGCTCGTCCCATCAACGCGGGTCAAAAACGACATTCTGTGCCATACTTGATCACCACCGAAGAAATCGATTCTATCCCTGAATTGATCGAGGCGAATCTCAGGAGGAACTACGATGCATATGGCCGTTATGATCGGCATACTTGCAGCTCACGTCCATCGCAGCGGACAACGCCGAGTTCGAGCATCACGGGCACAGCCCTAGTGCCTTCCAAAGGCTACTTTACCCAGCCCTCCGTCGCAGTCACCGAAGTCCAACCAGTCAATTCAAGGCCTCGCAGTCCCCTGAATTATCTTCAGGTTGCCCCACAGCGTAAGACCAAGACCGATGCGATTTCACGATCCGATTCGCAGAAAAGCGTTCACGAAGTCATATGGGAAAGCGGTGCATCTCCACTGAGCCTAGGTGAACTTACAGACGAAGACGATTCGAGGCGTTCTGGCCCTTGTAGCGCGGAACCATCAACCCCAAATCCAATAAACCTTCAGATGCCAGGAGCCTTGAGAGTTGACAAGGGTGACGCTTTTGATCCTCAAAATGCAAATGCTTCGATCAACGAGTGGTCTTGGAGATGTCCTCAAAACGAGATCGCGGTTGTCTTAACTTCGTCCGACTCTGATTCTAACGATGTCTTACTAGAGGGCAGCAACGATCCTCGGAGGCCTGATTTCGAAGACGAGATTCCGCCTCCTAAAGCAGCTACGAGAGCTAGAGATCGACCACTATTGAGATCTGCGGTTTCGCAGACCAAGTTACAAGATGTTGTATCTTTCCCACCTTTGGCACCTAGAAAGAAGACCAATGATTGGTACTCTCCCCTTCCCCCAATTGAGGCGCAGATGATGTCGCCACCTCTGGCAACTTCGCGGTCGCTCTATGACATCGGGATTGATGTGTCTTTTGGGCCCTCGAGCTCCAAAACGGTAACCCCAAGATCATCTCAAACATCTTGGGTACGCTCCACCGAGGTCTCCCCTACTCGCAGCTCCGAATTTGATCCGAATTATGAGATACGCTGCAAGAGCCCAGAATCATATCTCGAGGACCCTATCCACAGGAAATGTGTGATCAAGGCACATCCTAATGCTTCTGCTCGTACGGGCGAATTCTCAACTATCGGTTCCTCTCTTGGGGCAAGCTCACACGAGAAAAGAAAGAGCTCAACGCCCAGCGTCCAACGGCCGCGCTCGCCACGGATCTGCGAGTCGGCTACAGAGGGAGTCTTGATCCAAAGCGAGAGACGAAGCCTGCCTTCACAGATCCACCGTACAGAAACATCACAGCCTACGAACAGTGCCACAATGAAACCAACCGGTTGCGTCAATATGGGGGGGAGAAATAGTTCGCCCGCCCTTCGAGCCCTACTGGAATTTTCCCCTCCTCGCTCTGAGCGTACCAAAGAAAGATCCTCGGAAGCTTCACATCCAGACGAAAAGGAAATCAACTCACCGCCTCGACTCCCTCGTGTTCGAACGGTTGATAACGCCCACAAAGGAGAACATGAAGTCCCACCCACCAAATGGCGAGCACCGTCTCCATGCCCCACACCAAGATCTCGTGGCCCTTCCGAGGACACATCAGAATACGAAGATTCGAGGGACTCACTTTCAGGTAGCCCGGGCCCCTCCACAACAACACCACAGGTCAGACGTGCTTGGATTGATCGTCTGAGTTTGCTCAGATCAAGGAGTCCGCCCCTGCCTGCCGTCGATCGCGTTGGAATCTATGGCCGAATGTCAGGTAGTCAGAGGAGGTCGAGAGGTGATCCGTGGGGAGAAACGTCGAGAAGTGAGCCGCATGTCTGTGATGATTGCCCCAAGCCTTCGGAACCGCACATTTGTGATGACTGTGCGAAAGATCCGAGAGTGCCGAGTATAGATTGGATTGGGTAAGGATGTGTCGAGTTGGAGATATGAGAGTCTGAGGAGCGGTCGAGACAGATTGGACAAAAGCTCAAGATGCAAGGACACGTAGGACCGAGGATCTTTTATGTTATCACAAGACGACAACTTATTCAATCATGAGTTTGTTGCGTCTCGTCATGAGCAACCTCGATTTCTTATGCCCTCCTTCATTTCCCCGGCTGCTGCTTGTGAGACTTGTCAAGTGTGGGGCATCAGGTGCATGTCGGGGTAGCATTGGGCGCCGGAAACCTCGTGGCAGCTTGCTCCTTTCTTTAGTTTTGGACCCGGAGATCGTCTTCATAAGGAGCAGTTGACTTCATATCCGGTTTAAGAACTTCTCTGCCAAGCAGTAAATGCTATCTATTGGCTTGCATCTCAGTCTGTCAAACTATCTTTGTGGCGTCTTGGCTTTCGAGGTCTGGATCTGCGGATGTCTTCTCATTGGGAGACCGCCATGCACGACGTTGCTGTGGCTTCACGACATCGGCAAGCGCCGTTCAGCTGAACTTCTTCTCAACCCCACTTCTTCGTCCTCCTGAACGAAGTACATAACTTGACACTCTCCCTGAAGTCCATACCGTTTCTTCCTATTTGCAAAGTATTGCGCATTGTAGCTCATCCATTTCCACGCCTTTCCCCTTCCCACAGACCTCCTCGTAACAAGATTCAAACCTATCGAAGCAAATATCAAGCAATGTCTGGCATTGAGATCGTCGCAGGCGTGGCCGCCATTGTGACTGCATTCAATGGATCTGTCAAGTTGTATAGGTCTTGGAGGGAGAAACAAAGAGAGCGCTTGGAGCCCAAGGAGAACCAGAATCTTGAACGGTCTTTGACGATTGGTGGGACGACTGTTCAGCGGGAATATGATTGTCATTTCGCGAAGCTGGGGCCTGAGTTTGCTGTTGGCGATGGTGAGTTCTCCGTTCATACTTGAAACTAGAAAAGAGTGCGTGCTGATCTTTGTGACCAGATCGAGCGAGGGCTGAGCTGGCTGGTTACGTGATCAAGCTGCAGCATACAATCATCACATTGATGACGGAGTCAAACTCCTCTAATAACCTCGTCTTGCCGAGTCTGCCTGCAATATATTCCACTTCTGAGGATACGAGGAAGGGAGTCGTGTCTGCCATGGCACAGCAGTATCAACGAATGGTTCAAGCTAAGCCTCTGAGTGGCTCGTATCTGACCAAAATACTCTCTGGTTCCAGGCAAGCGATTACTTGGGGCACATCGTCTGCCAGCTCTTTGCCTCCACTCTTCCGTATTTGCACAGAACTTGACCTCAACTACAATCAGAAATATAGGCAGCAACGTCGGGTCTGCTGTTGTGGGTTTGCAGCAGACTGCTGGGGACACGACGCTGGCTGGGCTGGCCTCCTATGGGTCAGACCCATGGGAGAAGGAATCGACTGCAAGGTAGCGATTGAGCATCAGGGGCTCTGCCAGTATCATTTTCGGCCCAATGACCGAAACCCGCGACGACGTTCCGAACACCTCTTATACTACCTTCTCTGCTATGAATCGTCATCTGGAGAGGAGGATGTCGAGAGATACACGAGGGAGCAGATGCAGTCTCACTTTGAGGACAAACACACGCTTTCCGAGCTCAGGAGCAAGAATTTGGTGTACTACGTCTTGAGTGAAGAGTCATAGAGTTATTTTGATTCCTTGACTGCAGAACATAGTTGCTACCATGTACTGGGCCACACATCCACGCCAAGTGGGAAGGAAAGATATTTCGTGTTTGAAGAAAGGGAAACATAGTCCGAGACCTTGGAACCGCCTCAGCGGGTCTCAATATCGACGAACAAAAAGGACTGAGGACACGAGACATCACAACAACACGGCAGCCAAAAGCGTACCAGCGAAAATTATTCCTGCAACCATAAGCGGGGAGTTATGTTCAACAGTAGCTCCAGCATTGGGCTTGGTCGTCGAGGTAGAAGACGAACCCGCACCCGAACTCGTATCCGATCCAGTCTGTCCCGCTGCAGGGGAAGAAGACGTCTGAGCAGTTGTGCCCTTCAATGTCTGAGCAGCTCCGGACGTCGAGACTCCAGGAGGGACAGTTCCGCCTGGCCAGTTGGTGGGAGGAGAAGCCGTGTTGGCTTGAACGACCTGTAGTCGACAAGAATCAGCCCCGAGCTTTTCAACACAAAAAGCCGTGAGGATTGAGAACTTACGGTGCTTGCATAGTTCCCTGTATAGGTCAAGCTTGCTGGCTCGCAATGGCCATCACCAAGCGCTAGGCCGACAAAACCAGGAGCACAGCACCAATCAAACGCGTCTTGGTAGAGGGTCCAGCTTGGATCTGCACAGGTGAGACCTGCGTTGACGACGGTACCGCAGTCATCGGCTAGGGAGAACAAGTAAGCCTTCCAACAACAAATAGATCAAATGGGGCTGCGCAAGACTTACACGTGGGACAACAATAAGGACCAAGTTGAAACGGCCCACAGAATGTGAAATTTGGGCAGCAGAAGGTGAAGACTTGGTTGCTGCAAGTCAAGGTTCCAGAGGGACAGCCGTGAACTGCTCCATCTTCTGGCGTGCCTGGAAGCGCGAAGCCGCCATAGTATGGGTTTCGAGTTTGGAGGAGGCCTTGAGCGCTGGTGGTTGCGAAAGCAAGGAAGGCTGCGGAAAGGAAGGTGAGGTGAGCCATTGTGGAGAAGTGGAAACCTTTCTTGATGTTTTTGATTCCCTAGGCTGAGAGAAAACTTGAATTGGGAAGTTTCGAAAAGAGAAAAACTTCGAAGCGGAAGAGATTGGGGGTCTGCACACCTTATTCTAGTAAGTTATAGAAGGGTGTGCGGGATACGAGACGCATATCTCGCATTCACTAAAGGTCAAAGTAGATTTCCAACGTAATAAGCCTCGAACCGTCCAATTGAGGCAGCATGGCGCGGAGGTCCCCTTCTGTGCGTTTGAGGGAAAATACCCAGTCCCCAAAGAACCTGAGGAGAGCCTTGCCCTGATCAATTTCACAGCCCCGGTCATCAACAGCCCGTTAAATGCTCACCAATGAGAGCTTGATAATCTGTCCCTCACCAGGCATGACCCGATATCATGAAGCTTCAAACAGACGGAAAAGGAAATTTCGTTGGTTGTGGCTGTGGCACCCTGAGTTTATATTTCTTAAATCCGATGGCTTGCAGAGGATGTTGGAGGCTGATGGTCCAGATTACCGAGGTTTCCTTGCAATGTAACGGCAAGCTCGATGTAGTCTGTAGGAAAGAAGATTTGCTGCAAGTTCATGGAGTTAAGCTTTTCGTGCAACGTGAGTGGTGGTTGTATTTTTGGAGCCACCTCGGTAAAAGGAAAATAGGGGTTGGTCACGTGTCATCCCACCATCCACCTCGAGAAAAAAATTCTACCACAGATCATGGGAGTCAATCAAAAAGGAAATATAAAACTCCATATCTAAGTGGAAATCTTGTGGGCTACGAGCGGGGAGGACTATGAGAAACTGCAATGTCAATGTTTTTGATTCATTCACTACGACATCGAACTTCAAGCTCGCAGGTTCCCTGGGAAGGTTCGGAGGGCAAAGTATCATCTCACTTCGTTATCAATTAGTATAGAAGCTTCCCAGATGCAAATTTCCTCATCCAAATCGAATGAGAAAGGCTCACTTTTGGCAAGTGATAAGTTGCAAGGCCGGAGCTGGGCATTCACTGCCCCATCCCTCAGTTAGCGACTCTTCTCCGGAATAAACATAGAAGATCTCTTACCTATCCTTCATTGCCGTGATTGAAAAATATTGTCCTCTAGGTCGATACTCTTGATAGCGGGAACATCTTTCTCCATCGGAATCTCTTCCCTCTGCACAATCCGACAGACGAAAATCGGGCCCTGGTGTCTATTGCACCTCAACTTCAAATGTCTCATCGAGTATCTCCATCCCCATTTCTCTTTCTCCAAACTCCGCACCACCAGTCCCTCCTCAATTTCGATGAATTTTTGCTCCGTTGGCAGTGGCATAAAATACCGCGTCCCCGAAATCTCTCCGTACAAGAACTTCTGGTATTTGATGAGGTACACTGCGTCCTTAACAAAAGCTGTGGTGTTGTCGCCAGAGTATGAGGATAAATTGAAGGAACAGGCGAGTTGAGTCATATGGATTGCGAACTGGAGGATCGCCTCGTCGTGGATGCCGTGAGGTGTGCTCATTGGGTAGAGGTCCAAGCAGCAGAAGCAGCGAACACTTGACGATGGCGGACTGATTGAAAGTTGTCAGAGGGTGGTTCTAATTGGAGCTATTGGTCTTTAATTACCTATCCCCAATGTCTGAGTGGGTTCTCTTGGGGGACGCCATGTTTGTAATTTCTGGTGGTGCTTGAGCGTGTTGAAGATCTGGATGTGGATTTGGAAGGTTTTTTTTTGGCGCGCCTTCCTCTTCTATCTTTGAGTATTTATAATTCCGGAACAGTGAATAAAACTCAAAATACGTACAAAAATTCTATGAACAGTTCTTCGCCATTTCCTGTATTGTCTCGTTCGGTGGACTTTCTTGGCAAATTCAGCAAGCGAAGATTTATTATTTACCAGGCCAGACCACTTTTCTTGGATCAATCGTGTCATTTTAAACACAAAATAACAGGCACAAAGCAGTTGAGCTATTTTAGATAATGGCCATAGTGCAGAGGAAACGCTCCTTACACTATGACCAAACCGGGAACAAAGGTACTATCCACTCGCGACAATAGTGAAGCCATCAACCCAGATTTACCTGATTAGTTCTTTTATTAAAGTATAAGGACGCATAAATCGAAGTACTAGGCCGTATCAAATGGAATCATCATCTTTCTACAACTTTGCCCTTAGCACACCAGCCTCAATTAACTCCTTAACCTTGGCAGCAACCCCAAAGGAGTATATATACCCCGCACCCTCAGCTCCATAAGCATGGACGACATCGCCCTCTTTCTCGACCCTGAGTCCAGTAGTCCTTCCAGGCCTAAAGCCAACAAGATCGACCACGCTCTCCAGATCCAGCCCGTCGAAAGCCCCCTTCGTCATATGATTGACCCTCCTCAAGATATCACTCTTCAATTCAACATCTACCTCAGCATCCAACCTGTCAGACTTGATGCCTCCCATAATCACTCCACCTGATCCAACCCTGGGAATAATGTAGGTATATTCTGATCCCTCTCTCATGAAAAGCTCATTGAGGTCTGTTTTGACGAACATTGTCTGACCTCTCACTGGGTGAACAGCATCGTCAGAAGCCAATTCCTTAGCACCAACGCCTGATGCATTGACAATGATCTTTGCCGAGGTAATCTTCTGTACTTCATCCAGGCTCTTGACCTCTTTCCGAACAAACTTGACACCTCTCTCCTCTAGTTTCTTCTTGAGCCAGGGCAAAAGAAGCAACGGACTCATAGCCAACGCAGTGTATTTCACTCCCATCGAGACACCCTCCGGCAGTTCAGACTTGGCAATAATTCGATAATCAGGCATCAAAGTCTTGTACCAGATATCAGAATCATTGTTCCTGTCATCGAAATACTCAGTCATTGGGTATATCTTGACGCCACTTGATGGGTCTTGGTGAGCTAGATTCCAATAGAATTTGAAGCTTCTTTTCTGCATTTCTTGCTGCATCTTGGTGGCTTTGCTTTGAGGGTGGAAGACTGCTCCGGCCCTGGACTCGAGGTCAGTCTTATGAAGGATGTCAAGGAGAGAATGAAAGGTACCATGGACTCGCCCAGTTGGTTCCGAGGTCCCCAGGAAGTTCTCGGGCTACGATTGTTATGGAGTACTTGGGTGAGAGGACATAGGCAGTTGCCAGGCCGGTTATACCAGCTCCTACAATTCCAATTGGCTCTTCCATAATGAGATGGTGTGATAAAGTTCAGTGTCTCTAGATCTCAAGAAGATGAGGTGTTGACATTGTGGAGTCATCAAACCCCACTTTCAGGATGCCCGACGCCACCCGCTAAGCTCGACATCTTTACGCCGATCAGGGGTCAAAGAAATATTGAAAGAAAGATCTCAGTATTCGAAGAAATATGTAGAACAATGTTTCAAGAACCCGAAATTGTGCTGGCAAACTGTTACGAACCATTTGGAAGAGACAGGTTGTGAATGATCTGATCATGTGTGAGAAGCTACCCCGCCAGTTCTCTGTTTCAAGTCCTTCCATCCCGAATTCTTTAAACTCAACAAGTACAAGTGACTTCACAATCAACACCTGACTCTGTATGCCTCAACTCCCTAGAACCCTCCGATTCAATTCCGTTGTTCCAGCAGGAATAACAAATTATAAAATAGGTTCAATATCATCACCACAATCTCTCAATGTCTGCTTCAAACTCAAATCACAGACTGAAGGGTCCCGTAAAGATGATGTGTCGTCGTGGGGAAAAAGTAAGACGACCCTAAGCGAGGCAATTATTGTGCACGAGGCAAATAAGTTCCAGGTACTTAATCACTAAATTTTCAGGCTCTCTTAAGGTCAATGCCCCTAATTAATATCCCTAATCAACGCCCCTAATTAACACCCCAAATCGACACCCCTAATTGATATTCCTAACTAGTACCCAGCAAGGTATTGCTTTATATTTTCCTGTTTTGCCAGAGGTCGAAAGGAATTAAGCATTGCCATATGCATTATAACCAAATCTGTCTGCAACAATAGTAACGACATGCGCATTGCGATGCATTAAAGCAAAATGCGAGACGGGCACTGGGTGCCAATATATATTAATTTGCACACACTGGTGTATACAAAGTAATATATATGGGCGCGTACCACCGCTTGCTCATTTTGGTTAGTGTAGCCCTAATCGACACCCCTAATCGACATCGGGGGTGGGAAGAGGGGTCGTTTTACTTTTTCCCGCTCTTCCCAGCTTCTTCTGTACAACATCTTGGGAATCCGATAGGAATTGTAGAATTTTCCAAGTCTCTTCTCTCGCAACTTCTGAATCTTACGTTTAATGGTTAGTCGTACGATAGCAGGACCTGCAGATACCCCCTGCGGATAAGGCCCTCTCTGCGGCGATCTCTAGGCAGCTCTTCGGTCTTGGTACGGCCAACCGTGCCACCACGTTATCATGGGCCTCTTCTGATCCCAGTTCCTGACGTCAAAGAACAACCCGATCGGCCGACACTGTGCAGCTCGTCCCAAGGCTCTCGAGATAGACAATGCTCCTAGCTCGCTGCACATGACGCCTTGTCACTCTTTCTAGAAAGCTGTATGGAAACAACCAACCTTCTCAGGCAAGGCTTTCTAAGCTTCAGTCCCCTTCAACTCAAGATTCGCTTCTAGAACCCCTGACAGACTCTTAGGTTCATTCTCAGCGCTGGTGGGCCTTGTTTGCAGGACACCCCGAGCCTGTGGACCGTGCGGGTGGTGACATGCTATCTACGGCCAATTGTCGTCTTCACGAAGCAGCATCCTTGGGGAACGTTGCTCGGCAGACAGGAGTCTACTCTTGATGCGGATAATACTTCCTCTGAACCTTAAGTGGTGTCAATCGACGGCGTCACCGAGCTTTCCTTATCGTCGTGCATTCCTTGGAGTTTGTTTATATTGTCTTCCTTTCCTTGGTTCTTTCATTTTGTATACTGTCTCTCATTGAAAGGCGAAACAACATTTTGCCATCATGAAGTCTGATGACAATGGCGGCATCGGCGAGGCCAAGTCCTCGCAACCTACTTATGATAACGATAAAGAGGCTATTCACACTACGGCTTCTGACGAGGAGTATGGCCATGGCGAAGTTGAAACTCACAGCACGACCAAGAGGGGTCTCAAGGCTCGCCATGCTCAAATGATTGCATTGGGAGGAACCATTGGTCAGTTTTTCCAAGCGCCATGATGAAAAACACGTCTAACACCACGCAGGAACTGGCCTGTTCGTAGGAAGCGGAGGTACTCTTGCCCGAGGCGGTCCCTTGTTCATCCTCCTGGCCTACATGATCCTCAGTGTTCTGGTTCTCTTCATCGTCACTGCTATCACAGAAGTGTCGGCCTACCTCCCGGTGAGTGGTGGGACAATGAGTTATTACGGACATCGAAATGTCTCCAACAGTCTTGGATTCGCCATGGGATGGCTGTATTGGTACTCTCTCGGTATCCTCGTTCCATACGAAATCACTGCCGCCGGTTTGGTGATAGGTTACTGGAATTCGCCCGTTAACATTGCTGTCTGGATCACGATCTTCATCGTGGTGATCGTTGGATTGAATATCCTTCCTGTTCAATTCTACGGTGAGACCGAATTTTGGTTCGCATCCCTCAAAGTCTTCATGATGATTGGTCTCCTGATCCTATCATTCATCCTCTTCTGGGGCGGTGGCCGTAAGTCAATCGTTCAACCTATGTTTCTAAATCTAACTTCCTCTCAGCACGGCAACACGGCATTCTTGGTTTCCACAATTGGAAAGACCCTGGTGCAACAAACACCTGGCTTCGCCCTGGGGCCACAGGTCGTTTCATCGCTTTCATTGAGGTCCTAGTTCTGTCCGCCTTTCCTTTTACCTTTGCACCCGAATTGATTGTAGTGTAAGCTCCCTCCAATATCTCTTTCCCAATATCTCTCCTATATCCTCCCACCAAGAGGGGACTAACACTCCTCCAGAACCGGAGGTGAAATGAAATCCCCCCGCCGCAACCTTCCCAAAGCCGCAAAGAGGTACTTCTACCGCCTTGTATTCTTTTACATTGGCTCCGTTATTGCCATCGGGATAATTTGCCCTTTTAACGACGCCCGCTTGACCTCTGGCGGCGTAGGAGCCAAATCCTCCGCCTTCGTCGTTGGAATCGCCGATGCTGGCATCTCTGGTCTAGGATCCGTAATCAACGCCATAATCATCACCTCTGCCTGGTCATCCGGGAACTCATTCCTCTACATGTCCTCTCGCTCTCTCTATTCCCTAGCAGTTGCCGGCAACGCCCCCAAGATCTTCACCAAATGCACCAAGCAAGGCGTGCCCTACATGGCCGTCATAGCCTCCGCGCTCTTCTCGCCCCTCGCCTACCTCAACTGCGCAAACAGCGGTTCGGTCGTCTTCGCCTGGTTTGTAAACCTAACCAATACATCCGGCTTCATCTCCTGGATCTGCTGCTGCATCGTCTACATCCGGTTCCGCAAAGCCGTCATCACGCAGAACATCCCCAGGGAAGAACTCCCTTATCGAAGCAAAGTCCAACCAATAGGAGCCTGGATCGCGATGGTGGCGTTTACGATTCTGACGCTCATCAATGGGTTTGATGTTTTCTTCCCCGGGAGGTTCACGGCGAGTAGCTTTTTGACGGCTTATGTTGGAATACCTATCTTCCTTGGGATCTACTTTGCTCACAGGGTAGTTAATTGGAAGGATGGATGGGCGATTCCTTCTGGAGAAGTGGATTTGCTGACGGGGATCGACGTCGTGAAGGCAAATGAGACGCCCGAAGTTCATGCGGATACACTGAAGAAGAAGATGATGGGATGGTTTACGTAAATTTTTGGTGTGCGTGAGAGAAGGTCCGATGTACTGTACACATATGCCGAAGGCTGGGTGCAGGGATATATATATACATAGAAGGTAATCTAGGTTTTGAGTATAGTATAAGTTTCCACGTGTCTCAATACTGAATGTCCTGGGGGGTCCTGCACATCAAACTCGATGCATTCGTTATTCATGAGTGAATCGTCTTTCCTCGGCATTGTGTTGCACATCGCATCAATGCTTGAAGTCAATCTAGTACAATGAGATCGAGCATTGATTTTTTGGAGGTTGGTAAGTCTTCAAGTGATACATCAGCCTTTGAGAATTTGTTGCACATCAATGTCCAGCGTAGAAATTTCAGCGAGGAGATTCTACTGTAAGAAAGTAGTGGATTCTGTTTTCGTCTCATTATCAAGTGAAATAGATTTCATCTCGACAGATGCGACAATCCTTTTTGCATGTCGCCTTGGTGTTCCAGGTTACTCTGGGATATTGAGAATATCATGAGTGAAGATCAAGAGTGCGTACTCTTCCTTCAACGCATAGCCGCACATCGCATTGATTATCCGAAGGCCCAAGGTACATTGAGAAAGACATCAAATTTTCGAATCCGACGAGTGTGTATCTCGTCCTATATCATCTCATAGAGATTTCATCCAAATCTGGATCAATTCCAACCAAGCAGCCGAACTAACACTTGTCTGAGCCGGAACTCCGGATGAATACCAATGGCATTTCGGGCCTTCATCCCTCCAGGCACGCCGAGAACTCAGCCTTGACCGACAGACACAAGGGATGACTGCCCCATCGATGTTTCTCTGCCAGCCTTGTAGCTTCCTCGAAGCAGGTCAGGGCAATGGGTCGGGACTCTGCGGCGGGAACCAGGAAGTTGGGGTTCGTATTCGCCCCCTCAAGGACTATGAGATAAAATGGGATGAAAAGAGGGGATTGCGGTTTCCTCCGATATTCTCGATATTCTGTAAACATGTTTCCTGCTTCGCACCAGTCCCCCGAAGTTCTCTCGTATATTGAGATAGATAAGATATTCACTCAATATTCAGATCAGACAAGTCGATATATTGAACTCCTACTCATCCGGATCCGGATCAAACCCAACCAAGACGCTTGGTGGATTGGGACTTTTGCTCCGAGTCGTTGGATCTCTTCTTGCCCTTTGAGTCGGCCATTCCTTCATCCTCAGCACCCCACTTCTGCAGTTCAAATTTATCAAACAAGTGTTGCGCAACTTTCTGGTATTCGACAGGGAAGTTGTGTAGAGCAGACACCCTGCCTGAGTGGGTGCAATGAGGATTGAGAAATATTACAGACAGGAGTGAATCTTATCCTCAACATTTATCGCACATCGCACCATTCATCTGAAAGTATCCTGTACAATAAGACGAATCTGCTCTGATTTCAGATAAAAAGTATAATACAGCATTTTCATCTGATCCCAGCTCACCATTAGCCCGAACCTTCGAATCTCAGGGCTGAGACGGCCGTGAACCTACAGTGACAATAGCATGGATAAGGCTTCAAGCTTCCAGAAGGACACGTTACCGTACTTTTGTCGATACTTACTTGTTCTGGAGAGATAGCTATCTCTCGTCTCGGTGGTGTGATGGAATTGATATTCACGTCAGATGAGAACATTGTGTTGAGGGAAGAGCAATGTCAACCCATTGAAACGGTTTGTTGCATATCGAATCAATGTTTCAAATGTTCCTGATACAATGGGAGTGTTAAGAGAAAGAGTGAATCCTCCACGCGAGGACTTTCGCTGCACATCGATTCAATGTTCCAAAGTTTCCTAGTACGGAGTACAATGAGAATGCCAAGAGCCAGAGTGAATCCTCTTTTCGAGGATATTGTTGCACATCGATTCAATATTCCAAGTGTCCCTGGTGCAATGAGCTCCAGTTATACCTAGTTCAAAAAGGTGGAGAGTCGAAAGGGTATATATTACTCAAGGGTAGTGATAGTGGTTAGCGGATTGTAGAATTGGATCTGGTCTTCTTGTAAAGACTGCGATATCCAAGCCTCCAGGGGCCCGCCCATAGGAAAGTGACAGTATCGCCGACCCATCCCATCCCATGTAAAAGCCCAGCCAAAGCCGTGAGACCCCGTCTACCACCCATCCCTCCGTCTCAAAATGAACGCCAAAATAACCATAACCCAATTCATCATATACAGTTCATTAATCACTAGGGAGAATGAGGAGTTAGGTCTCGACACCCGAACTCTTCCCCTTCTCCCCCTTCTCCGTCCCAGCCATCACGGTATCAGCACTTCCCTCCGCAGCCTTCGCACCCCAACTCCAAGGCATCCAACCACCGCCCCCACTACTCTGGCCCCTCGTTACCCGCCTCCTCGTATTCTCAACCTCCTCGGTCCCAGACTCGGCATCAATATTCTCGAAATCCGCCTCACTTCGCCGAGTACTAAGGCCACTCATCGCGCTCTTCGGCCTCTCACTACCAGCAGCGATTTCTTCCTCACTGCCTGAGCTGCCATCGAAGAACATTGATGGTACTCGCTGCTTCGGTCCACAGGAGGTGGATTGGAGATTGGAGGCTTCTTTGTCGAGTGCGGAAAGGAGGATGGAGAGGCGCTCGCGCTGGGCGGCGATGAATGTGAGGCGTTCTTCGCCGTCCATGGTGGGCGGGATTAACATTCCTGAGTTCGAGAGGTCGCGTGCTTGTGTGCTGGACGAGGGACCGGTGGCAGCGCTTACTGCGCTGGCGAGGAGAGCGTAGAAATCATTTGCAGTGCTTGTAGCGCCTGGGATTGGGTTCGATGGGAACGCAGGTCTAGCGGATGGGAGGTTGAAGCGGGCGAGTAAAGACTGCGCGTAGCTGTATGTTGATGGTGTAGGCGGAGGAGTGGGTTCCTTTGGCGGTAGGCCGAGGATATGTTGTTTTATGAGTTCGATGATGTTTTTGAGGTAGGTTATTCCGGCTGCTTTGGCGCGGTCGTGGGCGGAGGAGATGAAGTTGTCGATTGCGAGCTCGTTGTCGTGGAGGAAGGGGTGGACGTGCGTTTGGTAGAGGACGCGAGCACCTTGGCTTTGTGGGAGGATGAGGTATAAGAGGAAGGCCAGGCGGATCCAAGCATAGAAGGGGACCCTACGGATTGTTAAAATCGGACTGTAGCAAGGAGTACCAGATGTGCGAACCAGACGAGGATGAAGCCGACCCAGGATTCAACACACAATGCGCAGGCTAGTACGACCCAGTACATCAGCCATGGCTTCAATAGCGCGGGATCGGTGGTCTTGAGAGCTTTGTAGGAGGCGAATACAGGAAAGATGAAGGTAGGGATCGACCTGCGCATCTGTCAGTACATCGCGCAGCTATTCCCATCTCTCGGAGTAAGACGGATGTATGGTGGGGTAAATCGAGCTTACGATAAGAGGGTCGCGAATGTATCAAACATTGTCGCTGTCAACGCTGACCCTTGAGGTCAAGCTGATCGTGCGAGATTGTTCTAGGAATACTAGGGAGAACGGCGCAATGGTCGTCCTGGAGTCTTATTTGAAAAGGACGGAAGGAAGGAGTGAAGGAGCGAAGCAAGCGGGTCTGGTCAGCGGCGATTCAGGCGGGAACTTGATGATGCAGATCTCGCGGGAGCTTAGCGATGTTTGTTATCTGACAGCTTTGTCCTGGGCTGGGGTCTCGTGGGCTTCCTGCCGCCTTTGTAGAGGCTCGATTTGTCTGCCTAATCTCGAGCCTTCATTGAGATCTGTCTACTGACAATGGGCCACGTATCAATGCTCTATTCATTCTCGATGACTGAGGATATATTTCTGATCGTTGATAATGGATTCCTCTATTCCTCCGTCCCTGAATCCCACGCCAGAGGTCTGGGCAGGCGCTGGCAGCGTTCCTGCACCTGATCAGCTGCAGCTGGAAATGGGCGGGCGCCGGCAAAGGCTGGACCGAGGGTAACTTGTAAGGCTAGTACCATCGTCTCCCCTGTGGCTGCAGACAGGGAGAAGGGAAAGTCAGTCCAGTTCTGGCGGCGGAGGTGGCTTGATATCTGCATCCAAAACTCTGCACGAACATCAGCGTGTTCTCAACGGATCAGGCCATACTGACCCAGGAAACTGGGCCGAGGTGATGCGTACTTGAGACTTTATATATGCCACTGCCATCATGGCTTCGCTCCCTTCCCCATTTTTAAAGCACATTGAACCGATAAACTTCTGATTATTCTACAATCTAAACCCCCCGCAAGCAACATCAAAGCGACCATGTGTATCGTCCTCGTAACCACTGCACATCCTTCCTACTCACTCATCATCCTCGACAACCGCGATGAGTTCATCCTCCGTCCGACGAGCAGGCCGCATTGGTGGCATTCCCATCACCAGGAAATCCTCTCCGCTCGGGATCTTCAGCGTGAAGAGCGGGGGACCTGGCTCGGGATCACGAAAACGGGCAACTTCGCTGTCCTGACGAACTACCGCGAGACCGATACTCACGATGCGAACCATCCAGTAATGGGGTCAAGGAGCAGAGGAGGGATGGTGACTGCCTGGTTGACAAGCCCAGAGGACGAAAGCACGGAACAATTTGTACATCATTTGTTGGAGGGCGAGGGAGTGAAGGGTGTTGGCGGCTTCTCCCTCGTCTGCGGGAAGTTGAGGAAGCGGAGAGATACAGAGCATGAATTGGAGCCGTTAGCAATCATATCGAATCGTGCAGGGAGTCCAGATGATGTCCCATGGATTGCACAGAAACGGGGCCAAGTGTACGGGCTGAGCAATACTTCTTTCCTGGATCCAGAGACATGGCCAAAGGTACGGATGGGCAGAGAAAAGGTGCTGGGGGTAGTGAAGGAGGTCGTTGATGGTGGCTTGGGAGAGCAGGAGCTGGTGGACAAATTATATGCCGTCCTCGATACAGATACCCTCCCCCCACAGGAGGGAGAGGACTTCGAGGAGTACATCTACCAACTAAGGCATTCCATCTTCATCCCCGCCATTGGACATGCAGCAAGACCAAAGGTTCCCAAGGCCGATGCAATCGCATCCGCCAACACAGCAGTGGCAGCGAACGGGATCAAAGAATGCGAGGACTCGGAGGAGGAGCTGAAGGAGGAAGAAGCACCGGATCCAGAACAAAGCCCAGGGATGACGGGGATCTATGGGACGCAAAGACAAACTATAATACTGGTGGACTGGGAAGGAAATGTCACGTTCAGAGAGCGCTCGCTCTGGGATGCAGAGGGAAATCCCATAGAGAGGGGGAAAGCAGACATGAAGTTCGAGTTCAAGGTCGAGGGATGGAATGGCGAAAGTAAGGGAAACGAAGTCCACCCTCTCGCAGTTTTGTAGATGGCTGATCTTGCCGCAGAGGCCACATAGACTTCATTTGGGTTTGAATTTACATAGTGTCAAGCTGGCACCTAGAAATTGGCATGGTTCCTGATCTATCCCTTGTAGTCGCTCTGAAATTGCATTTGTTGCTTTTGCCAAGAGCACATGATGGCTCCTGTTCAGGAGAAGCGACGCGCAGCAGCCGAGCAGAAAGTGAATCTGCTTTTCATCGAAAATCGCCGAAGTGGAAATTTGTGTATACCCTTTCCGCTCCGAACTTCGTCTCTCGATCAAGACCATTGTCATCATTGCAACAACAATGTCGAGTCCCACTCGAAAGAAGGCTCCCGCTGTGGGTGCCTTCCGTTCTCGAGACTCGAAACGACTCGACGACGAAAACACTCTCACGCCAAGGCGGTCCTTCCAGAATCTGCGCCAGCTATTCAAGCTTCCTGCTCGAGTCTTGACCCCGTTCTCACACAAACGTGAGGATGATCGTGGTCGAGCTCCAATGGTCAATCAGACGGAACCTAGGACACACAGATTGATGGGCGAGATCTCTCCGACTCGAGCAAGAGCCCTGCCATCAACTTCGAACACTGCACCCAATCTGAGAAAATTGGCTGCTCGCAACTCCTCCGCAACACTACTTTCCTCGCCTCTCCGTAACATGTCAGAGCCTCTTCCCTTGCCACGGTGCCCACAGTCAGATTACTCCTTCCGTCCTACTCCAAGTGGCTTGCGGTCTACATACACCATGAACCAGTGCAGCCCTCCTCGTCAACACATACCCAAGCATTCGCTCCCCTCAGGACCCGAGGTTGAAGCTGGCAATATTTCGTCAGCCCGGCGTGCCTTCACGGACATCACTCGACGAATCAACAGTCCCCAGCTCCACCTCCCAAGACTCAGCCTGGGTCCTCGAAATGCATCTTCCCCCCTCGTCACTGTTCCGTACACGTCTTGCCCTACAACCTCTACAAGCCAACAAACCTCTCCCCCTCGCCCTATCTTCACCAATAGCAAACGTCCTATGCACAGAGCTGAGCGCTCACTGTCTTTGTTGAACGAAGAGAACAGACGGAATACACACGGCGGTGGAAGACCTCGATCAATCACCACAAGAGACCACCTTACTACCAAGCATTCCTTCTCAAAGAGCGTCTCTTCCCTCATCCAAACTTCAGGACCAACAACGGCCTCCACCACACCCGCGACCCCACCACAAGCCCTCTTCACCACGAACCCTCGCTGCATCTACAACGCACAGCCACACGCCTATTGGGCAGGTCGCTTCACGTCTCTACACGACCAATACCACACCCAAATGCTCGACGACACCGTCAACGACGAGAAGCTTCTCACGTATTTCCTCAACCCCCCCAAAGATGAGACGAAACTCCGCCAAATAGAAGAGCATACCACGAGCTCTGGTACCACATTCTACGTGCCTGACAGCGGCCCGCCTGACACAGCAATCCGCCAAGACGAAATCAGGAGATGCAAGAGAGTGTTCTATACGCTGCAAGGTCTGTGTGTTACCGCCGAGGCGAAGAACAGTCTTTGGGGCTTTCAGTTGAGGTTTGCGAGAGACAGGCAGATGGAAGCTTGCTTGCCGAATGGAGGAACGATGGAGCCGGAGAAAGGGTTAAGGCCGTGGACTAAGTTGGCGACGAGGAAGAGGGATAATACCGCCAGTAGCGGTGGCCTTGGAGAGACTTTTTAGGGTTGTTGAGGGGTTTGCCTTGCTGAATTGGGTGACACATTCATGATTGACGATGTTATGAGATATGGATATGACTTTACGAGTTCACGAGACATGATGGCTTGTAGGATTAAGTTCCCACCTACGGTTTCTCTATCAGGGGGCAGCGGGCATAATGTTCCGCTTTTATTGCCGGAAATCCGAATACGGCGCCGAATAGTTATTGGCTTTGTTTATGAGAGGTCTTCTGATGAAACTGCCGTGAGATGGATATCTGCCTGAGCGAGTGCTCTCAACATTTTCACGCCTCATTCTCCTTGTTTTCCTTTCCGCGTTGCAAGCCTTTCTCATGGAAAATGTTTTATCCATGTGGCTTCTGCAGGGGATTACTCCATGCCAAGACCTACAGGATGTTGTCGAACATCCTGTAAGATTCCAGGACTAATGACGCTTATTTGTTAGTCTGATGAACCTGAATAGAGGCTCCTCCCACTTTTGAAACAGATTTAAGCTTAATATCCGCTTAGGATGGGTATCTTGCTTGGTTGTTGAAGCGCAAATTACAAGATCCCGGCTTTGCTGTTGTTACAAATAATGTAAGCTTCATTTCAACGTCAACTATTCTTTAAACTGTCGGATTCATGCAAGCTGTACACAATGCTGTTGGAGAAAATCCGTATTCCGCCTAGACTAAATCTCTTGGCCATTTGCGGGGTGTTTTTGTACCCCGCCTCTTGCTCCGCAAAGGGTGGGGTTGCAAAAAAGTGACCGCGAAAATCCTTTTCCCCTCTCCATCCTTCATCCAATCACCATAAGTATTTTTGTTTGTTAGACTTTGTTTACTGTCAAAAATGATTGCTGTCAAGGTTGCTCCAGAACCGGGAGACCCGGCATGTTCATAGTTTAGCCGAACAATGATGGAATTGTCTCAACTAGCTCTTTTCCCTTAGTTCTCATCAGGTTTCCTATGCCCCTCTACATATATAGGACCAACCTTTCCCTGGAATTTGCGATGCAAAACCGCGGAAAAGAAGGTCCGAATCTTCAGTTTGAGTGAAAGCATTTCGATCCTCACTGAAGGAAGAGTACCTGTCTTCCGTCTCAAGATGATGAATCTCTCAAGACTCCTGGCAATAACAATTGCACTGTCAACTATTAATGCTCATCCACACGACAACTGCAACAATGAATTCTTCAACAGAGTGCTGCCCTCCAACGCTTCCACTCTCGGCACCTATCACGTACCAGCCAACGGCTCCTTCGGCCAAGCAGCAGACATAGCATACCCGATCAATGCCACCAACCTCCCAGCTCTCTGCGCGGTCATAGTCAATGTTACCTCTTCAGCAACTTCATCCTACACGTTTGGCCTCTTCCTCCCCGAGGATTGGAACCAACGCTTCATCGCTGTCGGCAACGGCGGCTTCTCCGGCGGCATCAACTGGCTCTCTATGGGGTCCGTCGTCCCTTACGGCTTTGCCACTCTCTCAACTTCCACTGGGCACAACAGCACAGGCCAAGACATGACCTGGGCCCTAAACAACCCCGAGTCAAAAGCAGACTGGGGCTACCGCGCCATGCACGGCTCCGTCGTTCTCGGCAAACAACTCACAAGCGCCTATTACAGCAGAAAACTATGCTACTCCTACTACGCAGGCTGCTCAACAGGCGGCAAACAAGGCATGAAGGAAGTGCAAAAGTATCCCTCAGATTTCGACGGCGTCCTAATCGGCGCTCCAGCCTGGTGGTCAACCCATCAACAGCTTTGGCAGCTCACAGTCGGCATCATTAACCTCCCCGAAGGCTCCCCTTCCTACATCCCATACTCCATGTTCCCACTCATCAGCAACGAAGTCCTCCGGCAATGTGACGCCTCGGACGGCGTGCTCGATACCATCATCATGGACCCCAAGAAGTGCAACTTCCGCCCCCAAGCCCTCCTCTGCCACCCTGGCCAAAACACTAGCACTTGTCTGTCACCGGAACAAATCAAAACATGGGAGGCGCTTCATCGCCCAATAGCAGATATTAATAATACATTCGTATACCCGAACTTTGAGCTCGGCTCCGATGCGCAAATCCCAGGTTCTTTCGGCGTGTATGGGACGAACGCCCCGTCTCTCTACGGCACATCATATGTCCAGAACTACATCCTCGATGATGCTTCCTGGGACTGGAAAACGTACAACTACTCCGTCGTTGAGATCGCCGATTCCCTAAACCCTGGTTCCACCAACGCAGCGGACTTCGACATCTCTCCCTTTTACGAGAGAGGAGGGAAACTTCTGCATTACCACGGCTTGGCAGATGGATTGATACCTACTGGCGCGAGCGAGTTGCTGTATAATAACTATCTGTATAACATGAGCGCCAAAGGTATCAATCTAGATGACTTTTATCGTTTCTTTCTGGTGCCGGGAATGCAGCATTGTTCTGGTTCTGTTGGGAACGCGCCTTGGTACATGGGCGGCGTGCAGACGATTCGGGGGGTGTATGGGGTCCCGGGGTTTAGGTAAGGTTTTCCCAGATTAAATCGTTGCTTCCTTCGATGTGGGATGAGGGTCAGCAGTGCTCTCAACTCCCTCAAGTTCTCATAGTGCTAATTCTCTGGGCCTAGGGATCGCGAACACGATGCTCTTTTGGCACTCATGGCTTGGGTTGAGAAGGACGTTGCGCCGGAGCATATCATCCCAACCAAGTGGAACAATGACACGGATCCAAGTCAGGGGGTGTTGAGACAACGCCCGATCTGCAAGTTTCCTGCTGAGGCGACGTATGTTGGGCACGGGAATGTCAACGCGAGCAGTAGCTGGAAGTGCGTTGCCCAAGTTTGAGCGTGAGAGGGGAGTGGTCCAATGGCCTCTAGCAAAGGTTGTTGCAAGAGGAAGACTTCACAGTTTTATCATTCCTACAAGATAGGAAACGATTAGTATAGATAAAAGAACACATAAACAAATCATCTCTTCTTCATTTCATACACAGTTGTTCGCATTTAGGTCCAGTTTTGATCTCGAGTTTCGACGTGTTGATCATACATACATATAACAAAGATTAGTGAGGAGTCACTGAGTCCGCTTCTCACAGTGATTTTGGCGAATGTGAATGTGAATGAGTTGTCCAATGACGCGGCGGTGCAATAGTAGACGTCTTTTTGAATTGTTCGATGTCCTTTTCCGACTGGTGCTCGAGTCACTTATCGCCCATGAAAGGGTGCAAAATGGTGAAGCTAACGACTCAGGTCCTCTCTTCTTGAATGCTTCCCGTGAGCAATTGCAACGAGTGTTGGAGACATCTTTCCACGTAATAATATTTGCGAGTATATACATCGAAATAAGTGGAGATCCTGTCTAGAAAGCCACTCGGTCCGCAATTCCTGCTCAGATCATTTATTCCTTCAATAGGGGCCCATGAACATAATCTGTGGACATGACTTTTTTTTCTACAATGGCCCTTTGCGATGTTCAGGGGTCACGGTGAAAAGTTTCGAAGTCTCCGAGGGGAGGTGATTGCTAGATTTGCTGGTGCGGGGTTTGCCACTTGATTGCTGGTACTTATTCATCACTTGGCCATTTGTCATAATTTGCCTTCACGTCACACTCCCTAAGAGATCCTGAGGGAGACTAGTATGTCATTCTCCAAAAAAATCTTGGACATTAAATACCCAGCTAGAAGATCCTACTCCTCAATAATTACCACAACTTCTCCACCAGATCGTCTCGCCTCCCTCCTCCGCCTCCAAAACCCAGGCAACGAAAGCTGAGGACATCTCCTCGGACTCTTCCCCTCCCGCTCCCGCTTCCTCTCTCTCCTTTCCCTCCTCGTAGCATGATGTTTCTTCCGACTCACAATCGCCAAATGGAGATGCACCGCCCACCCCGCCATGCTAAACACCGTGCCCAGCCACATAAACACAAACATCCTGACTCCCAAACTCGCGCTGATATTCAACTCTTTCTGCGAAGTAATGACTTTCTGGAATATGACGTACATGACACATGCTGTGGTTGATGCAATGAAGTTAAGGAGTCCAGAGATGAATGCGAAGGTTACGAAATGGTAGCTGTACCAACGGGACAGAAGGACGAGAGGTGAGAGGAAGATCAGGAGGAAGGATGTGATGATGCTTAAGAGGAAGGAGCTGAACATTAGGTTTGAGACGATGCGAATTAGTGTTAGAATGGTGGTTATTTTTGAAGGAAGGGCGATTGTGGCTCCGTAGAGGAGTCTGTGGTGGTGATCAGCCGTAAGCCATCTTCCTGAAGGGGAGAACAGCCAAGGGTACAGTTTCCACTTACTCGCCAAGTATGATTGCCACGGGGTTGAACCACCAGAGATTCTTGGGTTTGGAACAATCAGTAATGCCCCTGTTGTTGCGAAGTGATTAGATTAGGTGATGTAGGTGGAGGGGAGGGGAACGAACTCATCGTTATACCCCTCGCAGAAGTTCCACAGCCCAACTTGATAAAAGTCGTGGATTCCAATACTTCGAGCGATGGAATTCACGAGTATTGCGTCCTCAGGGGAGGTAGAGGGAAGGATATTCGAGACGTCGATTTTCAAGAAATAGCTTTCCCGTAGGACAGGCCTGTTGTGCGTGTTACCGATTTCTACCTATTCGCATATTAGCATACGATATTAAGAGGTAGAAGAGAGCTTACGAGGAGCATGAAGATGCATGAAAGCACGTATAAAAAGCTCGAGATCTTGATGAGACGCCATTGCTTCCGCTCGAAAAAGAGAATGAGCCTAAGGAGGTCGACCTCTACATTCGCGACTGCCGCAGCGCCATCGTCCTGAACAACTTTCTCCCTCTCATCTGTCGCATTGAGGACCTGCTCCCCACCTCCATCCTGCGCTTTCGCTTTCTTCCGAGACCGCAGGAACTCGAAATCCGTAATCGCCATGTCGGACGTCGTCGAGAGATCGGGCGAAAACAGCTCCAACGATCAACAGATGCGGCCCCATGTTTATGTATGCTCCGAAACCTTGTCCCGCCAGAGTCCCGGGAGCCTGCCACGCAGCAACTGCTTCTGTCGGTGGCTTGTCAGATGTGTGCTGGACCCTGGTGACCTGCAGTTCAGTGGGTGGGATTGGGAGGTTGCCCCACCAAGTGCAGGCTGCAGGTCATCTCCACACATCACAATGGCGCCCAAGGTCAGCTTCGGCCGCCAGGGCTCTCTTTTCCAGGCCTGTGATTTGCTTGAGTTGTGAGCAAAGCCTTCCGCGTGCGCCAGTGATCAGCGAGTCTCCAGGGAGCTCTCAGAATGTCTCGGAAGGCGGACTGAAAACTCTCACCATCTGGTGGACCAGTCAGGCTGGTGCTGCATCATCAAGCCACAGGGCAACCTTGGGATTCGATTTTCCTTTCATCGCGCCTTGTCTTTCTTCAAATATCTTCATCTGTTGTTGTTTTCCTCTTACTGCGTCGTCTGAATATTCCTTAATGTCTAAAGTTTGATAGAAGACTCCAGCGATGATGTTGCCCGCACGGCTATTATGCTTTGTTTACATCTTCATCACCAGCACGAGCGCACAGTCGAGCGACAGCCTGCTTCTCCTCTCAGGATCTTCACTTACGGGGCCGATCACGGGATCATCTGAAGCTATATCTCCCACAGGAAGCTATGCATCGTATTCTTCCACGATAACGGCGTCTACGACGAGCATATCGGATGGAGTTCCTGTTGTAGGGACCGGGACCGTGAACGTGACCTCCTACATCTCACTCTCCTCCCAAATCATCCTCCAAGGCTCTTCAACGACGAATGTCACCAATGCCACTCAAACAATCATCTCACCTCAACCTACGAACAAAACACCATGCAACAACTATCCCGAGTTCTGCTCCAGGCAATATAGCAACATAACCGAAGTCTCCGCCCACAACTCCCCCTTCGTCATCCCCAACAATGTAGCCTCTAACCAACACTGGCCCGTCACTACGCAACTGAATGATGGAATTCGGCTCTTGCAAGCCCAAATGCACTTCGTGAATGGAACCCCCCACTTCTGCCACACGTCGTGCTCTCTCCTAGACGCCGGACCCATCACCACCTGGCTGACACAAGTCTACGAATGGGTTGCCACGCACCCGTACGATGTCGTAACATTAATCCTCGAAAACGGCGACTATGCACCCGTAACCAGCTACGTGCCCTTTATCGAGTCCACAGGACTCACAAAATACACCTACATCCCTCCCAAGATCCCGATGTCCCTCGAGGACTGGCCAACTCTGGAGACAATGATCCTGACCGGCAAACGAGTAGTCCTATTCATGGACTACAACGCAAACCAAGTCGCCGTGCCCTGGATCCTCGATGAATTCAGTCAGCTCTGGGAAACGCCCTTCGACCAAACGGACCGCACATTCCCCTGCACTCCCCAACGGCCACCAAACCTCTCCCCAGAACAAGCGAAAAGCCGGATGTACATGACGAACCACAACCTCAACTACGAGATCGACCTCCTCGGAAACGCTATTCTCGTACCGTATATTCCGTATTTGAAGTTTACGAATAATATCACTGGGCCCGGGAGTTTAGGGGGGAATGTCGAGAATTGTACGAAGGAGTGGGGCTTCCCGCCGAAGTTTCTGGATGTGGATTTTTATGATGTGGGGAATGGGAGTGTGTTTGAGGTGGCGGCGAGGGCGAATGGGGTGGTTTATAATAGGACTTGTTGTGGTGCTGTGAAGAGCTGGGGCGAGAGGGAAAGGATACCAGGAAGTTTTATTTGGCAGGTTGGAGCAGCCGCGCTTGTTGCTTTGCTGATGATGCTATGAAAGGTTTGGGCGAGTTTGGAGTTATACGGAAGGTCAAGCGTTTCGAAAGGAGTTCTGGAAGTGGAACAGGATGTCAAGAGAGAGCTGATCGAATCTTTTGAATATGTACCACATGTCTAATGCTATCTACCCCTCAGCCAACATGGCAGCAACAACCCCGCCCCACCCCCCAGGATTGTTGTTCATCGTAACCAACAACCCATTATCCCCCGTCACCATATTCAAATTACTCTTCGTATTAACCCCATACATATAAATGGCACTGCTGCCCTGGATATCGATGGCATTCGTCTGACACGCCGCATTGTTATTACAATTACTCAAATCATTACCATTAAAGAACGTCCAGAATCCAGTAGCATAGAGGAAAAGATTCGTCGACGAGGTGATATACTCAAACCAAGCCATCCTGCATTGCGAATCTCCGCCTCCACAGTTCGAGTAATCAGGATCTCCGTAGGGCGTGACGAGTGCCGGTGCCCACGGAGCAGGATCGAGAACGTCTTCTGCAAAGCCAGGTCCTTGCCAGTACGGCGTCTCAGATTGCTGCATACCAGCATAAATATCTTTTGCGTTGTGGAAATTGTACTGGTATAGGGTGTTGTGTTCGAAAGCCGTGCCGACTAACCAGGTTCCTCGTCCACCGTTGGAGGCAGATGAAGATTCGATGAGGGCACCGCGGCCAACGGCGATGTTTTGGCCGTTTCCGCCGTCGAGGTCGTGGTCTGCGGTCCAACCCCACATGTCTTCAATATAAGCCGAGGAAGTGGCTGTGAGATGTAGAAGACCAAACGCTGCTTTGCAATCAGCTGGGGAACCAGCGCAGTTCGTCTGAACCTTTGATCCAGCTGCTCCGCCGACGCGGAAGTGGGAGTTCCATAAGCCTACATCTCCGGGGTTGGAGGCTGCGATGTTGATCTCAAGCTATGGGGTGTACCGTTAGCAAACTGTGGATGTAGAGGTTTCAAGGATGCGGACTTACAAGTTGACAACCTTGCAGGACATCAGCTACCGTGAAGAGCATATCTGAGATCTGAGCAACGCCGACATCACCAGCATTGCCTACCTGGACCATGGGCACAGGACTTGTTGGGTTCCAAAAGTTGCTTCCCACGGCTGAGATAGCTGACCATGCTTCGCCTACGATCCGAGAGCCGGCGGGAACGAAGATCGTGTTGGTGACCAGATACGTTCCTTGTGGGAAGAAAATGATTTTGCAGTTTGCGTAAGTGGAGAGGATTGAGTTGATATTGGCAGTGTCGTCTGTGACTCCATCGCCGAAGACTGGAAGGCCAGAGACGGACTTGATGTTGATGAATTGATCGAGGGCGTACTCTTGGTAAGTTGGGGGGGCCATGGTGAAGTAGTTGCCGTTTTGAAGCAAGTTTGAGGAGCGGGGGGTCGTGAAAGTTGCTCCTCCTACATAGCTTCCCAATGGAGAGCCACCTGGTGTGTACTGCAGACGTCAGTTGAAAACTTCAAATCGCACTGGTATCACTCACCGTATTTCCCATGACCCATGTATCTGCAACGTTCCCAGCTAAGATAGCGTTTCCACTGGCCATGACAGTTTGCGCAGAACCCCCACCATTATTCTGAACATTCTCCAGAATCAATGATGAAGCTCCATTTCCGGTGTTGACTGTAGCAACAAAGGTGCCAACATCTTGAGCCGAAGAGTCCAAGACAACAAGCGAGCCCACAGAGTTCGAGGTCATGTCTATCGCAACACTGTGATCCTGGAATGTACAGTCCTGAATAATGCAATCAAAGCAATGGGACAACTTAATCCCCGTGGTGGAAAACTTGAATGCAACCCCCTTGACCATGTATTGCTGGTTGGACATATCAATACCAACAACACCGCCATTGATCTGCAAGTCACCAAGATAAGTTCCACTTCCTCCTTCAGGCATTGAAATTCCTGTATGCCCACTAGAAAAGCTCGGCATGTTGAAGACACAATTGGTGAGTTGGGTAGCTTGGCTGACGCTCCAGTCAATGATCGTAAACTGCGTATCCTTATTGATGTTATTCGAATCAAAGACAAGATTTTTGACTCCGATGTAGAAATTCGTTGTTGCATCTTGGTGTGGGTCCTTGCCGTAAATTAGGACATTTCCATTGAATCCTGATGCAGCTTTGAGGGTGGGAGGGCTCAATGGGTCCCCCATCAGCACGGTGCCAACGTATAACTGGAGTGGTTTCGAGAGAATATAGACGCCACGTGGGAGATATATCACAGCTGGCTGACCTGTCGTCCCCAGCTGGTTTTGGTCTCGAGTGATTCCATTGATTCCAGCTATGTTGATCAGCTTCCACGTTGATCAAATTATGGAAGCTCTTACCGTTGATAGCATTTTGGATGGCATCCGTATCATCTGTTGATCCATCACCTGCAGCACCATAGTTGGTCTTCACGTTTCGAAAAACTGGCCATGATGCGCCGTCGTTGATGAAAGGAGAAATCCCATTATGCGTGATCTGCTCGTACCAGAAAGTACCAGGATTGGTAACTACTGGCCCACCGCAGCTTCTTGCTGCCAACAGTGCATCTGTACGTGGTGTTGGAGCAGTTTTCACGTGCTTAATTGCTCCGTTCCAAGGCTGGACACTCTCATTTATGGAGATCAATGGTATTCCTCTGCATTGCTGTTAGCCGGAGCACGTAAGATTTTCAAGAAAGACTCACTTCATATTAGGAACAAAGTCTGCAAAATTCGTGTTGACTGGTATAGGTGGGTAGTATGAGTTGTTTGCCAATGCCGTGGTATTGAGAATGCTTCTCCGTTGTTCAACAGCTGGTAGACTTCTGGCAGAAACGATCTCGGCAAGAGCCAAGAAAAGGAGAGGGAATAAATGCATCGTGCTTAGAAGTTGAATTGACGGAACTCTGACAGTTGCGTCCCCCTCTTAAGTACGACCGTGAAAAAGGAGAAGAAGAAGAAGAAGTGATGATAAAAGCTTGGGAAGGAGCGGTATCCCTGCTAACAGCCTCACACTCTGGCTCAGGAAAGACAGCTCATCTTTCATCAAATCTGACAAATCATGGTGCATTTGCAAAGCTGGCAAGGCAAAAACAACCAGACAAAATTCGAGTAAGGATCTACAGCTCGAGAATCGTGTAACAGAAAGAAGCTCTGTATTCCGCAGACACATTAAGGCGGCCGCTGCAGCGTGGTGCAAGCCAGATTTGGCCCTGCTCCCGACAGCATGCCACTACATTTTACTGTAGAGAAACGCCGAGGAAGGCATTCCGAGCCGGCGGCGTTAAGCGAGCAAACGGAACGGCCCCCATGTTGGTCTGCGCGACATCCGAAAATCGATCTCACTCGCCCGATGGGATCTGGTCCCAAATTGACATCTGAGGTGAGATTTGGCTCATGCGTCCCAAAGAAAATCTCAACGTCTTTACTGAGATTAACCGCAAGCTTCAGCCCCAGACTTAGTCACGGATCAATGGAATTGCACCAGTAAACCTCAGGGGACTTGAAATACGAGCGCGGCTCGGCATGTGGCTTCAGGGGTACAAAATTAAGGCTGACCCAGAGGATCGTGCCGACAGGGGATTTCCCGCTTTTCCTTCGAAGATTGGATGAACCTTAATTTATCTCACAGCCCCAGAATTGGAGTTATTCTGCGGAGGATTGTCCTGAAGAAGACAACAAACTTCAGGACTGGTCAAACCTCCGTAAGTCCTCCGGTGTTACTCGGTATTTCCCCTTAAGTTAAAGAAAATGCAACGTTCCTAATGGAAGGGGTTGAAACGCCTGCTTAACACCTGCTCAATATAGCTTAACCGATTTACCCCTATCATAGAATTGCTTCTCTAATTCATTAACGGAACTTTGCTGGAGTGATTCCACACGCATGTCCGGGTGATGTGAGGTACTGAGGAGCCGGTTTCCCGTTTCTGCACTCTCAGTAGTCGAAACTCAGTATTTCAAATTAGCTCCTGAGGATGACTTCAGCCCAAAATCTATGGCACGTTGCGCCAGAACAGGTCTTTCACTCCTTTCTTTGGCAGTTCGATCCGCTTTAGACGCTTATTACCCTCCAATCCTTCGGCCCCTCCGATTTATTTGGGAGACGGGTGAGATGCAAATGCAGTGTTGAATCTCATCTCGATTGTAACGTAACGGTAATGGCCAGAAATGACCAGAACAACCTCAGCTCCGAGATACAGCCCCCAAATCAATCTCTGCAGGCTTGAAGTGTCGTATATAAAAACCAGAACGTTTTCCATGTAGATGTATTCTCCATCAAGCTTCAGTCTCTTCCAACACCTTCTTCTTTTAGTCACAAGAACTTTCAAGTGAAATTTCTACCAGATAATCTTTAATCAATATGCGTTCCTCAGTTGTAAGACCCTCTTTCGTCAATACTCGAGCAGTTCTAACAGTCTCTAGGTTCTCGCCTTGTCATGCTTGGCAACTTTTGCCATTGCAGAGCCACTCCCTTACCCACCACAGGCAACCTCCAAGCCTACAATCCCAGCTAATTTTCACCCAACTTTCGGAAACAAGAAAGGGAACTTCCAGCCCACTTCCACCAAAGTGAGCAAACGACGCATCTCAGAGCGAGACACAGGCGGCTGGGTGGAGAATGGAAATGTTGCTGTCTGGAACATCAATGATGAGGATGGTGTGGGTGCTGGAAACGATCAATATACCATGTACTGGGGTGACGGAAGTGTTGATCAAGGCTGGCCAGCACGCGATCAATGGGTCTCCTTCACTGAGATGTAAGTCCTCTCCCCATCACTCTTAAAATCCCAAGTCTCACGTATCCAGGTTCAATGCCAACAAAGCAATTATGTTCTCGTCCTGCTCTACCTGGGGTGTCGACAATGACTCCGGTCCCGAGGTCGGCGCCATCTGGAACGCAATCGAAGCCGTGGCCGCTCAGACTGGAGTTGACCACCGCTTCATCCTCGCAACAATCATCCAGGAATCTGGCGGCTGCGTTCGAGTCCCGACTACCAACTACGGCGTCCGCAACCCAGGTTTGATGCAAGACCACAACGGCTCCGGAACCTGCAATTCTGACATCACCGGCGAAGTCGACAACCCGTGCCCCGACTCCACCATCACTCAAATGGTTACTGATGGAACGGGCGGAACACCTGACGGAGATGGATTGGCGCAATGCATTAATCAGAGCGGTTGGGGAACAGAGGCGGATTTTTACAGAGCGGCCAGGCTGTATAATAGCGGAAGCATTGATGGGTCAGGGAACTTGCAGGATGGGATCGCGACGCATTGTTATTCCAGTGATATTGCAAATCGGCTGACAGGGTGGGTTAGCGCTGAGCACGGCTGTTATCTTGATGGATGATAGCCATGTTCCTGTGGACATTAATGCGGGATCTGTGGAGAAGTGTTGTGGTACTGTTATGGTCGGTTAAGCGAGAAAAATGGTGGGTCTCAAATAGGGGCTCAGGGGGTTCAACACGACCCCGCACTCCAGGCAGTCGAGCCTTCGCTTTTCCTTGTAAAACTCATTGGATCGATATTTTGCATATAATATGGCGCTTTTCTGGAAGTAATAGGGCTGATGAATATGAAAACATTGAATTGATCTGCATACCGCTGTGATACTGCGGGATTTCATTGCAGCTGAAATATTATCTAGGAATAAGATTACATTAGAATAAGTAAGGCTACATCGGTCCAGAGTTTTGTTGATAAGATCGTAATAACTGAAAATGTGTTGGAAATCTGGCAGGCTCAATTCGGGATACAAATTTAGAGAGGATTGGAATTTTGTTTATCTGCTGGAACAGACATCTGCAGTATTGGAGAGCTCGATCATGGCTGTCATACCTTGGTGCTACTGTGTAATTTTTCTTGGCATAAACTTTTGAGTTGCCAATTTGCGGGTTCAATGTCGTCAATTCAATTAGGTCGCCTTTGGCTCGTCGGTCGCTTCGGCTGCAATGTAAGGCGTAGTAGTAGGTGTGACACCTCTCAACTTGGCACCAGCTTGGTCTCGACTCAAAAATAGTTGGCTAGGCTGTGCTTGTATGTTCTCTTTAAGGGTTCCACCGAGAACTGCGTAGTCGGTCCAGTAGATGCCTCGCTTTTGGAGCTGGGGAACGAGGAGCCCCACGCTGTCTGTGATGCTCTTGGGTTGCACATGTCTGTTTTTTTCGTTTTTATGTCAGAACGAGGTTTGGAGAACTAAAGGATTATTGGGGCGAGAAGGGCCGGGGTTGGAGAGCACTCACATTGCGGATTAAAGCCGACGATGTCTGCTTCCACAAACCACTTTTCCATCATATCAGCGACCTGCTCCGGAGTACCGACAGGTATAGGGCCAAAACCGCCAAACCCGACGTTCTCACCAAAAATACGCGGGGTCCAAGGCTTACCCTTCTCCACCATCTTGAAGTTGTTGAATTTTCCCTGAATCCCTGCACCGGCTAAGTCTTCGTTACCAAAATTGAACGGCTCATTCAAGGCGGGCTTCAAGAGGTCCACTCTAGTGAGAGCACAGTACGAGGACAACCCGCCAATGAGCTCGTGTTTGCTAGGTACCTGGCCTTCTCGCTTTGGTTTCCTCCTCAGTTCGTCCGAGGATTGGACAGATGCCAGAAAACAATTTGACAGAAGATGGATATCCACCTGCTGCGACAGCACCTCCTCGAATGCCCTGCTGTATTTCGCTAGTCCTTCGGTGGTCTTCACACAGCAGACCGGCGCTCTCTTCATCACTTTCGTTTCGCCATACATGCAGAATGCAGGTTACTGAAATATGGGACCATATATTGGGTTCTTCCTTGGAGCGTTCTCATTCGTTGGGATTGTCTTTGTATGGTTCTGCTATCCTGAAGCCAAGGGAGCGAGTATTGAGGACTTGGATGCGTTCGTGCAGAAGATCCCAACCAGGTAGTGTGGAAGGTAATCAGAGGATAATATGGTATTCAAAAATTTGATATCGAAGGGTAAGGTAAGGTATTGAGATGGCGGAGGAGAAGAAAGCAGAGGCCACTGTGACGACTCAAAATATTTGACTAAACTCAGTGTGCCAGGAATTGTGTCGGGGTGGTTCAGAATTACAGATGGAAAGCCAAGGGTATTAAAAGAAACATTGATAGAATATTTAGAAGAGTTTGGAGTTATCATATCTCCGGGCTTGTATTATTTATTGAGTATTATTTCTCTTAGGACCGCTCCGGAGTGTCAGAAAATTTCCTGTGCTGCTAAATTCATCTGGAACACTTCAAAAGCTTCAGACTCCAATCAGGTTTACAACTAAGGATAATGACTGGAACGAGTTTTGAGGTGCTGATTTCCAATGGGACTTCTTTACGGTAGAATTAATTTTGAAGAAGGTTTCAAACTTTTCAAGCGTTCCTAGTGATACCGTGCAACACGCGAGGCCCGCCTCCCTCCAGAATTGAAGACGAGCTCACCATTAATCCAAAGCAAACTGTACACAACTTAATGGCATGAGATGAGAAATTGAGCAAGTAGATAATTTAGTCAAATTATACTTTTGCAAAACGCCGTAAAGGTCCATTACAGTTGTCTCTCAGACAGTTAAATCAGTGCTTAACGGAAAAGCATGCTATTTTGCCTCCAACTTCTTCCATCTTCTGATCCCAGTACCAAATACTCCCGATTCACGCAGACCTCTTCATATTGAACGTAAGATTTTGCGTAGTAGATTCACCATAATGCTCAGGAATGGTCGGGAATTTCTCAAACTCCGGTGTCCTCTCAAGCCACGCAGCATAAGACTGGTGATGCTTCTTGCTGTTTCACCAAACATCAACCACTTGTGCTGTCCCTCAGGCACTATGCCAACGATCCAAGAGAATACACAGGGATGCGGTTTTGTCTCTGCCTCAATGGGATCTTTGAGGTTGCTGATTTTTTGGTAGTAGTCCTTCGGTTTGTCGCCACCCTTCAGGAATGCCCTCGTGACCGTCATAACTGGTGCCTTGATCGGACTTTCCACGTGGCAGGTCAAGGGCCAAGGCTTTGTTGACGACGATGGGCAAACTCCTCATTTCGACTTGAGGATGTTATCCGATCCGATGATGGACTGCGCTCTTGGGTATGCTCATGGAGACTTCATTGACTCTGCCTTCGTGGGCAATCTACAACAGCTCACAGATTGGGACCTTGCCAATGGGTCATGATTGTACACTTTGGCCAGTGTCCCCACTTGGTCATTTTGACCAGAGAAAAGTTGGGTGATTTCGCCACAAAACAACAATGCGAATCCCAGGATGGAAAGAACAGCTGATAGTTGTGGGCACATCAACCCGGGCTTTACGCGTTCTTCCCAAACAACAGAATTTACGCCTTCCTCTTCAGCAACCCACGGAAGAAATCGAAGCTGTTACTGTCACTCTGCAACTCCCAAATTTTGCCCGTTGGTCGGTCTTCCCACCCCAACTCTTCAGCTTTGAGAAGTCCCCAATTGGTCGTGATCCCCTTGATCCTCGCTCGCACTCCTCCTTCGGCCTCCAGGGTCACGATTTGATCTGTATGGAGCCAGTTTTTATAGTAGGTTTCTTCCAACTTGTGATCAAAGCCAGTCCGTAGGAAGCGCTTGTAGATAGTTTCAAATTTGGTGAGGATTCGGGCGAGAAGCTTTTCTAAAGTAAAGGGTGCGAGAGAAGAGAAGGCCGGAGTTGACAGTAGTGCGTTCAAAGAGGTAGTTGGAGCAGCGTTGGTGGTATTCAGGCCGATGCCCACGACGAGGTCGTAGGAACCAGCGGAGTATGAGGAGTTTACGAGGATCCCGCCAATTTTGATGTATTCCTTCTTTCCAAGCTTGGTTGGGTCTTGTGCGTCTATTTACGTCAGCCGCGTTGTTTGAAGTCCTCTCACTTCTCACTCACATATATCATTCGGCCATTTGAGCTTCACTGGGAAGTCCTTGTAGCCGCGATCGTAGGACTGGATGCCTTCAACGATCGCAATAGCAGCGAGATATTGAATGAACACAACGGGGGCGCTATTACTGAGCTCCATTGGATGCTTCATGCAGACGGACATGACCAGAGATCCAGCAGGCGAGACCCAGACATTCGATCCTCGACCTCGACCAGCTACTTGAGTTGTTGCTGTGAATGTGAAGCCCGTGGGGACGTTTGAAAGTAATTTGATATTCCTGGCCATGATCAATATAGGCTCAGAAGAACAGACGAAAGACCAACTTTTCTAACATCGTGTTCGTACTGGTCACAACCTCCCCATACATTAGGTACTTTCCAAACTCTTCTGCTTCGCCATCTCTCTCTTCTTGGTATTTTCGGAGGTTGGCGTAGAATGAGTGGTGATTGAAGTAAGGGGTTTCTTTCGTTCCTGGCCATTCTGTTTCGTGTGGGATCAGACGCTTGGTGATGGCGTTATAGTCGACTATTCTGTCATTCGACCCAACATCATTCGTTTGATCAGCTGCATGTTCATTGCTTCCTTTCAAGATGCCAGGTGTTGGTAGAGTTTTGATAAGAGAGTTCAGCGACCACCTCGAATCTTGTTTCTCGAGGTGGAAGGTATCATTTTCTCCTTTAATGTACTCTTCGCCATCCTCCTTGGTGATAATGTGCTCCCACGCTACCAGCAGTTCTGGGACTAGGAAGTGATGCAGTGACGAAAGATGTAGGCGAGATAGGGAAGGTACCGTAGTTGTCTCCTGGCTGATAATCAGCCCCAACTTGGCCAAGCATGCCTTGAGAAAATTGACACGTGACGAGTCAGCTTCTGCCAAAGCTTTAACAAGCTGTGGATAATCTGGACTGTCCGACTTTGGGTCGAGGTTTACAGCAGCGAACCTGGCTCAGTGTCAGCCAAGGACCAAGCAGAGTTTTAGGAACTTACTCCGTATGAGGCCCCGTAAGCAGTGCCCCGCCCTCTCCAACTTTGCAATATACAACAGCTGCCGCTCCATCTCCTCCATCAACATCCAATGGATCCACGTAGCTTGCAAGAATCTCGACACCTTTATCAGCGTATTTCCGGGCATCCACAAAGACGCCTCCACCGTTATAGTAGGATCTGAACGTCTGTGGCACAATGCCGCCCTTGAACGCTTCCTCGTCAACATAGAGTTGCACTGCTTTGGCACCAGCTTCGCTGTGGTATACAAAGCCCTTGAAAGCGCAGCCACGACATGTTCCAGGAAAGAAAGACAATTCTCGAGGTCCAATGACTTCTAAAACTCTGTTCCCGACTTCGAACTCGCACCGGGCAGTCCCGTAGTACCCTCCAGCGCAAAATCCGAGGTAAGCACCACCTCGACGTACATACTGATCGATACGTCGATTACCTTCCCCATTCAAAGACCGACAATACCCCATATCAGCCCCTCCAGGAAACACCAGGAGAGCGCAGGATGCCGTCCATGGTTCCTTCAGAATGACGATATCAGTCACGGGGATGACGGCATAATTTGGTGAGAGCAGACGCCGGAGAGTGTATAGACAATGCCGTACAGACTCAATTGTGCTTCCATTGCCTATATACAAGGTTTGAGGTGTGTATCGAGGAATCAATGGGACACATACCAGAATAGACTAGGACATTCACTTTTCGGGATGCCATGACGGCTAACCTAGGTCCGCCCAACCGAGCGAGACTCGACCCAAATTCAAATTGTTCCACCTTTTCTTCAATCGACAAATCTTGACACGATGTCGAAATCGGAGAGCGACTTAAAGAAAGCAGTTGCGGTAGCGGACGACGATGAGCCTGATGAATGGTGAGGGTGTTGATCCCAACGAGGCGTCCCAACACACTGAAATCTCTTTCCAGGGACAAGCGGATCTTCAGCACTGGCTGTGCCGGTAAATCAAGATGCGGAGAGCTTTGGATCTTTGGAATTCTGACGAAGATGAAGCCGAGAATACAAAGATGAACGACTGTTACTATGAGAAGAAAGACTGGAGGCTATGCAAAAACGAGGTGAGCTTTCCAACTTCCCGGATTTAGCGATTTTCCCTCCATATCACGTGTCCTACCCACGAGGGGAACCGTCGTACTGATTTCATGTCTGATATATAGCTCGAGGTATTTCGAAAGTGTTGGAAGCGGCAACAAAATGATAAAAGGACCGAGATGAAGGATGCTTGATGGAGTGGCGTGGATAGCTTGTGTAGCAATCGACAGGATCACTGCGGGCGCTGAGGAATGTAACATTAAATGTAGTAGTAGACAATATCTTACTCAGCAACAGTCAAATATATTCCTCCTATGTTTACTATATTTTTCCCGTGGTGATGTTGACCCTGAAATGGCAGGCCAGAAGGTCAGCCGGAAGCGTGATCTCGGAAAGCTTTCACGTTCACGAACTTCGCGTCCGCCAACCCAACTACATCAACCATGGCAACGTCAATTCCCAGAGCTGCGCGCTCTGTACTATCAAGGGCTTCCTCAGTAAATTCATTTAAAGTATTCCGATCTGATGTTTCAGCGGCAACAGCTTCGCGGCTGTTATCGCCAGTCTCAAGATCTTTCTCGACCTGCCACCGATTCGCTGCAACGGCAGCGCCAACCTACGCACGCAAGAATGTCGATCCAGCAAAAGTAGCACCTCCTCCATCGAAGCAAGACTCCATAGACGACCAATCGCCCATCAAAGACATGACCAACGGCCTGGCGGACGAACCATTGATTCTCGACGAAGGAAGCAGACAAGTCGACTGGACGCGCTCCTACCACGGTTTATCCTCGCAGGCATTCTCCAAGGAAGCCGCAGACACATTATTAGCGCCTATACCTTTTGATGATGTGGAGGTCAAGCCGGATGGGATCATATATCTGCCAGAGATCAAGTACAGGAGGATACTGAACAAAGCTTTTGGGCCTGGTGGTTGGGGACTTGCGCCGAGAGGGGAGACTATCGTTACGGGCAAAAGTGTTACGAGAGAGTATGCACTTGTTGCCAATGGACGGTACGTATTTCCATTCCATCTGCTGCGCCAGAAGCTGATCTCATTCTGTCTGCAGGTTGGTATCCGTTGCACGAGGAGAACAAGACTATTTCTCGCCCGAAGGCATACCAACTGCGACCGAGGGCTGTAAGTCGAATGCTTTGATGCGCTGCTGTAAAGATCTTGGTGTTGCTAGCGAGCTATGGGATCCTCGATACATTCGAAAGTTCATGAAGGACAAGGCGAAACAGGTCTGGGTAGAGCATGTGGTGACTAAGAAGAAGAAGCAGATATGGCTCAGGAAAGATGACGAAGTCAGATACCCTTTCAAGGAGTCGAAATATGGGTCATAGAAGGTTGGATCGTTCACTCCATATGCGCTCGAGCATACGGAAGCCCTCGAACGAGTAGAGTTGTAGAATAGAACGAGCGAGGGATGCATATACTGTACAAGAGGTCAATCGACACACAATCACGACTCCACGCAAATTCCAGCCGGATCAGGACTTTCCATAGACGAAGGAACCAATAAATAGGGTGGTATTAGGAGTCTGCAAATTTTCACACAGAGCTATCGCTTTCTTTGTGTTGAAGTACTTTGCGCGCACCAGAAGGACAATTGATTGACTCTGCAGCCTCCAAAGAGTGCCAGTGCGCATTTTCAGATCCTTTAGTTCAAGTCGGCGAAGTTGCCGTCCTCAAGAAGTGTCGAGGCTCTATTTCTGTTTCTTTTAACCAATCATACTTGCCAACTCGTAATATACCTTGCCCCGGTACTCAACGAGAGATGGAGGATCACCAACATGAAACCCAATACAGTTTCTGCGCCTCTGTGGCTTTTCTCTTGATCACAACATCGAAATTAAAGGTCTCTGGGGCCCTTGGAAAGCAGTCTATATTTGTCTCGATTTATGTCTGTTTCTGCGAAAGGTCCATGCCAGTCCCCTGGCTGCGGCTGCACATGCGGCTGCGGCTCCTCGCTACAGATAAACTCATGGGGCGCAGTGTGTTCCGAATCCTACTTGGAGCAGTCGATCGACAGGCTTTGCAAGGAAGGCGAATTGTGATAGGACCTGCATACGCAGGTACGGATACGCTACCGACGGACCATTAGCATCACAAAGGATTGCGGCGAGGACTTCAGCTTCACCAAAGAAAATTCTCTCATCTATGAGCTTCCATCAATGCAATTTTATGTGGAAGCAAGGACCGCATGAGTACAAGTCTTCATATATCCCCAATAGTTTGAGGTTGCAAAGTTGCAAATTCACCTCCTCCCTGTGTCTCTTGATTACTCTGGATATTTTCCTCTACCTTTCCAGCTCATCATCTCTCGCGAAACTACCATCATGGACGGGCTCCAGCAATGTACTATTCCACAACAATACAACATCCCCTGTATCGGTAGCAATGGAGCCGTTCTCAACCTAACCGAAGTTAATTCTATCAACATCACTCAGTTCAATGGCGAAATCTATCCAGCAGGATTCTGGTTGGCATCCAACATCACCTCGATCGCTGAATGTACAGTAGGGCTTTGCTCTCTCAAGTACGCCAATGTCGACTACGTGCCAAATACGGGGTCGAATTTCCTGTTTGCAGTCATATTTGCCTTTTTCCTCCTGACTCAACTCGTTTTCTGGGTTTGGCGTCGGACTCATAGCTTCTCCTTTGCTATGTCCTGTGGCCTCATTCTCGAAATTCTCGGCTATCTTGCACGTGTCATAATGAAGCACAACATGTTCAGCCAGACACCGTTCCTCATGTAAGTGCCACCTTGCTTCCATACATTCAATCTTGCAATTGCTCGAATGTATAGCTTGAACTCTGAACGTTCTCGACCTCCAATTCATCGGAAATTGTGCTGACAGAAACCAGTCAAATCATCTGTCTCACGATTGCCCCAGTTTTCTTCACGGCGGGAATCTACCTCACTCTCTCGCGAGTGATCATGCACTACGGTCCACAACACTCACGCCTCACACCAAAAACCTACACTATCACATTCATATGCTCTGACTTCATTGCTTTAGTGCTACAATCTGCAGGTGGTGGCATTGCAGACCAAGGAAGCTTGAGCGCTTCGACCAGGAACGGCGGGGTTCATCTCATGGTCGCTGGCCTGTCCTTCCAGGTGCTGTCTATCTTGATCTTCATGGCCCTGTGCGCCGAGTTCTTCTGGAGAGTCAAGAAGGACAGAACCGCTATAGGTTCAGGGTGGGCGACTCGCGATGCTGCGAGCAGACATTTCAAGCTTTTCATCTATGGTATGTTCCTCTCCCAAACCCCTGCTCCAACACCCCATACTGACAAGATATCTAGCATTCGCAATAGCCACCTTCTTTATTCTCGTCCGTTCTTTGTTCCGTGTGGCAGAGCTGGCCCACGGCTTCAGTGGCAAGCTTGCAAATGATCAAATCACATTCATGATCCTTGAAGGCGGGATGATGATCTTGGCTACGACGTTTCTTACTGCATTCCCGCCTGGACAGTTCCTCGGTAGAGATGAGTGGAAGAATTCTGGATGGGGCTATAAGAAGAACGGTAGCGCCTTGTCTTTGGAGAAGCCAAGGAGCGACACCACGCCCGAGAGTGAGCGATTGCAGACAGTCCCGCTCTAGATGGCTACGCCAGTTCACAGGAGGCATTGTGGGGCGAGTTGTACTATTACAGAGTGATGTACCCAGCCGGGAGTTGGAACTTGGTGTTGCGAGAGGTTTGGCATAGAATGCTTGCTGCTGCTTAGATATCATTCCAACCCAGAATAAATCTACTTGCTTTTTTCTCTCGTCATCGCGTCATCTCTATAACTTCTCCTCTCGCCCACAGCTCATGATTTTTGCTGCGAATATCATCACATCTTCCCTGTAGTCACATGACTTTATACCGGAATATTCGTATGTCTAGAAGTCCGACAAAATGTTTGCATTTTTATTTGAATTTTGGTGATTCGTTCAGCCATATTTCTTGCGTTGGTGCGCCTTTAAAACGTTGGCAGGTTCTGATTTGACAATGTCTCTGGGTTCTCGATGCAGTGCAGCGTGGCGGAGCCGCCACACACCAGGAGGATCGTCGATCTACGTAGGGCAAACCTTTGACCCTCATAATCCCTAAACTCTTCGCCTACGCATAGAGCACAAAATATCTTGTTTCAGTTTGTGAGTGACGAAATTCAAGCCTCTACTTCGGACGTCCGCACTGTGGCCTAGTCTCTTTCAACCACGTTGATATTAGTACGAACTGGCTCTGGACAGCACGGTCTGACAGTCGGCCTATTGCTCCAATGTCGTCAATCGATCTTGAAAGTGGTGTGATGGGCACAGAAAAAATTCCTAGCTCGGCACTTGCAGCACCGGATAGCACTCAAAATGAAAAGTCGAACACAAAGGACACGAAAGGAAAGGAGGGGTTTAACCCGCAAGATCCTGTTGATATCGACAAGCGGGCTACACCGCCAGACCCCGCAACTGATGCCAAAGCAGTCCATCATGGCTTGAAGAGAAGGCTCTCATCTGAGGGCATAGCAGTTTTAAGAATTCAGTCAACACTTCGCGATTCAAAATTGTCGCGAAAATCGATAGATTCTTTGGCTCAGCCCAACTTCACGAACCTGCCTCGCCTTGAACAGAGGAAAAAGATAATGAAGTATCTATGGCTTGGTAGCGATGAGGCCTCTGAACCGGGTGCAAAGGCTCCAAGAGGGTTGGGGACTGCCTCACTGGGTCGATTTCTGACTCTCGCGGACGAGTATCAATCCCAAAGATTATTCAAGTTCAACCGGTTTGAACGCCTCTGTCTCCTGGATCTGCTTTTCGCTCAGGATCGTCTGATACGTTTGGATGAAAAGGTTCAATACCAGCCTCCGAATGAAAGTACGGATTATCTCGAGACGCATTTGCTGCTACACAAGTGTATTCAAACATATGGTTGGACCCTCGCTCTTGCATGTACTCTAAAATCACCAACACCCAGAAAGTGAAATCAATTGAAGCCTTTCAGAAGATCTCCAGACTAAACCAACCTGGTTTTGAAGACAGCCATCTGGCTGGACAAAAATTGGCCCTCGCACTAGACGAGCCTCGATACTGGGATTCTCCAGATGCACTAAACTTCTTTGATCTAGCTAATTCGGAAGCTCTCTCGTCTGTCGATGACCTCAGAGAGGGGTTGCGAAAGCATATCCCCTTAAGCTTGCTTGATCGTGCAGGGCGAGAAAGAAGAAATATCGACGAAGCTGCTAATCTGCTTCGCAAGGACGAGGAGTCAAGAAAACTCCCTTTCGTGAAAAGGTCACTTATCTGGCTACGGCTTAACCTTTCAATTGGTTGGGGTCTCAAGAAAACGCCAGCAAGTGACAGTGCACTTGATGGCCTGGGCCCAAAAGGTAGATCTGTTATTATTTCCTGCACACGGCTGATTGAGTTTCACTAACCGTCTGACAGAAATCAAGAGGATTATCGACTCGTCTCGTCAACATTCAACATACATCTCGCCGGTAGTTGATAACACTGCTCGTCTCCTGGTAGCTGTGATTGGCGGTCTTTTTGTGCTTGTGCCAATAGCCGCCTTATCCTATATCACTTCGCTGCACTGGATATTGATAGCCGCGTTTCTGTTCACTTTCAATTTCTCTGTTGCAGTTGCTATCGTGTCCAAGGCCTCTAATGATCAAGCCATTGCCGCAACCGCAGCGTACGGTGCTATTCTCGTTATTTTCGTTGCCAATAGAATTCATTAACAAGTCCTAAGCTATTATTGAGCAGACAGACGCGGTCTCTGAATACGAGACTAATTATTTCCTTAGACATCCAGTTGATTGATTACCTTAACTTCGTAGGTATCAATGATTTACAGTCGTTCAAAGTCTCTACCTAAACAAAATTTTCATAAATTCTTGAAAGTATATGTAAAAGGAATAATTTTCGTGCTTAGTGAGAGCCCCACTCGAGCCCCTATAAAATTAGCGAGGGAAGCCGCTAGAACTAAGCGAGCCCACAATTTTTACCTCTATTTTTGGTATCTTCGAAATCACGCCCCGCCGAGAAACGTCAAATACCACCCGAAACACACACTTCCTGTACCCATCAATCCTCCCCCGTCTTAGCCCTCCCCACACTCTCCTCAGCATGTCCCTCATCTCTTCCGGGCTCCTAACCAGCTGCAGGCGGGCCGCCGAGCCCTAAACTTCTTCCTATCACTCAGATCCGGCGACGTCTTCTCCTGCGTACTCCTTACATTTCCTTGCCCTGCGAACCCGCCTTCCCCCTTATCTGCTCTCCGAGAATATCTTCCATCCTCTGCTTATGGATCGCAAGAATATCTTTATCAAGTTCCTCGTTTCCTGTTTCCGTGATCGTGTACCCTAGGACATTCCACATAGCTTTCGCTTCATTATCCTCCTTGGTTGTCATAGTAGGTGTTTCCACATCCCCAATCAACTCAGCAACTCTCGCTCTAATCCTCGCAACCCTCGACTCCATGCTCTCTTCTCCCTCCCCCTCTTGCTCCCCGGTCCGCTCCGGGAAACGATCACTCTGCCACCTCTTCACAATATCCTCCTCTTGCCCCTGCCCCTGCACCCCTGTCTCTCCCATCTCTCCCTCCATCGGAGTAAAAACCACCCACTCATCAGCCTTACTAACAATCTTCGCCGTCCTCCTCTGCGCAAACGCGAGCGCAGAGCCGGTTTTTGGAAAGAAGCGTAGACGTTGGATTGAGGTGATGATTTCTTGGATTGAGGGGATTTGGGAGAGGACTGGGTGGGAGGAGAGAGTAGCAAGGGTGGAAGATAGAGAGGGAGGCAGCGTGTAGAGGGGTGAGCCGTTGGCGTTTGGGAGGAGAGAGTGTAGGTGGATTAGGGTGTGCAGGAGGTTACGGAGCTGGGAGGGTTAGTTTTGGACAGTAGATGGGAAGGGAAGGTCTGATGAGAGCAGGTCGATGAGAACGATTAGAGCGGTGAGATAAGAAAATATTCGATTTGGGGGAATGTCAATCTCCAGACTTCTGGATTTAAGTTCCCCTTGAGTTGCACGGAATATCAAGAAATGTATAACACACATTCTGTGGTGTCCTCACAAACGGCTTCTCTTCATTGAGGGCAATTTCCCTCAGCTTCTCAGATAGCAATGCAATTTCATCCTATGCACCAGGTCAGACGGCGCCCTAATATACAATCTCATTAAGAAGCAACCTTGATAGCCTCCTCAGCCCCTGATCTACCCGCCATGCCGTCAGCTTCAACCCCGCCTGCACCATTATCATTATTCATCCCCGTACCCACAATCCTGTCTCCCTCCACCGTCACCTCTTTGTCCCTAATCTGGCGCATGAGCTCAAGGAATTGGCTGTTCTGGAACTTGATGCTCCGATCATGGCGCACACTATCCAGCAACTGTCCCGCCGTCCGCGCTAACGCATCAGGACTGTTCTGTTGTTGGTTAATCTTGGGGTCTAGCTTAGGGTCGTCAATGGTGTCCGCGCCGATGGGTTTGTCAAGCGGTCTTTTACCCGTGAGACGTTCTACCGACTCGTCGATCGCGATGTCCTGAACCACCTCAATGCCTTGGCTTTGTTCTTGACTGGTATCTTGTTGGGATGCTTCGTGCTGGCTTTCTTGCTCCTTGCTCGCCATCTCCGTCTGAGCAGCTGCCTCAAAAGCCCTAGCAAATGCCTCTTCGTCGAATGCCTCCTCAGGTTGCTTCTGCTGAGCTCTTGACATGTCCGCTTGTTGACCCGCAAATCCACCAGAATATCGAGGCACCATGCTAATCCCGGACAGAGGTGAATACCGAATTTCAGAGTTCGTCTGCCCCGACATGTTGATCATACTCTGCACCGCATTACCAATCTCACTCTGCTGCCTCGCAAAGTCCTGATGCCAACCACCAGTGTCATGTCTTTGTTGGGCGTGCTGTGGAGCGAATGGTGGTTGCATAAACTGAGGAGGAGGGCTCGAGATGTTCAGGCGTTGGAAATCGGAAACCCAAGCCGCCGATGGTCCAGGTTGTGGTTGTTGGTTGAAGCCCGATTGAGCTGGGAACTGTTGTCTTTGGAAGCCATGATTAAGCGGTAATTGTCCAGCTTGAAAGGCCTCGAACTCAGGGTCTACAAGTCCTGCATTGGGGCCAGGAGAGGAGCGAAAACCCTGACAAAGGCGTTAATGGAGAACCGATCTGTGCAAAGGGGATGCTTACCTGAGACGGTGATGGTCTCGAGACGAGCCTGTCTTGTTGTAAGGTTTTGTCGACAGTGCTGTGCTTCTGGAAGTTCTGCAGAGGGTTGGACGGTCCGCACATGCCGTCCGCCATGGTGGCCGATCTGTCTCTGCTTCGCCAGATTGTATTGTGGTTGTATCGAAAAGATCGTCTCAGAGTAGGAGTCGAAGTATTTATCGTCGCGAGCCGAGGTTATTAGCGCTCGGTGTTTTGTTATCAAAAGCTCCGACTTTTATCCAAAATGTATTGTTGAAGCAATTAATGAAAGAATGAATATATCAAGCACTGTTGCCGAGAAATCAAGCAGGAAGAAAGTGAATGAGAAGTTGCAAAGTGAAGCGTGAAATGGCGAAGCCGAGCCGGAGCGGCAATTTCCCCCGCGATCACAAGCGTCACTCAGCCTTTCTCTCCACGCCACCGGCGAAACAAAATTCCGCTCCACCCTCTAGTTCCCTGACAGCCTGGCCGCATCGATCAACAGCTCCAAATCTCCAAATTCCGTCTCGGATCAAGCTGTCCTCAAAATCCTGACCACAACACCAAGAACTCTGTGTCAACATGGCACAAGTTATCTCCAACTCCGGTCACGATGACATGATTGTATGTCCCTTTTCCACTCAATTGCACCAATGCGACACCTTTCCGCTCCTCATTCATAAAATCAGCAACTGATCTGAAGTGAACAGCACGATGCAGTCCTCGATTACTACGGCCGCCGCCTCGCAACCTGCTCCTCAGACCGCACAGTCAAGATCTTCGAAGTAGAAGGCGATTCGCACCGGCTGACAGAAACACTCAAAGGGTACCCTTCCCCCTTCCTCACCGTCCCCCTTCTCCCAACCTCTCACTAACACGCCTCCTACAGACACGAAGGCGCAGTATGGTGCGTCTCCTGGGCGCACCCCAAGTATGGCAACATCCTCGCCAGCGCAGGGTACGACGGGAAAGTCTTCATCTGGCGGGAATCCGGCACCACCTGGACGAAAGTCTTCGATTTCGCCTTACACACGGCCTCCGTAAACATCATCTCCTGGTCCCCTCACGAGTCCGGGTGTCTTCTCGCCTGCGCCTCATCCGATGGGAACGTCAGCGTCTTAGAATTCAAGGACAATAGCATGGACCATAAGATCTTCCACGCGCACGGCATTGGCGTTAACTCCGTTTCTTGGGCGCCGAGCACGAGTCCTGGGTCTTTGGTGAGCAGTGCGGGGGGTCAGGGAGGAGTGAGGAGATTCGTGACGGGTGGAAGCGACAACATGCTGCGCCTATGGAGTTTCGACCAAGGGTCGCAAGATTACAAGCAGGAGCGGGACCCTTTGACCGGCCATACGGACTGGGTGCGCGACGTAGCATGGTCGCCCACGGTATTGCAAAAGAGTTACATCGCGTCCGCGAGCCAGGACAAGACGGTGCGGATCTGGACGAGCGATCCGAGCCAGCCTGGGGTGTGGAACAGCAAGGTGATCCCGTTCGAGGTTGTGCTTTGGAGGGTCAGCTGGAGTCTGAGCGGGAATGTGTTGGCGGTTAGTTCGGGGGATAATAAGGTTACGCTGTGGAAGGAGAATTTGAGGGGTGAGTGGGAGTGTGTGAAGACTATTGAGGAATAGGGAGGCGTTCGAGTTGGGTAGAAAGACAGACCACGGCGTTAATGGAAAAGCCTGTAAGCTTAGCATCAGAATCGCAGAAAACACTCCAAAAAGCCCCGTGCAAGGCGTCTAGACACTTCTCGTATGTTGTGAAGTTATTTGTTTATACCCCTGAAGCAGCGTGTTCTGAATGCTGCTGGTACCTTTATTTATGGAATCGAAAGGCTGGATTGCTGAAGAAATCGACTCGTTTGGTTAAACTCTCAGGAAGGACGGAAAGGAGCACATCTGCAATGGGAAGAAGACGCCAGCAATGGAAAGAAGCTTAGTTGCAAGTCTATGGCCGCTAAACTCAAGTAAGGTCATCACGCTTCAAGCCTCCATTCAAGAACCTGCCCCTACCTTCCTCCAAACAAATCAGTGCTATCATTCTGTCCATCCATCCAGAGAACGTTGCCACCACCTTGCTTCTTCCGCCCATCGGAAAGCCAAACTCAAAGGAAAGAAATGAAAACTGCAAATTGAAGTGAGTGTCGTGGTAGATATCGCGTCGTATCGAAGGGGAAATCCTGGGTATCTGTCGAACAACCATGCGCATTTGGGTATTTTGTCGTGCTGTGGGGTGCTGGGAAACAGGAAAGGAAAGCAATCTAAGAACAGGTTGCTGAGTATTTTGATATTTGGCTCTGACCGCTCAAACTACACCAAACCTGCCGGAAGTCCTTGAAGGAATCTTGCCAGGCTGTGGAGGAGTTGCGAAGGCCAGAGCAGAGATAAATTTCGCAAAGCTGGCTGCTCGATATTGGGAGATGGTGTGGCTGCTGGAAATCGTTTCTGAATCGGTTTGGACCCCAAGGCTACGCTGTAAGAGAGTGTTACCATTCCAAAGTCTCTTGACATCGAGCCCTCAAATCAAGCCTAGTTCAGGATCGCTGAACGTATCTAAGAATTCGAAGGCCTCTTCCTTTCTGATGGGAACAGTAGCTGCGCTCCTGTCAACGTTCCACCAGAGGAATGGGCCGGATTGAGTTGTGAACACATTTGGATTAGACAATGAGTCCCACCATCGGCCAACGACGATACGACCACCAGGAAGCACACAACCTTCGAATGCCCAGACCTGGCTAGGATCGTATTCCTCCTCACCGTTCTCATCACGCTTGGTGTAGAACTTCATCATGGTCAGACGTTGGAAGCCATGAATCCCTTGTTGAGGAGTCATGGCATGAATACGGCCAAAGAAATGGCCACGCTTGCCACGGCAGGTGCCCCAAAATTGCTTGACTTGAGGCTTCTTGGCCTCCTTTGTCTTCTCTCCTCGAGGGCTGGATCGCTTCGATTGTCGGGAATTGACTTGTAAGAACGGGTTGCTGTTCACAATCTGCTCCCACTTCTCGGGCCATTCGAACGAGGCGGATTTGCCCTCGTCGAAGAAGAAAGTCATATCCTAAACTGAAGTCAGCAAGCTCTTGTGCCACCAAAGAATTGTACCAAGTACCTGAATGACCTCTGCATTATCCAATTCGTCCGTATGAATGGTCGATTTCTTGCCATTACCATTGCCCATTCTCAGACTAGCCATTGTCACTGGATCCATGTAGGCTGCAATATGTGTCAGTAACTTCACGTGCATTTAAGCTCATCAACTTACTGTATGCCCCCTTCCAGTGGCTCTTGAGAGACTTTGTTCCCGCTTCAACACGACCCTCCCATGGCTGAGGAAATTGATCAGATTCGAGGTCTTTGTAATGGTGAGCAAGAAGGCCTTCGTCAACAGCCGTCAAATGGTATTTAAAGAAATTGACAACGTGGAGCAGCCAACGGAGGTTGACATCCTGCTTGTATTTACCACAAAACATTGGTTGCCGAGCCGGGGTATCATATGCTTGGTACTGAGAGAGGTCGAAGTGCGAGACCTTGTGCATACTGCAGAAGCGAGGGTTCAAGGATATCGGGGTCAAGCAAAGCTGGATAGCATAGACAAGAGTGCCTTCCACACTTGCGGAGACGACCTTGTGCATATCCCTGAGCTTGTCCATTGCATGATCAAAATCGGTGTTCAAGACTGATTCTATGATGTCGACGTAGGATCTTCCATTCTCGCCAGTGATAAGATCATAGATGAATTGCAGGTTCATGCCATGAATGATTTGATTTCCCTTGTCATCGAGGGTCTTTGTGGCATTCGACTCTGTAAATGTTGTGTGAGTATTGTCATCTCAAACTGAACATTGGCAAGAGTCTTACCCAGGATCAAACCTCTCAGCATAGTCAAGCAGTCGTCCTGGTTCGATTTTTGGAACCGGCGGCACTCAGCAGTAACCAAGCCTCCGTGCCTGCCCAAATCGAAGCAAGTCCATTTCTTGGAAATGGCTCGTCTCGATTTATACTTTGCAACAACATCTCCAATTGGAGTACCGGGAACGCTGTCAAAGGTACGATCAAACCGCCTCTTCCACACGATTTGGGAGACTGAATCACGAGTTATCTCACAGATGCATGCGAAATTAACGACATCGCTATCAGAGAGGAAATCCGCGATATGTTGGTGGATCTACAGCAGCATCAGAGTTAACAGCGTGTTCAGGTCATCAATTCTAAGTTGATGTTGAAGCGGAAGACTTGTGATGCGGTGAGAGGGTTGGAAAGGTGAGGCGCTGATTTGGATTTCTGTTTCTGTCATTTGACAAGATATGCTGATCACGGCTGCCCATCCGCGCCAAGCTGTGCGAAAGGCAAAGGAACTTGTGTGGGGCGGAAGCCAGAGAAATTTGTTGCACTTACCTCCGTTGGAAATCCTCTGAAAATCTTTCCTGCTGGTGAATCTTCCATCGGTCCATCATCTCCGACAACGGGCAGGTTGGCAAGAGGGATATCTTCACCAGAATCATCGTCAAGATCAATCACCTTTCTCTTCTTGTTACAAGGTCCATCGACAATGATGGTGTCCTCTGGATCTAAACCTTGGTATTCATCTTCGGATTCCGTGTCTCCTTCATAATAGCTAATGCGACTGTTCTGCTCCGATGCCTCTCTCTTCCTGCCACTGTACGACAGCGAAGCACCATAGCCTCTTGCCATCTGATTGGCTAATTGAGACCCGAAGCGATTGGTGTTGCGGACAGCTTGAGTTGAAGCACGCATTGTGCTGAGCAATGTGCTATCGGAATGTTAAGCGGAATGCGCTGACGATGCTGGTTGTGGTCTAACCCTATGCTATGACATGCTGCGTTCTCTGGTCAGCAATGCCAATGTCTCTGGGAAGATTACTTGCTGTTGTCGTGGAATTGCGTTGGATGGATGGAGCCGGCGCGATCTTCTGTGCATGAAATTCCCGGTGGGGGTTTAGAGAGTGAAGTGAATTGGAAACGGAAGCTGATTGCAAAATGCGATGTCCTTTCTGGCGAACGCTGATGTTACTAGATAGGACGGGCGCAAGCATGCAAAAGAGGAATTTGGGTTGTGGGGGGCTCAGATCTGGTTGAGTTTGTCAAGTGTAGAAGTTGAAGTGTCGATATCGGAGGTGAAGCTGGTGCAGGCGAGGTTGCCGACTTTGACAACGGCGTACCAAACTTGCAGAGCGCAACTGCCAAATGCAGCAGAAAAAGAAGCTCGTATGTCAGCGACGCTCTTGAAGGGAACGTATATGTCTGAAGTTCGGAGGAGTTCGGTTGGCGGCTTGAATGGGCCGATTTCTCAATCCACAGTTATTTTCCAGCTGAAAAAATAGAGTGAATCATAACTGTAAATTTGTAACGCTGGCAACCAAGTTCCGCAAACCGCTTCATCAATGGCAGCGTAGTTAAATCGTATCTTTGTAGGAGTTCAAACTTGCTCCAGGAACTTGAAAGCATGCGAGGAGGGGATGAACACCACGCAGAGCCATGTACCAGAGTTATGTGGAACATCGAAATGAATGTAACTTTGAGTCTTCCGGAAACGACCAGACCTTACTGAAATAATTCTTTTGCTCGAAGCTCAGAGAAGGGCCGTTCTTGTTCTTGGTCATGCTCTCCCTCGCTCCTGCACATTTCGAAACAGAGCACATGACCTGCTTTCTTTAGAGAACAGTTGCTAGGAATCATCTCCCTTCTCGATCCAAACATCTCAGGTCCGCTTGGAGACCGAAATATTAATACTCCAGTGGAACTCATCCTTCCCAATCCCTCACTTCAATGGAAGTGAAGCATGGTCTCGCCTGCATTGTCTCGCCAATGCTAGCTTCGTCAAGCTCGTTCTCCACCCATCGTCTCTTCGGTGACGCCCTCGAGGCAAATCCAATCCAATTGCTCAAGTATAAACCATTGCTCACCCTGAGCATGTCGTCGAGGAGATCTAACGTCAGCTGAGATTTGTAATGCCTTCCGAGTAGACTCCTCCCTTCAGGAAAGATTTCCGGGTTCTCAGAGCCATCTCTTCTTCTCTTCTTCCCTAGCATATATCTTTCGGGAATTCAGTAGACTTACCCTCCTGTTCGATGACTCTAGTCATGAACCATCTCAGGGATGTCGTCGCAAAAGTGCGAGAATCGGGGAAATGGGTCACCGCTCTCTAGTTCATCGTGCTCCTCCCATAGTCCCCGAATACCTCTCGTGATCTCTCTCCGGCCGTTTTCGCTCCAGCTCTTGGACTCGCCTGAGTTCAGAGCCTTCTCTTTGAAATGACGCGTTCAAACTTCAATCTATCGGCGCACTCTGGGATGCATGGGCACTGTTTGCTCTGCCCCTGCTCTTTTTCCTGCTCTTTCCGCCTCGCGTATCTCCATGCCTTGCTGAATTTCTCTCCAAGTCTTCTCTTCCATGGAGTCCAAGGAACTCCTCCTGGGCGAGTTCAACCTTTTCTTCTCGATGATGTCGTCGCACGCGTCACGTGTTTTTGCGCCACTCGGCGCCTCCCGTCTTGGTGATCAACATCGAAATGACAAAACGTCGCTTCATCCCGTTCTTATCTCTCAATTTTCTGCTGACGAAACTGGGGCAGCCTTCTAAGCATCGATTATTCGATTGCCCTGTTGCGGGAGGTTGATAAGCCGTTGTATCGAATCAGAACAAATCCCGAGGCTTCCAGAAGCTCAAGCTTTGGCTTGGCCGCCCGTTCCGGTGGAGACCCGGCGCTATGGGAGGATCATTCCATGGCCCCAAGTGGGACTGCTAAGAATGGGTTGACAGCTCAATCACCGAGAGTGAATAGCTTGATGCCTGCCATGTGGGCTAGGCCGGCGACCGGCGTGAATGTTCGCGTCTCCTTGATCGGCTAATCTGTAGCTTATCGTGTTTATCCATTTCTTCCTCCTTTCATCGGCTTTCTTTGTTTCTTTTTCACACCACAACCTCTTTCAGATCGCGACGTTCCGGTCGGCGACGCTCCTTAACATCTGATTTCCTTCAATAATTTCGTCAAAAGAAAGCAGTGATCACAATGTCTTTGACCACTGACGGAGAAAACTTGGCCAAGCCAAAGACGGGGTCCAGCTCAGGACCAAGCTCAGGACCGGAGGTGGAGAAGGGAGTTGTTGCACCAGATGGACCTGTCAATCCTGCACAAGATCCTGACACCACCATGGCAATCCTCGATCTGGTCAAGGCAAATGATGTCCACCATCCCATGAACTGGCCTTCTTGGAAGCGTTGGGTTATCATCACGATCTACTGCTTCTTGCAGCTGTTCGTCACGCTCACCAGCACCACCTACGTCAGCGCGGAGTGGATGATCCAGGAGAAATGGGGTGGAAGCACTCAGGTCGTTACTCTTGGCCAAAGCTTGTTCATTATTGGCAACGCAGTTGGTCCCGCTTTCATGGGTCCTTTGGCGTAAGTCCCGTGGGGCCGAGCTCGTTTTGCCCAGCCCCGCTGACCTGAAATAGCGATATTGGGGGTCGCAAATGGGTCTATGTTGCTAGCATCACGGCATATGCTATCTTGAACTTCGTAGGTTACGCATTCAAAGCCTCAGAGCGCGTTCTGACAACCTCCAGGGAACCGCATATGCGCGAAACCTTCCCATGCTCATCATCTTCATGTTCTTGGCCGGCACTGCCGGATCGACCGCTCTCTCCAATGTTGCTGGAACCATCGCGGATCTCTTTGGTGACGTCGATGGCGCCGGTCAAGCAATGGCTCTCTTCGTGGTCAGCGCCAATGTTGGACCTTCCCTTGGATCTCCAGTTGGTGGTTGGATTACTGCCAACTCGAGTCTCGGTCTCAAATGGATCTTCTTGATCAACGTTATCATCGGCTTTGGTTTCGCAATTATCATGTGTTTCATCCCAGAGACACTTCCGAGATTGGTCATCGCAAAGGCAGCTGCCAAGGCTGAGGATGTAGATGCGGATGAGGCGGCCATCTTGAGGAGCAAAGTCAACGTTCTCCAGGAGCTCCGATTCGTTGCTACGATGACATTCCGAATCATCTTCACAGAGCCCATTGTTCTTTGCCTTGGTATCTACAACGGTTTTGCCTATGGCATCCTCTTCCTGTACTTGGATGGCGTTTTCGATGTCTTCGTCGTCAACAACGGTCTTTCGTAAGTGCCATTCATCAATTCTCCCCCATCACAGCTAACACGCAGCAGTGACATCTCGGCCGATCTCACCTACCTCAACTTCGTCGTCGGAGTCCTGGTCATGTTCGCATTCATTCCCGTGCAAACCTGGTTCTACGCCCGCGACCGCAAGATCCACGGCCACAATCGCCCGGAGGCCCGCTTCATCGTCTCCTTGGTCACCGTTTGGCTCTTCCCCATCACCCTCCTCTGGTTCGCTTTCACCAGCAATGGCAAGACTTCCTACTGGTCCCCCGTTGTCGCTGGAGGTATCCTGGGTTTCGCCGATCCCCTGCTTTGGTTGAGCATGTTGAACTACATCACTGGTAAGCCCCCTTCCCACTTCGCCATGTAACAAAACATAACGTGATGATAACGAATGAATAGATTCCTATCCCAACGTCGCCGCTAGCGCAATCGCCGCCTTCCTCATCCCGAGTTTCATCATGGCCGCCGCGCTCGCGCATCTGGGCGTCCTGATGTTCGAGAACATGAGCACCACCTGGGCCATGGCCACCATCGGATTCATCTCCTTTGGCCTCTGCGCCCTCATCTACTTCATCTACTTCTTCGGCGCCAAGATCCGAGAGCGCTCGAAGCTTGCGAAGTCCTTCTAGGCCGCTTTCCTTGTCTTCCTTCGCCTCCATTTTCCGACCTTCGGTCAATAATTTTCGGGTTTGCGGTCTGCGGTGGTGCACTAGGTTCATTCCTTTCTGTTGTATTATAAGGGAGCGTTTGGGACATGCATGGCTGAGCTGTGCCGGGATGGTTGTGGAATAGGGAGCTAGGAGATAAAGTAGATAGAGTGAGCGAGTGAGCAATTGCATGGTACCGAAGGTATAGATGAGCCTACATACAAACAAAGACACAGAGAGATGAATGATAATGATTTGCTGATTACAAAAAATTTAGCCTCTGTCCTAATGCCGTGACCGAAACTTCATGGAACACGTTGAACGAAACGAAGAGACTGTTTAGAGTTTGGCACGGAGGAGGGAGTGGAGCAAGAAACTTTTTGACGCACATCGCACTGCCATGCCTTAAAGCGATCCTTCAAGCGTTGATTCAGCTTAGCATGAATCTTCAATTCATTCTCCGACCTCAGAACCTTTTGCTGCAAATCGATTTGGCGATCATCCGAGCACCTGCTCATCGAAGCTCATTCCTCAATACCACCACCCACCTACTACATCTCAGGGCTCGAGACCCGACGGGAAAAGTTGACAGAGAAACTCTTTGTTGCGCTTCGCAGTGTCCGAGCCCTTTACCAAATACTTTCTCCCCCTCCCGCCAGATCTCGCTCTTGGAATAACTCCAACGGTTTGTCAAGACGAAACGATGGGAGAAGCATGAACCTCCCCCCCCCTTCTTATCTTGAGCAAGAGAATTATTAACAAACCTTTTGACGCACATCGCAAGCAAAATGCCCGAGCCCTTTTATTCCAAATTCTCAGTTCAACTCCAGGTGGAAGATTTATGCAGATATTTATAAATAGGTAGACGTTAATGCAGATGAGGCTCGGACCGGGTGAATTGCATCTAGGGGTTTTCGAGGTGGAGAGCGTCAGAGGCGCTCTCAGATCTCCAATGACGACGCGCAACAAAAAATCCAGACAGAGGGTTTAGAGGATGGGCATTGCGGGTTGGATGAATGCGGATGAATTAGGGTTTGGGAATAGAGGGTCCTGCAAAAATGCGAGATTATTTTGTTGCACGTCTGAGAAAAAATGTCTTGAATGATCCTTGAGGGTCGGATAAGGGTGTGATGTATTTTGGCTAATTAAGCCCCGCAGCTTGCGGCTATACGAGATGTGATATTGATGCGGTGGGTGCTTGGCTAATTTTACGACATATCGAAGAAGAAAAAATTCGACGAGATTGGACGGAGAGGGTGTTGAAGAGAAAGGATGGTGGTTTGGGAATTGAGGGAATGTAGAAGGGGAGGCAGGAATTGTGGAACAGAAAAAAGACATTGCCGGATTTGGAGCGGATGGAGGGCCTCCGAGCTGAAGAGCAAAGTCTCGAGTGGTCTGAATCGGGTTCGTTGCTTGATGGACTTGGTATTTGACTCAAGTGAGTTGTGAAACAGGGAGGATTTAGGAGTATGCTCCTCCAGAATCGGTCCTGGGAGGAATCTCATCGCCTTGGTGCACCGGCTAGTAGTTAGGCCTGGAGAGAATACTTTAGCCCGCTCAGGTCGGTTGTTATCTTCTCTTGGGGGTTTCCCCTGTCGTTTATAAGTTCTTGATTCTCTTAGCTATCACGAATCCGCCAATTCATCGGCATATCGAGAGGAGAAACCTCTTCACGTCTTCTTGTCACGTGATTCATACTCAGGGGCGTCTTGTTAAAAAATGTCAGCGTATCTATTTGCGCTATCTATTATAAAATTCAACGCTCAAATTACTCTCTAGAGTCCTCGGATCTAGTATAGAAAAAAATGTGAAAGCGAGATGCTCGAGTAAGTCTCGGTTAAACCCCTTTTTCGCTGACGACCACCGCGAAGACAGGGAAAAGCACAGGAAGTCCAGGTCGGAAAATAAAAATGCGAAGCAACCAACGGCAACACCATGCCTCAGTACCTGCGTCACCATCAGTCAAAGCCAACGAGTTGAGTTGGACTCGTTCTCGTACCTAGGACTGGTCGTCAACGACTGGTCTGAGACGAGTATCAGAGGACAAGACTGCAGATAATAATCCAAACTCCAAGGGCCTAGAAACACGAGAGTTAGTTGGTTTGATTCAGGAAGACGGGCATCTGACAGCAGGACTTACCATCGAAGTGAGAGCATACAGGCTACGGTGAGAAGCTCTTTGGGTACTTGCTGCGGACTTATGTAAGGTATCGACAGGAGGTGATGAAGGTGATGGTCTTCCCGAGAAAGTGGCATTTGTCTCGTTCTTGAATAGAAGGATAAGCGGCGCTGAGGCGCCGGAAGAAGTTATGTTCGTGGAATTTGTGATGTCCGTTGCATTTGTTGGCGCTTTCTCTTTGAACGACTCGCCAGCCATGTATCCCCACTCAGACGACCACCGATCCCCTCCTTTCATGATATCATAATACGGGTTCAGAATCTCATCCACCACACGTGTGCAATAACAATATCCAGTTCCTCTCCCTCTTCCCACACATTCAGTCCGACCTGTCGGTTCCGGCCTTCGTACGTTGCCTTTATCATCGCAGTATGTTCCAAACATACTAAAGCACCATTAAGCACTATGCCCTACGCTATTATGAGCTTCGAAATTTGAGGCTGAGGGGAAGATGCTACCTTTGTTGCACTCGAGAAGGTAGAGTGGGCTTGGAGGGGGCCAAACTTGCCCGCCTTGTGCGCTAACCTGGGGTAAGAGAGCGAGCAAAATGATCAAGAGCGTGCCCCGCGAAGGAAGCAGGAGACCGCTGAGGGCAGCCCCTAGAATAAGCGTCCAGAGATCGTTTCTAGGAGCAGGTCCAGAGTTTGAAGCCGAGGTCTGCAGGAGAGTCATCGGAGCCGGCGGTCTCGAGTAAGTCGCATTCGTTGAATTTGTGCCGTTCTTGAGCTTAAGTGACTCCCAAGCCATGTATCCCCACCTCGCGGCGTCTCCCGAAGTTCCCCCTACGCCTCCAGGTCCGAAAGGACCCGCCATGTCTGGCCCTCCTGGCTGATTTGGGTTCTTGTAGTATGGGTTCTCCAGAATGTCGTCCAACACACGCCAGCAATAGCAGTATCCCCTCACACCACCAGCACAGTCATAAACACTACTTGGGTTTGGCCTTCGCACCATGCCCTTACCATCGCAGTATGTTCCAAACATACTAAAGCACCATTGAGCGCTGTGTCATAAGGGAGATTACTATTAGCTTTGTAACATATGAGGTTGAGAAATGAAGGTTACCTTCGTGACATTGGAGGAGGAAGTTAAAACTAAAAAGTATAAATATATTTAAGAAAATACTAGTAAAAATATTATAATATTAAAGAATACTTTATATCCTTAATAAATATATATAATATAAATTAACTTATAATAAATTTGCTTAATAAAACTTAATTAAGGAATATAATAAAGCTAAAGAATTTTATAAGATATATACTTTTAATTATTACTTATTAATTTTAAATTAGAAAGTAAATAAGAATATTTGGTTTTTAGTTTTAGCTTAAGTATCTTAATTATAATAAATACAAAACTTATATTATTCAAATATATATATATCTCCTTTAATTTCGAGTTATAAAATATTATAATAATTATCTTTATATTTATAAGTTTAAAGAATATTATTATTAAGAAATAAAAGCTAATAAAAGGCCTAGTTTAAGGCATAACTTAGGTAAATAAATTATATATTATATTAGCTTTTTAAGGAAATAAAATAGCTAGCTTAAGCTTATATATATATTAAGAAAATAAAAAGCAAAAAAGTAAGAAAAAGAAAAAAGTTTAAAAGGCAATATAATTTAATATTTTAAAGTAAACTAGTATTCTTTATATAAGAATTTTAATAATATAAAAGAAATTAAATTTCCTAATAATATTATATAATTCTTTATTTATTTTATTTTTATTTTATTCTTTTTCCCTCCTTATTTAGTAATTTTATTATAAGTTTAATTAATAATATAGCTTTACTTATTTAATAGAAAATAAATACTTATATTAATAATTCTTTATTAGAATTCTTTATTAAGATAAGTAATTATTAAAACTTAACTTAAATATTTAAACTAACTTAATATAATTTTATTATAATAATAAATATAATAAAAAGTATAATAATAAAACTAGTAATAAAATATATTATTAATACTTTTATAATTATAATATATATTAATAATATTTAATTTATATTATATAGCTTAAACTGAATAAGCTAATTATTTTAAGGTTATATTTAAAAACCTTATATAAGAAATATATTTAAATAAAGAAATTAATCTTATTATTAAGCTAATAAATAATACTTATAATAATATTTTATTAAAAGTTAATAAATTTTAGAATTTTATATTATATATTAATAAAAATATTAAAGTTATATAAATATAAAGTAAAAATATATTAATTAACTTATTAAATATATATTAACTTCTTTAGTATTAAGTATTTTATTTCAGAAAATACTGAAAAATGCTTTTAATAATTATTTAACTTTTTAACGTTTTCTTTATATAATAAAAAGCACTTTTTATAAATACTTTTATATTATATATATCTTTAATAAAATTTTAAGCTTATATTTATTATATAAAATATATTAAGTAATAATAAGTAATTTATAAATAAATATAAAATAAGTTTATTATAATTTAGCTTTTAATTTTATTAGCTAATATAATTATCTAATAATTATATATATTTTATTACTTATATTCTATTACTTTCTAGTTATATAATAATATATATAATATAGCTACTTTATTAGAGAAATATATAGAAAACTAAGCCTTTTATAAGCTAGTATATTATAGGATATATATACTTTCTTATAGTTTCTTATATTCTAGTTTTTTTTTCTTTAGCTTTAAATCGTCTTTATAAGAGATCTTTTATTTTGCTTTTTAAGCCCTAAATACTATATTTATAATAGTATTTAAAGCTTATTTTTTTAATCTTATAAAGAAATTTAAATAAACTAATTTAGAATTATTAGAAATAAAGGTATTACTAAAATAATAAAATCTCAGAAATATAAGTAATAGATTTTAGAATAATAAAAGCGAAATACTTTAGAATTCTTAAAGAAATTAGATATTTATATCTTTATAAATATATATTAATAATATATTAGAAATTATTTTAAAAACCGGAAAATTAAAAAACCTTATATAAAGGCTACTTTTTAATTAAATTCTAGAGTAATTATCGGTTTACTAGTAATATATAGTACTATTATATAAGTATAGAAGTATTATTTATATAAGATTAGTAAAGTTATTCTTTAGAAATAGGAATTATAGTATTATAATATTAATATATAATTCCTAAATCTGCTAAGCCTAAAGGGGTCTAGTTTACTAATTAAGTTACTAATAGAATATAAGGTTATATAACTATATCCTGTATCCTATATCTCATTACTTATATCCTATTACTTATATTTCATTACTTATATCCTATATCCCGTATCCCGTAACTATATATATAACTCCTAAAGAAATAGCTATACTAATACTAGAAACTCTCTAAAAATGCAAAAAACAGAAAATAGTATTCTTCTCTAATTATATACAAGTTCCCTAATCCGGCCTAGTACTAGATTCCCTAAATGCTCTATATATCTATATTATTTTTGAGGTTTTAGTTATATACTAAAGACCGCGGTCTTTTATATATAACCTCTCTTCCTATAAGTCTATATTCCCTAATCCGGCCTAGTACTAGATATTTAGATATTAGATATCCAGATACTAGATACTAAGGAAATCTCTATATATATCCTCCTATTTATATATCTATTTCTTGCTCTATTTATATTCGACCTATTTCTTTATATTTAACTATATAGTATTTGTATTAATAAGGCGCTTGAGGGCATTTAATAGCTTTAATTTCGTTATAGAATTAGCAGGATTTAATTTTTCTTTAATTTACTTAACTTCCGTAATTTCTCGTTATTTATATATCTAGTAAAGGCATATTATATTAATTATTAGGTATTTCTCTCAAGTAGTATCTAATTTAACGAGATATTTATATAATAACTTTAAATTTATATAAATAATTAGTAATAGTTCTATTTCTAGTATTCTATTAATTATAGATTTAACTAAAGTACTTATATTAAAACCGTAAGCCATATTATAGAATTCCGAAGCTAGAATACTTCTAATAACTTTCTTGTATTTAGTAAGGAACTAGTAAATAATATTAGTATATCTAGTTCTATTTACTAGAATTAGAATATATCTAATTTAGGAAAAGAGATCTCTATTATTTATAAATAAAGTATTCGTAAAAATAATTAAATATAAGAACTTCTTTACTAGCTTTATAAATCTCAGTTCTTTAATAATATTCTTAATTTACTATTAAATATATTTATTAAATGCCTTTATATTAGTTTCTAAAGATTTAATAGCTTAAATAGTAATTAATAGGTTATATAAAGCTTCTGGTTAATAGACTAATATAATATATACTTCTCTAGTATATTAGGTAATATATTAGTCCTTAATAGAGAGATTTTAATAAATAGTATTCCTATTACTTATAATAGTAGTATTTTTTATAGAAATAATTCAGAGGTTTTTATATTAGTATTTCTATATAAGAATAATTCCAGTAATATTTATATAAATAATACCTCTATTAAACTTGAGATTATAGTTAAAAGTAAGAGATTTATATTCCTTAGCTAAGAACTTAGTCTTATAAAGTTTTAATTACTTTGCCTTTATAAAATTATTAGTTCTAATAAATAAGATATTATTAGTTTAAAGGCTAATAATTCCGAAAAGTTACTTATTATAAAGTAAGTAAGAGTTATAAGTCGACTATTTTATAAAGAGCTTATTAATATAATAAGAATAGTAAGTCTTAAACTAGTAGTTCCTAGCTTCTAGTATATTATATAATAGTTTTATAATCTTTAGAATAGAATTATTCTTTAGATTTAGTTCTTTAGTAAGCTTATAAAATAGGTTAATATAGAAATTATAATTAAATAAAGTTATTAATTAGATATAAGCTTATAAGATATTATATAAATATAATTCCGTAGTATTTATTATTATAGTAATAATATTAAGGATAATTTTCTGGCTAATATATTAGATAATAAGTAATTATATTAATATTATATATTTCTTACTATTATTATAAGTTTAGATAACTAGTCTTAACTTTTTAAGCTCTTTTTCTATATCCTTATTCTTAATCTCGTTAATAAACCGGGAATTAAAAATATATATCTCTTTTAGTATTTAAGATCTAGAAATAATCTTAAATATATTCTTTTCTAGAAAGCTAGTAATTTTAACTTAATAGGAGTTCTTATATAGATTATTATCTTATAGGAATACTATAAAATCCGGGTTTTTATAAGGATATTCTTTATTATATTTTAGTAAAATAGTAAGAGGAATTATAGCTATATTACTTTTAGTCTCATTATTAGATTCGGGAATAGGTTTAGGTTCAGGGCTATTAGTAATAACCTTAATATCTCCTATATAAAAGGGCTTTATAGAGATTAAATAAAAGGTAGTATTATTATATAATAGAGCTAGTATATAGTTTTCTCTATTAATAACTACTAGCTTATATAATCTATTCTAATTACTAGATTAACTAGTATTTTCTTTATATTAAATAAAAATATTCGAATTTAGAAATAGTTTATAAATATTAGTAATACTAGGACTATTTCGGGTATTTAAAGTATTTGTAATTTAATATCTAGCTTAAAGCTTCTAAATTTTTACTATTATCTTTTTAAATACTACTAATTACTATAATATAATAAATAATAGAATATTATATTTAGTTATTTGAGATAAAGTACTATAAATTAAAAGAATTAGAATAATACTATTAGGTCCTATAGAGTTATTAATAGCCTTAAAAGCTATTTGGAATATAGTATTCTTATTAATTCTATTAACTTTAGCTATAATAATAAAATAATTATATTAGATTAGACTATAATAATATTCTATAATTCTAATAAAGTTATAAGCTTTTATAAGAATAATCTTAATCTTAGTTTCTATAGTATTTATAAGCTAAATAAACTTCTTACTAGTAAACTACTTTCTAGTATTTACTATAATCTAATTAAAAGAGTCTAAATAGTTATTAATCTAGTATTA